CATCATCACCACCAACAGTGCCAACACTTTGTTTCATTGACAAGTTTGACAACTACAGCTACAGCAAGCTGTATGCAATGTAGTCTATGCACTTTATCCATAGACAACAGTTTGTTTTCCCCCAGTTTGAAGTTCGTATTATGTAACCTAGATGTCGCCCACTTCGTGAATCTCGTGAATTTAGGTCTCAATGGGTCTCAATAATGCATGAAAAAAAAACTGTTTTTTATCGAAAATGATAAGCGCCTAATTGATATAAAATTTCTTAGTGCCAATTAATTAAGTATGAAGTTATGCAACCTTCAGTGCCACATATAGTATGATAAAAGGGCTAAGGTGTATAAGTTGGCAGTGAATCTAACAAATGCAAACCCTATGTTTGCCCTGCAGAAAGACAAAATGTCTCAACTCTGGAAACAAATACACCTGGAAAGCTCAAAGTGGTTTATTGTTCCACAAACAAGTGTTGAGAAACCTGAAATATCCAAACTAGGAGATTTTAGTAAATGTTCTTCAACAGGTTGTATATGTATGTATATGTATAATCTCTGGCTGCTGCAAACCAAAACTGTTTCGGTTTGCCAAGTCTCATCAGTCACACTCAAATGTGGGTTTCTGAAATTCCAATGGTGTGAAACAAAATTGTTACACCATGTATTTCTTTGTAATGAGGTTAAAACTAATAGGGAAGCAATATTTTTTATAACAAGTTGCTGTTCCAGATACCTGTTTTGGTAAGATTTGAAACAGCAGTGGCTCTATTGGAGTGATTGGTAATTTTTTTATTGTTGACATCAACTCCTGCACGTTTTGCAGAGTTTCTGGTCCATTTAGATATTTCATTCCTTCCCATTGGCATATTCTTGTACCAGCCACTACTGTTTGGGTTGTTCCAAAATGGATTGACACTCAGAAATAGTCTGTCGGTTTTTATGTTTTTATTCTCATTTCTCTTTGTCATTAATTTTCTGAATAATCGTACTGGACATTTTTGTTCATTTTCCGTATTTTTCGTTAGCCACTTGCTGAGGGGTCCACCCCGATTGTACCGTATTCGTCCTGTTGGAGTGCCATCATTAGATAGTTCTTCCTGGAAATAGTGTACCAAACATGATACAGCCTCACCACTTCTCCAGGCTAATTCCAAAGAAGCAATAAGGAAAAATTTGATTTGCAATCCTTCTGGGGTGTCCTCATTCCATACATTGATCATGGCTGCATATTCATTGTTTTGCAGGACATCTGCACTTTTGGTCCTTTTATCAGGGATAGCTTGTAGTATCTTACGCTTTGCATTCCTGGCATCTCGTGCCGATTTGAAAACGATATCTCCAAAAGGGTCAATTTCACGTTGGTGTTCTTCCATATATTTCTCTTGGAGTAGTTTGGCTGTTAGATTCCAAATCATTTTAACAACATTTTCCTTATACTCTTGACCATTCACTTTTCGCATATTGTAAGCCCAATCTTTAAGTATGTCTGAAATTTCCTGATTTGTTGTAGATCCATCCAAAATATAATTTTTTTCTGCACAAAACAGCATAAATTGCTTCCATACGGACTTTTTAGATTTCACTGTATTCAGTGGTTCTCTTTTTTTCTTAATTAAATCATTAATCTGAATTGTAGAAGATGTTCCAAATCTATTATTCATTTTGACTTTGTATGTTCTGAACATACTAACAGGAATAGGTTCTGACAATGTGTTATGTTTGTATTGAACTGAAAAAGTATCGTTTTAGGTTTATTTCATCACTGAGATGAATGTATATTGCTACATGAACCTACTATTCTTTGCCAGTACTGCTAGTAGTGCTAGTAGGTTAATAATTTCTAGAACCTAGAGCCATTGATAAACTTTTCTACACTATTTATAAGTACTACCTCTCAGGTTCACTGTCCACATTTATCACTTGAAAATTTATTAACACATTTGAAAATTGAACACATAACACCAATAAGTCCAATTTAACACCACACTAAACACCTTCAAAACACCATTGCCAATTTGGCCATTTATCATAAATTTCATATTATAATTTGTTGTGTATGGTATGGTATGATTACTGATGTTGATTTCATTGTTGATAATTTTTCTGACCAGCCTGTACGGCAGTGGCAGTGACTCTCATACAGTCCGACGGTGTTACAAAAGTTCCGTGAGATCTGGGCCGCAGTGGGCAAATCTCGGGCCAATGACGGCTAAATATCTGGACTGTCTGTAGGGTATAACCCGTCAGACGGTCCAGATATTTAGCCGTCATTGCTAGGGCAAATAAAATAGTTGAGGAATGAGTTGCCGTTTTTAGTACTATTAAAAGTACATTTCATACACAATTAACACTAACATAGTACAAGAACGAGAACCTATACAGATACAGTCAAACATCCTTGGGATAGCCCAAGCTATTATCGTATACAAAACAATTATTTGGAGAAGATATGTTATAATTGGAATCCTCGTTGATGAAAAGTCCATAATTTACAATTCAACGGAGAAACAATTAATGAGCTGTTAATGATGAATTGATTTGACTTTGAAGTTTGATTGATTGATTCGTCTATTTTATCTTATCGATAGTCGTATTTGATCTAAATTTGTAATATGATCTATTTCTTTTCTACAGAGGTGTTTTAATGTGCTGTATATTATTTATTTGTTATTTCCTCAATTTAGTACAATATACTTGAATTTAGTACAATTTCGGAGTGATTTCTAGTACAAATTGAAATTTTAAAACGGCAAGGGGATACAGCGAAATTTTTTTTGACACATCTGATGAAGAATAATTTCATCACTTTCGTGTCATATAAACGCCTTCAAGACATAAAATCAACTCCTGCCGGCGCATCATCGGGACAATCATGGGACAACGATTATCAGCAGCAATTCAGCAGCTTATCAATAATGTTTTTAAAAACGGGTAATGTCAAACTTGATGAAAGCTGAAACTGTACCAATCGTTTAATGACATATCAGCTATAAAAAAATCACCTCCTGCCACCTGTTTCTTAGAACGATGTACCCCTGACATGGACCTAATGATGTAGAAAAAGTGTCCTAGACAACGTACCATAAATTCTACAGGGTGAACTAGAGACCTGAATAGGCTGATCTAAATCAACTTCACATATAGAAAAATGCACCATTGAGCCGTGAGAAGGCACTGGAGAATAATTTTATTTTCAGATTTTCTTGGATACTTCAAAATCCTTGAATGGTACTACTCTCTATAATTCGTAGGGCAATTGACTATCGTGAATGTGCATGGAAAACATGTAATTCCAATGTGATCAATATACACATAGAGATAGATATTTGGCATTCTCTTTTATGAAAATTGATGAACCTTTCTTGGGGTATGCCACTGGCCGCATTTCAATATTTCAGTGAACGGCAAAATCAATTATTTAACTTTTTTCTGAATTTAGTTTTCTTATAATTCTTCTTGGTTTTCGAGATATTCAAAAAAATTCGTTTTGATGCTTTTCCACACTAGTTTATAATGTCAGGATGACCTATCAGATATTGCAAGTTTCTGACCTTATTCGTGTTGAGATACATGTTCACCATTTCGCAAGCTCATCATCATAAAGATCTGAGAACTATACTAATTTCCAAATTAAATTTTTTGTCGCAAAATTACTTTATACGATAAAAAAATTAACCAAAATAGTACAAAATGCGTTTTCGACTATACAGTCTTCATCAGTGCATACTCGTCAGGTTGACAAGAAAATCATCCATAAAAATATCTTTGGTCCTGTTGAGTAACATTAAACATTATGGCTAATTACGGTACAAACAGATTAAATTTGGTTTCCCAAAATGGGATAATGTGCAGATTACATTTTTTTTAACAACCAATATGGCTGCGGCAAACTGTCGTAATGGCCATAATGGCTTACTTCTTATTTTCGTGTCACTTGGTATCTTCCTACTATATTCTCCGTCAATGCAAGAATTAGTCGTAAACATGGTCGTAAAGTTTTGCATTGAGAGAAACAAAAGTGAGTCGGCTCAAGTTTTTTGATTTGTTCAATTATTCTACTTAATTTTTTTTTCGAATATTTTCGATCAAACAGGCCATAGTATTCTGGGCTATCCGGCAAAATTTTGGGATTTTTGACATTGAAACTGACCTCACGTTTTAGTAGCGCCACATGTTAGCCCTCATTTGATAGAAATAGATTAGAACCTTAATTGATCCATAAATTACCAATTAAGCCTAGAACAATACAATACAGTAATTTTATTACATTCAGAAAAACAGTGCGTCGAATGAATGAGGGTTAAATTGATAATTTTAGTCTACTTTCCTAAACAAAGACTTGTCAGCCGAACGGTCGGCAGCCTAAGAGCCAAGAATGACATTCAAAATGTCAAATGTCAGATGTTTCGAATCTATTACCTTTTGATACAAATCTGTTACCTTTTTCCAAGAAAATCTATTACGAAAAAATCAGACCCAGGAACAACACTGATGAGAGTTGAGAGAAACTCCCAAATAATCAAGTAAAATGAATCTTTGGTAGTACCACAAAGTACTTATTACTCCTGTTGAACACACATTGAAACTGGAAAATGCAGTAGTACAATAATATAAAATATAATGTACTGAGTAGTGAGTAGATCAAATTTAATAGTTCAGATTGAATGGGATAAAACTGATATGAATTATTATTGAACTTTAAAAGTATAAAGTTATCACTGATTGGATTTTTTTCTCCCACTAAATTTTCATTTGTAGCTAGCAAGATGGATCTAGCAAGGTAGGTAACAATGATGTTGTAACAGGTTTCTTTGCAATGTAACATAATTATTCATAATAAAAGAGGTATATGTTGTTCTTGTTGAAGCTCCATATCATAGAAACTAATTTAAATTTTGAATATTTGAATTGACACCATGGCATTCAAATATAATGAAGTTGATGTTGCCTTATTGGTTTTTACTGGAAATCATTTCAGTATGTGAAGGTTGAAATTATTGAACTTACATCTTCCATTATCTCCATTACATCCAAACCTATAGCTTTGAAATCAGCAGGACACAACTTGACAAACAAATAGTCCATATGCCTTGGTCTTGGTAATTTTTTATGTTTGTAAAATCGTTCAATATGCAATTTAGCCTGATTTTTCATGTGAATATAAGTCCTGGCTAGTTTTTCTGGACTTCTATCATATTCTTTTTTGGCAAATAGCTCTGACATCTTGATCCAACTCTTTCTCAGATAACTTTTCAAACTTTCCATTTCAACATATTTTGTATTTAATTCCATCTCTTCAACATACTGGAGTAATATATGTTTTTCCTCTGTGTTCATAGGTAGGTTAGGATTATTTTTGAATTTCTAAAAATGTCCTTTGCAAATTCCCATAATCTACAATTGATTTAATAATGTTTACCTTAGTTGCCATATCTTTTTGAACACACCCTAAAAACAATGATGAATAAAATGAAACCATCAAGAGAAGAAATAGTGTGAAGAGATTTTTTATAGAATATCATACACTAGCAATAAGGGCTAGAGTATTTAGCAATAATTTGAAAAACAATTTGAACATTTCTCACCTGACAATTGTGTTGTAGTATCTCCGTTAGAATGTGGTGCAAGATAGGAATAATCATTCACTGAGTCATTTATATTCCCATCAATATTTTGATGATTGACCATATGGGCATTGAGTTCAGTAACAAAACTGAAAGTTTTTCTACATACACCACACTGATGTATGCGTTTCATAAAGTGCATTTTCATGTGGAGCCGTAAAAGTATATTTGATGTAGTGCAATGTCCACAAATCCCACATTTCGATAACTTATCGTTTGCTGATTCTTTAATCTTGGAGTCCACTGTATCTTCAACAATATTATTGTCCTCGTCGACATCTATACTTTCAGATTTTATCATGACATTTTCAAAATTCATTTTCTGTAGTGATCTTAAAATGAGAGGAACTATCGAACTATCTTTGATTTCAAACACGATTTTCAAAGTATTGATACGTTGTGCAAAAATTAAAAAATAATATTATAAAGATAAAGTAAAAGTAAGTCACACAACACAACACACAACCTCACTTTTCTCTTTTCTTTACAAACAGGGCTGTTCCAGTCAATACTTTAGTGTACTAGATTTAGTACTATTCGAAGATGTTCAATACCAAAGTACATTTTGATGAAATCTAGTACTAAATGAGTTTTGAGATCCTTGGTTTCACATTGTTCACCAAGTGGATGAAAATGAATGAGGGCTAACATTTTCACTCACAGGGGCGGCGAGTGCATGGGGGCATCGGGGCCAATGCACCCATGTAGACATTGGATATGGGTGGAATGCACCAGTGAATGAACATAAAGAATAACGGACATCCATGTCTGCATCTGATTTCAATCATTTTTTTTTAGAGATCTACTTAGTTCTCTCCTGAGTTCAATACATCTGTTCTCTTCATAACAAAATTTGTAGGAACATTATTTATAATAACTATCAAATTTTTCTCAGGTTTGTTCGTATTTCGGTTCTGATTAACATCTGCAGGTACAGCAATCGTTACTTCTCTGCTATGTAAAATAGTTATTTTCTTTCAGCTAGTATTGAATTTATGTGCCGATTGAAAACCGTTAATATTCAAAAAATGAAATTTATGACATTGTGTTTTCTGACAGCAAATTTCTAATTCGACAGCTATCGATTGATCAAGAAAATCTTCAAGTTAGCAACATTTCCAAAGTAAGAACAGAATAATGAGAAAAAAATCACATGAAGCAGACTTCAACGAGGACACTGTATATCAAATTTCTTCTCACCCTACCCTGCATTCCTACCATCAATATCGGAATAAGTCGTACTTGTACGGGAATTAATCGGTTAAAGGGATGACGTAACTGAATAATCATCACAATGATGAATGAAACCAACCGAACCGGCAGTCTCGTTCTAGATCTCATCGGGTACGGTCGACTCAGGTGGTATAAGAATAATAATTAATCTTCGGTTTGGTGAATGTATTTTATTTGAGTGTGTGAAAGTGGTATATTTCCAATATGGTGTGTGTTTTTGTACACGAATATAGAAGTATTCATCATATGGCTGGTATTTTGCTTCTGTGAATTTTCATACAATGATGCAAAAATTTTAAATTCGCTTCCTATACCTATATATTCAGAAGAACTAGATGGATATCGATGCAACAAGTCGCGAAACTTTTGCCATTCTATTCAGATTTGAAACGAATCCTTTCAAATTTCGTATTCATTTTGTGTACTATACATATAGTTTATAGTTATATTCGGAAGATTCAACAAAAAACTATGAAATTCATATTGCGATTCTTCCAAAGTAAAAACTGTTCATGAATCAAAAATGTGCACAAACTCAATATCAAAAAAATCCGATATGATGCAGACTTTATAACGGTGACACTGTTTTTTAAATTTATCTTCACCCACCCCGTACACCTACTATCGATACCGAAATTAGTCGTATTTTTCCGGGATTTATTCGATTGAAAGGATGACTTAAGGTGAGTTCCCAATGCAGCTTTTTTGCTTTTCGCGTCACGCGTCACGTAGTCTGATTGGTGACGTGTAAATGAGGATTGTTGCACTGTTTTTTATTATTTTCATCAGTTCCCAATGAAACTACCTATCATTATCGATATTGTTGAAGTTTGCATTGAAAAATCATGAGAATATTTGAGAATACTGAAAATATAGGATAATGCTTGCAAGATATACATAGCTGCATCAGATGAGTAATTCTACTGTCGTAACTTATTAGTCATGATAGGATAATGAATCAAAACAATCAGCAGTCTCGTTCTAGATTTCATCGCCTAAGGTCGATTTGAGTGATATAAAAAATAACTCGAGTGAGAAAGTTTGAATTTCATATCAATTCTGGATAAAATAAATCATTTTGTTTACACATACAGAGGTACTAAAAATTATCATTTACTAGGTTGTAGGTATAGAAGACTGAACAAAAATTGGTATATCACGATTCAACACATGATAATGAATCGAAGTTTGATCGAGACATATAAAAAATATTGTTTGTAAGCCAGCTTTGCCTAATTTAACCATCTTCGTATCCCATATAGTTTCCGAAATTCCAAAATGGTGGTCCTCGAATTTCAATTACCCGGTGTACATATACTTTTTTGTTTGGACACTCGGTATACTAGCAAATGCCATAGATCCAGAGATAACTACGGAAAAACTTGTCTAACTTCCAATCTAAGACAGGTGCACCAGGAGTTAGGAATGTTTTCCACTACATAGTTTTTATGTCATCGCAACGTCAGGATGATGACGAACGAGGGCTATTACCGCGAATTGTTAGCGACGAAGTTCACATCATCCCATGAACCGTGAATCAGAAGGAATGACTTACTTATCACAAGGTTATAACATGCCATGCGATATGCGATCGGATCGAAGCTGTCAGTCATTCTCATTCATTAGCATCATATGGCAGAAGGAGACGGTCGTCCAATGTATTTCATTACCGATCTTCTTGGTACAAGCTATCCTGAGTGAATAAATGTGTTTAAGTGTGAAAAATATGTCTATCTACGATGCCTCTATTCAGAATCTCAACATATACATTTTATTCAAATAAATACACAATTTCATGGTTTGCATTGTAATTGCGATTTGCGAGACTTATTAGTTGGACAACGACATCCTACAATATTGCTCCGAAGTTCTTTGGGAAGGATTAGTTTTTTAAATGTCTGAAAAGAAAGAAAATGAAAATTCCATCATCTGAAAGATCAAATCCATTGTATCAAATCAATCAAAAACAGTCAAAAGTAACTCACATACACCCATGATATTCCGCAATCCAAGAATAGACCAGATTCGAATTCCAATGGATCGCCCAAATCTTCTGATGGTTTATCTTCACCTAAAAGGTTTCCGATTGCTTGATATATGTAGGAAACCATAATTATATTATAACGATCTCAATTTTGACAATCATTTTATGAATGTGTCTCGTTTTCACGATCTCGTTTTCTACTCAAAATATGAATGACATTCATGTAAAAATAATTTGACATTATGATGACTAGTGATCGGTCAATATACAAAGGAAATGTGATTTTCGTTGATATACAAGGTGTCCCAGAACAAAGTACCATAAATTCTACAGAGTGACCTAGATACGAAAATAGGCCGATTGAAATCAACTCAACACCATTGAGCCATGAGAGGACGATGAAGAACAATTTTATTACCAGATGCTCTTCAATATTTAGACCCCTAAATCCGCGATTCAGTATATCCACGACATTATATCCGTGACGAAGAAATTTGTAACTTATTTACATTGAAATTGTATGTCAAAATGTGTAATATAAGTACGATAAATATAATAAAATGTAATAAAGAGAACAAATACCATTCTGATAAAATTAGAATCTCCGGACTAAGAAATTCTAGGGGAGTTGTTGGTGTTGTTGTTGTGCTTTATTCCAAGAAACATACTTGTTTATAATAGGGACATTTAACATATTATATATATAAAAATATCAATAAAAAACAACTAGTCAACAAGTTATGTCAATATCTCAAAACATACAACAATGAGACATGAAACACTATATATCGGTAGGTTGGATATTAACTATTAGAATCCGTCTTTTGGGACTCGTAACTCTCAGATTCAGATGAAATGAAAATATCAGGTGAGCACTCCGAATACGCAAATTCATTACGCGTTTTGAACCAATCATAGTGCTATTCCTTATTCCTATTCCTTATTTTTCTGTGATGTTTTTGGACCTTAATTGATAAGGCTGAGGATATATATTTGTCCGAAACAAGTAGCAAGTAATTTTCTTAAAATGTCGTGGAGATGACTTCGAGTATTATTAGTAGTTACTTCCTATAATAACTATTTTATCCGGAAAATTAGTGGAGCCTATTTTTCGCTTGGCTCACTGTATCATGTGCTCCCTTGATAATATACGTTGGAAGAAAGAATTCAATCTCCCAACGTGTGCACAGTCCTGATGAAAGCCATAATGATGGATGTAGTATGCGTGAACTGTCTGAGGGCTTTTTTACGAACATCACAGAAAATTGCAGAAAAGAACGTTTCAAGGAATAGCATCCCTCAATTTTTGGTTCTGTTGTTCCGTGTCAATCAGATTTCCAGGGTGTCAAGTTTGTTCATTTGTTTATTGATTTTTGAATTAGTTCAAGTCTGCTATTCATGTTCCACATATTTGCTATCGTGTTTGCTCTAATTGAATTTACATCGATTTAAGATTTGAGTTTACTTACTCATAGTCAATAGTTAATACTCCCCTTTAGTCATTAGACTCATTAGTGTCATCGCAATTGAGGGTAAACAATATGACTGAAGAAAGCATATTCATTTTTGTACCAAACATAATTGGTAAGTATAACTTCCTTCAAATTTCTTGGTAGAATAATAATCATAAACTTTTCAGGATATGGTAGAATATTTCTAGCCATAATCTCATTTTATTTCATGCCTACAAATTATGTGGTAGCTTGTTCTTGTTATGTGACCTCAGCCCTTCTTGATGCATTTGATGGACATGCTGCCAGGTGATTCCTGATCTTATAGAGTTATCTAGATGATGTGAAGTTGTATTTGTTTTTTGTTATTACAGGTATTTTAACCAGAGTACAAAGTTTGGTGCTATGCTTGATCAGCTAACTGATAGATGTGGCACAATGGGTTTGGTAGCAGTTCTAGCACATTTCTACCCAAAATACATGTTTCTGTTCATCATGTCCATGTGTATTGATATAGCCTGTCACTGGATCTTCCTTCATACGTAAGTTGAAACTGAGAAAAGCTTCTGTTAGTTTCATTTTTTTTATTTCAGCTCTATTCTGCAGGGAAAAACAAGCCACAAATTTGTGGATATGTCAGAAAACCCAATAATGAGTGTGTATTACTCTAACAAGACTGTTTTATTCATCATGTGTGCAGGAAATGAAGCCTTTTATGCATCTTTATATTTGTTGCATTTTGTTGAGGGCCCAATGAGTAAGTTATGCCAAAAAGTACTGACCCTGTATTAAATTACAAACTGAATTTTTGTGGCTTCAATTGATTTTGCCACTATGCTATAAATCATTCCAGAATTACGTCATTTGACAGGTTGCTGAGGGGCAAACATTGTATTTTGTCAAGATATGTCATATAAAACCAGAATAAGTAGGATCGTTTTCCTTGGAATCCAAGTTGGAACCAGAAAGAATTCCATAATTGTGTTTGGTGAAACTGTTATTATATTGTAGATGCGGCAGGGATGGCCAGGGCTATGCTCATCAGAGGTAACCTCTAACAGATAGTTTGTGTGCCCCTCAAGAAACCATGTCAAAATCACGTGTTCTAGAATGATCAATTGTGGCTTCCATTAAATTTAAACAGTTGACAGCAATGATGTTAATTTAATTGAATTTTATATTAATTCAACTTCTAAGGCAGGCAGACCAGGTAGTTTATGACTTCTCAAATAATGATTTTAATAGTTATAATTAATTTCAGTTCTACAACTTCTTCAGTTGTATTTCATAAGGCCTCAATTCAATTTCAGAAAAAGACTTGTATTTTAAAAAAGTAAATTGAATTTCAGGAAATGTCAATTCAATTCCTAATATATTTTCTGAAATTCAATTGACTATTCCAAAATACAATTGATACCTTCTGAAATACAGATGGAGGTGTAGTAATGGTTTCCTTTTAGTTGCAGGTTTGGGCTTATTCAAAATAATACTATTCCTCTCTGCTCCAATTTGTCTTGTGAAGACAGGCATATCTCTTCTGCATCTTATAGTTGCTTCCAAGAATCTGGCAATCATTGATATTAATGAAAGGAAGAATATCATGAAGAAGGCTTACTAAGAATAGAAACTCTAGTGAAAACTATTGTTTCCAACTCTTTTCCAGTAATTTAGTTTTATGACAACCATTAAAATAATTGCATTTACAGTGCTAGTCATTTCTCATCTAATAGATGCTGTAATTTGGAATTTCCAAAAGTGTATTCTTGTAGAAAGGTTTTACTTGTTTGCATGCAGTGGTGGCTGAATATGATTTTTCAAGTGGAGTAACTCTTCCACAGATGGAACTGTTTTCAGTTAGGATGTTCAGGTTTGGTACATACTCTTGAAAACAAAATTCATATCTGATGTGCTCATCAATTTTTCACTATGAACTAGAATGAAATGATTGGTCTTTTCCAAAAAATTAACAATATAATAATTGAATCAATAAAAATTCAAATGATATCCAACAATTTTAAATTTGGTAAATAATTCTTACATGGGATTAATGCCTATCATTGCTCCTTTGGCACCAGCTGCTACTGTTTGCTTGGTTTAACTTTATCTGAATTTTGAATAAAAGTATAAGTAGGTAGGGACCCATAGTTATATTTATAAGGTACTTATATGAATCCCTAAATGTGATATTTTATTGTTGTTGATGTGTAATCGAATAAAATTTTAAATGTACTTGATTTTCTCTTGCCCAATCAATATTTGAGTGACGAACAGAAATGATTAAGGTAGGTACATTTATGTAAGATGATCCAGAATTTTTTTGAAATCAGGCATGATGGAATATAGAACATAGATCATGATGTATTAGTTCCGTCTTACTTCCTGTCTAAGTTTCTTCTATTGATTTTACGTCATTTTCGTAGATGTCCTTGAAAATAAAACAAATAACAGTTTATACCAAAAACCGCAAGTAAATTGATCAATTCCTGTAGAAAATGATGGTTGATAAAAAAAGAGTCAAAGTCAGGATGGAGTTGAAACTATGTTTAATCTGTCTAATTTTGAATGGTTTGTGAGGCAAATGATTTCGTAAAGTAGTATAGGATGGTAATTATTTTCAGAAATATTGACATACCTCAACTATTATTATTGATGAGTTGATATAATTAAATTGCTGTAGCCAAGCAAATAGGTCTCGTTGGGCCCTTTTTTAGTTGTCTATAAACTCAGAATTAGATGGCGTGAAAAAAAAATTAGGGGTCTATTCAAAATAGGAAATTTGGTGCACTATACAGGGTGGGCCACCAGTAACGCCTCGGTCTCTAGAAGGCTAACCACTTATCTTCTTGGAATTCTTCCTCTCTAGGAAGTTGCATGTCAACATAGGCTACAATTTGAAATTATTTTGAAACATACAGGATGTCCCCAAAAATCACAAAACACTGAAGTTGAACTTTTTTCAATCGAACACCCTATATATTATTTCATTTTGAGATTCTCCCTGGTGAGCTGATTTCAACAATCCATCATACTTGGGGTCTAGCAGTTATAATTACTGAGATATAGGGTGTGAGAAATCGAGATTTTACAAGTTCAAGAATTTTTTGTGTCTAAACCATTCATAATTGGTCAAAACGGCTCACATGTCCCTATCACAACTTTTGATCAACTATCTACTGACATTTAATTGAAACAAATTCAGGGTGGTGCAGAATTCAGAATCTTGATCACCCCCAATTAAATATCAGTAGATAGTTAATCAAAAGTTGAGATAGGGACATGTAAGCCGTTTTGACCAATTATGAATAGTTTCGACACAAAAAATTCTTGAACTTGGAAAATCTCGATTTTTCACACCCTATATTTCAGTAATTATAACTGCTAGACCCCAAGTATGATGGGTCGTTGAAATCAGCTCATCAGGGAGAATCTCAAAATGAAATAATATATATATAGGGTGTTCGATAGAAAAAAGTTTAACTTCAGTGTTTTATGGTTTTTGGGGACACCCTGTATGTTTCGAAATAATTTTAAATGGTAGCCTATGTTGACATGCAACTTCCTAGAGAGGAAGAATTCCAAGAAGATAAGTGGTTAGCCTTCTAGAGACCGAGGCGTTACTGGTGGCCCACCCTGTATATGGCACTCATTGTATATACAGCTAAAGGACTAAACTATTCAAGGTAGTTTGGAAATGATCGCTATTATAACTAATTGTCAAGTTTTTAATTTTTTTTATCTAATGTAGGTATGGTTCTACCTCAGCCAACCATATCATGCGACATCATCAGTGTGATATATTATAACAACCTTCCATAAATGCAATATATAGTTGACACATCCAATCTAATCGACGTAGATTCGATATCAAAGTCACAAGGTTACATCACAATCCGGAAAATATGTAATGTGGTAGGGACATTCGAACTGAATAATCTGAGAACTCAATAGCACAATCAGCTTCAAATTTGGGGTACGATTATTTAGGAACGATGGTTAGTAAAATCACAATATTGTAATCATTTCATCTTGATTATAGTCACTGCAGTTATATCACCTCTGTCATCTATGACTTCTGAGATAGGGATATCTCAAGCAAGGTGGGTATAAAAAATATGTAAGGCATTTGATATGCATCATGGTTACTTCAATATTAATAATGAGGGTGATTGACATAAGTGTATTGTATATCATCTGTTTTTAATTTCGGAAAATGAAATAAAGGTGTCTCCGTAGTTGAATACTTATATAATATTATCTATCACGAATATCACAGGTCCTATACGGACCACACTATAATCGATGTCGTAGTGTGACGTATTTGTAATATAAAATGTACACTGCTTGCATGTGAACTGTTTTATGTGATGTCGCATTTCATGTCTGAACGACGTCACAGTGATGTTCCTTGAGTCGGACATGTTCACATCGTCACTTTGTAACATGATTGTGACTTCAAATGCGATATCGCATGTCACAAAGTGATGTCGCGTATACATCATGTATATTATGTCTCATGGTTGGCTGGGACGTAGATCACCCAGTATGTATATTCGTCCAATTTTGGATTTCCATAAATTATCAAATTTTGGATTTTCATCAATTAATTTTTGTCAATTACTAGAGAAATCGTCGCTTTAGTCTTTAGATAAAAAGAAAATTGTGATACTGTGAAGGAAATGGTGAACACTTTAAAAGTAAGTAGGTAAAATACCAAATGAGTCCACCGATCCACTCAATAATAAGGTATATTATCTGTTGTTCAAGAATAAAATCCAACCTATTGAAGATTGACAAATTTTAACGGCCGCCTGTTTCTAAGACACAAAAAATGTTTTGATGACGAAAGGTCAATTATGAAATGGGAACAAAATTTAATCAAATTCGCCATACTATACCGATGTTTTCAGTGACGGTTCGTAAACATTTCCAGTGTCGAACACTTTCATCCATATGGTACCAGAAAAAAAAAGGCAAGACCAATTTGGCAAAAATCAAAATATAATTCTGAAAACATTTCATTAATCCTTAATCTCTAACTACTTTGATAGGCACAGAGTTTTCAAATTTCAGGTCGGCTTTAGATGGGTACACTGCTTTCAAATGTGCATCAAGATCTGTTGTTCGAACTTGTTGGACTTCCAAATCTGCTTCAAACAGTAGTACCATGTCTTTCAATAAAGTGTCCAGCACTTTTTTGCAGGCAAACTGGGAAATTGTGCTTGTAACTTCAATGATCATTTTGGTGGTTCCAACCTCAATCTGCGGAGTGAATAATTTTTTGGGAATCAATCAATCAATTGCAGGATATTTTCTGACATATAAACAGGATGTCCGATGAGCATATGAGGCCAGTGACGAGGTGTGGGGAGGATCTGTCCCCCCCCCCAATCCAAGGCGAGTTGGCAAATTGAGTTTGGGAAAATTCCACAAAAATAAAAGTTTCATGATAGATATGAAAAAAAAAGATAAATGAATAAAAACTACAGATTTCCTTCTTCAAACTATAGGAATTTCCAACTTCAGAAACATAAAATTTCGATTTTGTGGTCGAAATTTTCAAGTTCAAACATGAAGGAACATTACAATTCCAGTTCAAGCTATATAGGAACTTACAACTGCAAACTCGAACTTTCCGACTGATACGTAGAAAAAAAGCTTGAAGTCGAAAAAATCAAATTCCGAATTTTGAGTTGAAAATATCAAATTTCAATTGGGGAAATTAAATTTGCAGTTACAGGTTTTTGATCTAAAAATGAAATACACTGTATACAAAAACCCAGGATTTCTAACTGCGTACTCTGAATTTCCCACTCATTAGCTCAAAGAAAATGACTTTTTTTATCCCAGGAATTTCCAATTATCAGTGGTTCACTCCACAGGATGTCTTAAAAAATACTGAAAAATCCGTACTTTCTTTACACCCCGGTATATGATATAGAGACGAATCGTTTGAAGGTGGTGATTTCTCATATGTATTCGTGAAGAATGAAGCTACAATTCGTGAAAAAAAAGTAAATCGAGCGATCGGTTCTAGAGAAAATTGATGTCAAACTCAGTGTAAATTTTGCCCGTTCCCCTAATTGTGCCAGTGTGTGTATAATTTGCGACTTTGGTAACAACTGACCTCATAAAGATGAATATCAAACAGTGCATTAGCTCATGATGAAAATTCTTCAATGTGAAAAATGGAATAGCAGTTCAGTGAGTCTTGGCCTTATACTTTTGGAATATCCATATATTCAAATATTACCTTAGAAATGTCCGAATTGGTTATAGGTGGAAATGAAATGACCTCCTTTTTTTCATTCAAAAGGCAAGGATACTGCTGCTTTCCCTCAATGAGGTAGAGATACTTGTGAATACCACTATAGGTATTGCGTTTCTTTTCTTTCCTCAAATTGTTTGCTTCTGTTTGGAGCCTATTGAATAAGTCAGCTCCAGTCATCTCAACTGACCTACCAAGAGGCTTTATCATGAGTTCATTTGGAAGAGCGGTGGTATATGTTAAGTCTCCAGGAGGCTGCAAATGGAACCAGAGGCAAATTCATTTGTAATTCATTCAATTCAATATAAATTTTCAAAAAATAATTCCATTCGATTTTCAGGTAAAATATAAATTTACAACCCCTTACTCTACAGAGCAACCCCTTCAACATTTTTGAATTGATTGTACAAGGGGTCGAGTTGGACCTTGTTAGAGAGGTATTTCAAATCTCCATAGTCTTTTGTTTTTTAATTCAGTTGAGCCATATCCACATGAGAAAAGTCGAAGAGTGAAAAGATTCCAAATTTGTTCAAATAGTTGTCTAATTTTTTTGTAATGGTAGGAACGAGCCTATTTGCCTATTCGTCCTCGTGTTATTTTTTTTTCTACTTGAGAAATGTTACACAAGAAAATATTTGTTGTCCATTTAAGTCTTTGTGTTGGATTCTTTCATCGTGAGATTCCAAATTTAATATTATCGAGTAATCCTTTCAAATCGTAAGATTTTCAAAAATACAAATACATATTTTCCAATACAATATTTTTGAAACAAAAATGGTTTGCCTGTATATCACTATGGTAAATTGTTTCTTGATAATGGGAAGGGTTCGATCTTTTCACTACATATTGTATGTTAAAGTTTTCCATAATCACGAAAGATTTTTGGAAGACATATATTTTCAGCCTGTGTAAAATTCTTTCATATCGTGAGTGATTTTCGAGAAAAAAATACCACCTGTACACAAATTATCTTCCATCCCCCCCGTTTAATTTTATTATCATCATGAGTCATAGATAAATCATATGTTCGGGAATTAATCGATTAGCAGCATGATTCATTTAATTAGTCATTCATTCGGGACCTGTGGTAAATTAAGACAGTCTTATATTAGATGTCATCACGAACGGTCGAATTTTGTGATCGACATTGAAAAAATACGCAAAAGGAATTATTTATCGTTCCAAACGGAGTGTTCTCTAAAAAATGAGTGATAGTTATGTGTTTGTGTCCCTCATTCAATAATTCATATCGCGATCTTGTGTTGTTCTGGTGTTTCGTGCTGTGGAAAATCGAAAATTCCAAACAATGGAATTGCAGAAATCATTTTTCACTTTATTCACGCTGGTGAGTTATTTTTAATTTTTAGTATTGTGTTAGTATAATCTGATAGGTGATAGGTATTTTGAGCCGATACCACTCGATACATCTGGAAAGCTTAGAGTAGGTACTCCTTTGATTCATTTTCACTACGTGTGACCAATGTTGCGGCTCATATACGTATTTTTTGTGAGAAATGTATGCGATTAGAACAAACCCGAGAAAAATTTGTCAATCCGTATCGCAGAAAGTAGGCACGATTCTTTTGACTGTGCTAGGCTAGGTACCGCAACTGCCAATTTTTACCTGTGATTTTCACGGAGAAATTTTCGAAGTCGTCAAAATTTCTTTGAAATGGTCACATACGAACTGTCAAAACTTCGATTGGAAATTTGTCCGGAAGTACCCTGTACTGATTGTTTCATTTCCTATTATATTTATATCCAGCCCGCATTCCTGTATATGGTGATTATTCATATAAACTACGCAACACTTATTTCGTGGCACCCCAAAATTTTGCCTCCCTGTCAAAATATGAATAACTTTTTTCTGCTTTGAACAATTTGAATTCGGTTCACACTGTTCGCTAGCCCAGTCCTTCAGCTATAAGCTCGTACCTCTTTGAAACATGAGGTTCTTCATATAAACTCGCTACAGGGAGACACCTGACACTGTGAAGAATATTGGAATTTTCGAAAGGACCCCAAATAAACTAAAACTTGTTTTTCCAACTTTGACAGCAGATTACCTTGAGACATTTCTCAAATTGTCTCATTATCTCTTTTACTCACAGAGTGATATCAAGAAATTAACTTTCAGGTTTTGCAGTCATAACTTTTTTCCTTGTCAACCGATTTTTGAAATCTCAGGCTCATTTTGAAGATGAAACTTCAGATGGAGAGATATGGAGACCAGAAATGACTCAAAGATGAATATTGAACAGTGTGTCGCACTTCTAATGGAAGCATCCCTGTATCTTTTGTATTTGTTTAGTTATGATTCTGAAATTTGCAGGAACGGTAGATATATACTGAAAGTACACACTATGACCAAGTGGAGTCATCTTCAGTGATATACACTGCTTGCTAATAGCCATGGAAGCACCCACAAAAATGAACACGTTGACTGCCGTTTTGTTCACCATGGTATTTTACGTTCGGGCCAGGCGGTCATTTCATATGGGGCAAAAGTTTAAATTTTTGGGCCACGTTCTATGAAAGAAATTTCGAAATATTCGTCACCTATGTGAAGAAAATCTTGAAAAATAGTCCGACAGGATCTATAATGATGTCAAAATAAATGAATAAATAAATAAATTCCAGTTCAATTCAACAAGATTCATTCCAATCTTTGGCAATATAGTCTTGAACACAATAGAAAGTTTCTTTGATGAGATGTTGTTTCACAGATCTCCTAAAGTGTACTGGAGAGACAATATTTCTGAAATTGACTGGAACATGGTTATATAATTTAACAGCATTATAAATTAGTGACTTTTTAGTTAAATTCGTTGAAGGGATAAGTCTTAAATTGTTATTTTGGCGAGTGGAACTTACAACCGCATCATATGATGATTTATTGTTGTGAACTAAACACACAGTTTCGAGAATGAAAATCTTGTGCTCTGAAAATAGAGGGATTTGAGGGTAAACGTGACAACACGGCGCAGGAATTGTGGGCGGTGTCTTGTCAGTTCTCAAAATTTAACACATTGTTGCCGAGTATTCAACATCAACATGATATTTTGTTATGGAGTACAAAAGATATTCAGACATGCTGGTTGCTCGAAAAAATCAAGAATGAACTATAATGCTTTTGGGTGTATGATAAATTGACATTCTCAATTTCAGAAATTTTTATATTTTATTTTCAAACTCTTATCGTGTGTGTTCAATAGATATCATTCAATGTTCGTCGTGGCATATAGCCAGGAAAGTAGTTGTTTTCTATTGAATTAACTGAAAAAGAGTAAATATTCTCATCACATAGAGAATGCGAATTCTCAATGTATTGCTTTATATAAATATATATCCATTTTTATATGTTCATGATTTATCTGAGAATATTCCTTTTCAATGAACTATAATATCATGGCTTACTCATATTGTTTTATCTCGGGTTTTACCCAACGACAGAACTCGATCTTTTTGATAAATTGATTATAATTGGTGATTTGACAACGTTGTTTCATGAGTGGAAATGAAAGATTATTTTTGCAGTATCTGCCTGCCTCGTCTTCATTGAGATAGTTGATGAAATAATGAATTACAAAAATATATCGCTTTCCAGTTACGGATGTAGGTTTGTTTCACATTCAACATCCATGTTCCGCCTCTCATGAAAATCAGTTTTAATTTTTATTGACTTCGATATTTGATGTCATGTTTATTTGCAGATCTGAGGAGCAAAGTGTTTGATACTTGCCATACTAAATAGGAGAAAACCATCCAGTCAAGGCGAACCGAACAGAGTATACTTTCGAATTCAGATCCTTATACTCGTACGGAAAGCGATATATTGATATCCTTTACAGATTCTCGAGGAAACAGATAGACAGATATTCACCTTTATGAATTACAAAAATATATCGCGTACCAGGTACGAATCTTGAAAACAATATCCAGACTTTTCATAGATTTATATTCTATGTAGGTCTCACGATTCAGATTTGAAATTGATACTTAGTTTTAGATCCGAGCAGTACACTATTTATTGTTTGGCCTTCAAGGTCCTTGATATAACCCACGTAATTGAGAATGTGGAAGATGCCTACTGGCAAAACCACTATTCGGAAAGAAAGCGGATATGTAGCAATCCAGTTACGGACGATGAAAATATCATTCAGGTATGTCTCAGTTAAATGTACTTCGATTAATATGTGATGTTTAGTTTCAGATCCGAAAAGCAGTATTTGATACTTGCCACTCAATCGGAGAAAACCACCCAGTCAAGACGAACCGAACAGAAGATTCGCAGAGAGAACTGACCAGAGTATACTTTACAGAATTCAGATCCTTATATTCGTACGGAAGGCGATATATTGATACCTTTCCAGATTCTCAAGGAAACAGATAGACAGATATTCACCTTTATGTCTCTATGGAAACACGACAGGTACCCTTACGAGGGGAGAGTATCAACTCAGCGTTTATAAACCCTCTCTGCAAAGGAGGTAGGCGCATGGTGGGTTAGGTATATACAGTGTTCTTCATTGCAGAGAAAATTGTTGTTTATCTGCCTGCCTCGTCTTCATTGAGATAGTTGATGAATTACAAAAATATATCGCGTTCCAGTTACGAATGTTGAAAACAATATCCAGACTTTTCATAGATTTATATTCTATGTAGGTCTCACGATACAAATTTGAAATTGATACTTAGTTTTAGATCCGAGCAGTACATTATTTATTGTTTGGCCTCCAAGGTCCTTAATATAACCCACGTAATTGAGAATGTGGAAGATGCCTACTGGCAAAACTACTATTCGGAAAGAAAGCGGATATGTAGCAATCCAGTTACGGACGATGAAAGTATCATTCAGGTATGTCTCAGTTAAATGTACTTCGATTAATATGTGATGTTTAGTTGCAGATCTGAAAAGCAGAATTTGATACTTGCCACACAATCGGAGAAAACCACCCAGTAAAGACGAACCGAATAGAAGATCCGCAAAGAGAACTGACCAGAGTATACTTTACAGAATTCAGATCCTTATATTCGTACGGAAGGCGATATATTAATATCCTTTCCAGATTCTCAAGGAGACAGATAGACAGATATTCACCTTTATGTCTCTATGGAAACATGACAGGTACCCTTACGAGGGGAGAGTATCAACTCGGCGTTTATAAACCCTCTCTGCAAAGGAGGTAGGCGCATGGTGGGTTAGGTATATACAGTGTTCTTCATTGCAGAGAAAATTGTTGTTTATCTGCCTGCCTCGTCTTCATTGAGATAGTTGATGAATTACAAAAATATATCGCGTTCCAGTTACGAATGTTGAAAACAATATCCAGACTTTTCATAGATTTATATTTTATGTAGGTCTCACGATTCAAATTTGAAATTGATACTTAGTTTTAGATCCGAGCAGTACATTATTTATTGTTTGGCCTTCAAGGTCCTTAATATAACCCACGTAATTGAAAATGTGGAAGATGCCTACTGGTAAAACCACTATCCGGAAAGAAAGCGGATAAGTAGCAATCCACTTACGGACGATGAAAATATCATCCAGGTATGTCTCAGTTAAATGTACTTTGATTAATAGGTGATGTTTAGTTGCAGATCCGAAAAGCAGTATTTGATACTTGTCACACAATCGGAGAAAACCACCCAGTCAATACGAACCGAATAGAACATCCGCAGATAACTGACCAGAGTATACTTTACAGAATTAAGATCCTTATATTCGTACGGAAGGCGATATATTCAAATCCTTTCCTGTATCTCAAGGAAACATATAGACAGATATTCACCTTTATGTCTTTATGGAAACACGACTGGTACACTTACAAGGGGAGAGTATCAACTCGGCGTTTATAAACCCTCTCTGAAAATGAGGTAGGTGCATGATGGTGGGTTAGGTATATACAGTGTTCATTGCAGATAAAATTGTTATTTATCTGCCTGCCTCGTCTTCATTGAGACCATATTAATTACTAATTTATACAGGTAACCTTGCTTATTGTTAATTTAACTATTATCAGATGATGGATCCAATAATGAATTTATATTCGGTTTTCATAGTTGGCTAGCCCAATATTTTTCACTTACTTTTCAGAGGAATATGAGACTACAAAAATTTGTGAACTGGATAATAATTGAAGCTAGTGTTAAATTCCAGGTGAAATTGCAGCGGTGTCGTAATAATCCCGTTTGAGCAAATTATTTTTCATAATTTTTCCTTCCACAATGATCAATCAACGCGAAAAAAAGTTATAAAATATTTGCTCAAACGGCATCACAACGACAGTGCTGTAATTTTACACTACTTCAAATATCATAATTTTCAGCTGGTATTTTCGTAGTCTCATACTGCTCCGTGGATCCATGAGTAGGTAATTTTATTCAGATTTTGGCCTAAATTTTTGACCATGAATTTTTGTTTGTTGATCAGTTTATTTGTCGATAGTTGATAATAGTTGAAATGATGATAGTGATAAGCCACGTTGCCAGTACTTTGTATTTTTATATGGCCAATAAAGATTACTTACTCACTTACTATAAGTTAGAAATTAATGTGGTTTATCGAAGGTAATATTGGTAATATTTGGTAATATTTGGTGGTATTTGGTAATATTTGGTGGTATTTGGTAATATTAATTAATATTTATGGTAAAATGATATTTGGTATTATCTGATGATATTTGGTAATACTCAGTAATAGTTTATAAAATCAGTAATATTTCGTGATATCTTGAGTATTATTGGTATTATGGCAATATCTCCTAAATATTACTGATATTACCTGATTTGGTAATATGGTGTACAAAATTTGGGAAAGTAAGCCACCCCTTGGGTAGGAATTGTTCTATTGAATTACTTGTACAGTTAATTCACCCCCATTTGAAATAAGTTTTTCACTTTAATAGGAAGATACATAGTAACATGTAAACTTATAACAAAGTATTAATAGCTATGACAACATGTTGAGAGTTTTTACATACATACTAAGGTGCAATTTAATGAGTACAATAAACATATGTGGAATATTTCCCATCACAACTGTACTATTTTTGAAAAATATATCATCTGGATCCAAATTATTTCAATTTCAACTGATTGTGTTGGAGTTATTAAATAGTAGGTCAATGAAAACCCTGGATTCATCATATTGTCATCTTCTGTTCTTTTGATACATCATTTTTCGAATATTTCCGATCACAACTGTACCATTTTGAAATTTCAAAAAATGTGAATTCACATCATATTTTCGAAATTTGTTGATTGTTGCTACAATCAAATTTGCTCAAATTCAAATTATCCCTACACCATTTGAAAGTTAAAACTTAAAAATTTGAACATTTGAATCATCTTCATAACTCATTTGGGTGGAAAGTTGTGAAACAGTTGGGCTAGCTTGAGGATAAGCTGCCACAACACCATTTTTTCAGCTTGAGTTAAACAAATCTGGTTGGTGTTAAAAAATAGTAAATAAATAGTTATTGAATAGTACATGATTTTTAGTTGATTGTTCCAAAACAGCTGTGTCAGTTTTATATACCTTGTAACTTGACCTCTTGCACAATTTGAAAATGTTGAAAGTGTTGATATGTAATGTAGAGTAAGTAGGAGGTTGAGAGGTAGTTGAAAATTTGTATAATTGTATGTAAAATAATACATTTTCAAAAATGAAAATTTACCTGCCCCATAATTTTATTCCATATTAGGTTTCCACACTGCATACTATTTCAAATTATTAAACTTACCAACTTATTGTAGTCATGTGTAGCAATAGTTGCAGAGTTCCTTTTCTCACACACTGTATCATGCAACTTATTTTGAAGCTGTATGAATTTTTTGAAAGATTCTTCTGTGAATTTTACATTATTAACAATACAGGATAACAGATGTTCTCTAACAGTTTTCACAGAATTCAGTATAATAATCTACAAACAAATCAAAAGTTACTTTTCATACACAGGCCAATAGTGAAATGAATAATTATAATAAATTAACTTTATTGAGTATGAATACTCAAAAGGCCATCAATGGAGGTCCTTCAGCCTAGTAAAATAATTTTTCAATCCTTCAGGGACAGCTAATACATACAGTAGGATGCTAGAATGTGGAAAAATGTTGTATTATTCATTGAGTTTGTGAAAAAAAAAAACTAGGACACATCAATTTCATTTTTTAAGAACCATTATTTGATACATCCCACTTATATCATGGCCTCTCCTTATTATGACAGTTGATTTAATGTAACTTGAAACATATTGATATTTGGATTTTTGCCACATTTGTTATCTTGATTTGATGGCAGTCCCAAAAGGATTATTCAGTATTTCAAAATCATTGCCTAAATAAAATTCACAAGAAACCTTAAAATCTTCATCAGCATACTTGACATTTAATTTGTACTTATAGTTCACAGATGTCTCCTCATCAGATTCATTATTGGTCTTCTTTTTCTGATTCATCCCTTTTTTGCTAGCATTTTCTGAATTTGCACTTGTTCTGGCACAATGCTGCTTCACATAATCAATTATTTGTTTTGTTCTACATTGATCAATCAACTTTAAAAGTCGGCGGTCAGAAATAGGATTTGATTTCAAATTAAGATCTGAAATGTATTTTACAATGATACAATTACATATAGTGAATGGATTTGATGTATAATTTAGTATAGAAATATGTTTGTACAAGAGTTATTTTACTGCTTCATATTATATTTTTTTCTATAGATTATCAACATTGGTTGAGTAGTTTAGGATATAATGATTCCAAGCAGAAACTTACCCTTAAGCTTTTGGCAATCTGCTAGTTCTCCAGGAATTGTCTTGATTCTATTTGAACTTAGTTCAACTAGTTTCAGTGAAGGTAATACATTTATATCATTAGGTATTTCTGTGATTTCATTTCCAGTCAATCTCAATTCAGTCAGATTAACTAACTCCTTTGAACATACTCTTGGAAATTCTTTCAGTTTATTATTGGAAACATCAAGAACAGTAAGTTTCACATTTATGATGAACTCAGGAAGAGTTTCTAGCTGGTTACTATTCAAGTTTACTGTTACCAGAGGTAATTTAGCAAAACTATCTGGTATGACTTTAATAGTGTTTCTAGATAAATCCAAAATCTTCAATTTATCTAAGTTACCTATCTTCTCATTGATTTCTTCGAATTTGTTAGAATGTAGTACTAGTGTTTGGAGATTTGATAGTTTCTCAATTCCATCAGGAACATGGCTCAAGTTTGTTTCACTGATATTCAGGTAATTCAAACCTATTAAATCGAATATGGATATATCCAATCCTTGCTTTTCTATTCTTGTACTTATTTCTTTTCCCGATAATACAAGTTCATGCCTGTTTTCCGTATTAGCCTTCTCTACTTCTGGCCACATTTTCAAATGGCACTGAATTTCAATATCTCTTTTTTTATCTCAAATTGAACATCCCCAAATGAAACACTTCTAAAAGGAATATAAAAAAAATGGTTAAATAATCTACCTCAACACTTTTTATGTTTTTTATCAGTTTGATGTTTTTTTGATTTTGTTGGTTTTGTTCTCAAAAGTTTTGAGTTTTGTTCACTTTTGTTTGAATTTCAATTTTGAGTGATGTTTTCCAGTCATCTGTCAATACGGGTAGCTAGCCCTCTTGTACAGTAGTTTCATGTTCCATTAATTTTCAAAACTATCAGTGAAAGTAACTTACGAAAGCGTAGAAGCGCCACATGATATATTTTTTTAATAATTGACAGATATAACTGTCAACTAGCCTAATTGACAGATACTAAGTCGTAAGTAGTATACTTGACAGATACTAAGTCGTAAGTAGCTTACTTGACAGATACTAAGTGGTAAGTAGTATACTTGACAGATACTAAGTCGTAAGTAGCATACTTGACAGATACTAAGTGGTAAGTAGTATACTTGACAGATACTACGTCGTAAGTAGCATACTTGACAGATACTATGTGGTAAGTAGTATACTTGACAGATACTAAGTCGTAAGTAGCATAATTGACAGATACTAAGTGGTAAGTAGTATACTTGACAGATACTAAGTCGTAAGTAGCATACATGACAGATACTAAGTGGTAACTAGTATACTTGACAGATACTTAAGTGTCAACTAGTCTAATTGACAGATACTAAATGTATATAACCTGGGTGCACTCGTTTTGTCGATTCTAAACAAGAGAAGTTTCCTTTGCCGGTTTTTTTCGCGGTTTCCATTATGACCTCATGAGATGTCGTGAGAGCACCCACAACTCCCACAAGACATCTATGTACAAGACTACCCATAGACAAATTGAAAATACATTTGTTTATCTATGACTATGAGACTACCACAGCAGTGCCAGCACCAGCCACTATTGCCGACAACACCGATAGCGATAGTAGTGAGTTCAAATCTAATATAGTGATACTCTACTAATTTTTCATACCATATCAATCATTGTATCAACTATTTCAGGCCGTCAGATATCAGACATCAGAGACCTCTATATAATTAACGTAATATATGAATAGTTAGTAAATTTAACATCCTGATTTCGAATCCGAAGTGATTTACAACCTATCTCGCCTCCTAATATCATTTTCCATGGCTGTTGGGAGCAGTGTAAATCACTGAAGATGACCCTACTTGGTCATAGAGTGTATTTTTGGTATATTTCTCGCTCCTGCAAATTTCAGGATCCTTACTCAACAATTACATATGATACAGGTGTGCTTCCATTAGAAGTAATGTACATATTATAACAAGGGGAAGCTTTCGTGACAGTTCAATAATAATTAGTATCTGTCAAGTATGCTACTTACGACTTAGTATCTGTCAAGAATACTACTCATTACCACTTATTAGTATCTGTCAATTATGCTACTTACGACTTAGTATCTGTCAAGTATACTACTTACCACTTAGTATCTGTCAAGTATGCTACTTACCACTTAGTATCTGTCAAGTATACTACTTACCACTTAGTATCTGTCAAGTATGCTACTTACCACTTAGTATCTGTCAAGTATGCTACTTACGACTTAGTATCTGTCAAGTATACTACTTACCACTTAGTATCTGTCAAGTATGCTACTTACGACTTAGGTATCTGTCAAGTATACTACTTACGACTTAGTATCTGTCAATTAGGCTAGTTGACAGTTATATCTGTCAATTATTAAAAAAAATATATCATGTGGCGCTTCTACGCTTTCGTAGTAACTTGATATTCAACACCATTAATAAAGATATGAATATTTAAACAAGATTATATTAACTTATCTATCGATATTGAGGGTGTGTTTAATCTATGATATTGATAACAGAAATCTCTTGAATTTGATATTTTGCAAGTACTGACTAGGTGTCTTGTGGTTATGGACCATTTAGGTAGAAGATCCATGTCGCCAACACAATAAAACAAAAAACTAGATTTTTCTTAATAGAGTCCTCTTGCGGAGAATTGTGTAACTATATTAATTAAAAAGTCCCTAAATTTTTAGTGTCTTTGCTATTCTTTTGTCACCAGAAATCAATGTTGGTAGCGTCAGTCTCAGTCATTCCGTGAAGTCGAATGGCGTTTTAGTGTGATTGTGTACTCCCGTTGTTTCTTTGAATTAAAATAATGCCGCGTTCTAAAAAAGTTGTAAGTTAATAAGAGTGTCGGTGATTAGTTAGAATATCATTATATTCTATTTTCATTTCTATTAGACGCTTTATAGATTTCCTGCATGTCTGTGAATTAGTGTAAAATGGTAATGTCATTTTTTTTCTTTTAAGTTATTTTCTTGCCTAATTATGTTTATTTCTGCATTTTCTTTATATAACAGCCTTATATCTTCTTGAAAATTGACCAAGATGTTATTTCAGAATCTATAGATATTGATTTATTCTATTATTTAAGTCTTCTTTTTTGTTGGGCGCAGAATGTTAAAAATTCATAACCAAAAAATACAAAAAAAACACCACTTGGTTTTCGATCTGTGGCTTAGGATAGGGGCTGATATTTATATTTGTGGAATCACTGGAACTCCCAAGACAATATTCTTTAAATTCAGGGCGTTGGTTCACGCCATATTTGTCTTAGAATAAAAATTGTAGCCCTACCATTACTCATATTCCTCATGAATTCTTTATGCCCCTGCATTGGCTGATGATACTTCATAAAACTATGCCTTTTTGTCTTGGAAAGGTCTCTATATAATGATATGAAATGAATTTGAATATGCAGAATTGAACTGTTTTAATTGCCTTTTTTTTTCATTGGCTTTGTTTCTTTTAACACTACTGTTTATATTACAGACATAAATTTTACTGTTACTATTTATTGTTGCTAGTCTAAAAAGATGACAGACGAAGATGATAATTTGTCTGACAGCGACTTTGGTGAAGATGAAGACCCTGATAAAATCGAAGTTCCTGGTGAGTTCATTGAATGATATTTTGAATCACTGTTCTCATACATTTTGGGTTTATAGTAATCACTAACAATCTTTAGATGTCTAAAGAAACAACTGATAATACTGTTATAGTTAACAATAATGGTAAAAAATTGCACTACAAAAGTAGTATCTTTTGATTTTCTATTGCCATTTACAAAAATAGGTTTAGGTTTGTCTTTTATTTTCCTATATTGAGATCTTCTGAAGATAATATAGTCATGTGATTCTGTGATGAGCTATTTGTTTAAATAATGTTTAATTCATATATAGGTGGGGGCAAAGATTTGGCAGCAGCTGCTTCAATCATGGAAACAAGGGAGAATAAACTCAAGCAAGAAGGAAAAGTTAAGCAAGAAACAGATTTCAAACCTGATCCTAGGATGAGACAAATGCAGATGGGGATGGGCAGCTATAATCCTAAAATGGGGGCCCAAATGCATCCCAGTACCTTTGATATGATGCAAAGTCCACCTGCTAGTAAGTTAATCAATCAATTGATACTGACATTGATCTTGAATTGATTTTCATTTTTTATAAATTAAATATGTTTTTTTTTTTTCACCAAACACATTGATTTGATGACCAATTACAAAAAAGTAGGTTAATATTATTGCAAGATTGATGTACAGAATTATTATTCAATTGGAAAAAGTTTGAAAGACTTGAAGAGTATCTAACAATTTATTACCTCTAGCAAGCAATAAAACCTACATAATGGACATTCAATTATGTGGAAATAATTTTCATATTTCACATAATTATTGAAATGAATCATTTTGATAATATCCTATATTCAGGAGTAACTACTTATAAAATAGTTAGCATTCAAATCTTTATCCTTAATTGAATATATTATTCCATAGAAATTGTCTTCAAAACATAATCTTTGATTTTTCTATTTCTGAAATTGAAGTGATCATTTTCATAATCAAAATGTACATTGAGGTTTCACTTCAGTATACTGATAGTGATAACCAAAAAGTTATAATGAATCTATGTTATGAGAAGTCCTCAGAGAAGTAATTTTTTTCAAAATCATTTATCTTGAATCTATTGATTTTTGAGAGTGAGTTTTTCATTACTGAATATTTTTCAGTGCAATTTTGGGCCTACCATAATTGAGGACTCCTAAATCTTGTCCTGGAATCAAAATTTAAAAAAAATAATAATATCCTATCATTTTTTACTATAAAGATGCCCTGGTAATTGAAAACATTATTCTTTGAAAATACATGCCAAACAGACAAAAACACATGCAAAAACACATTAGCCTTTTGAACATTCAAATCAAGTTTTTATCCTTATTGCCCTTGGTGCCTCCTGAGCATTCAAAAATGCCTATGTGAAATAATTATCTAGTTCTAGTCTTCAAATGGCCTACCTGGTATATAAAAAAATGACAGGTCAACAGGCTGGTAAGCAAATCTTGAAAAAAAATTCTTGTTTGGGTCTTGGTGTTGACTTGACACATAAGGCTGCCCTGTTACCTTGTTTTAGTGATTTTAAATATTCAAAGAATTTGTGGCTTGTACTTATTGAATTCACACTCCTACTGCACTAAAGCCATACATATTCAAAGAATGTGTGGATTTTACTTATTGAATTCACACTCCTACTGCACTAAAGCCATAAATATTCAAAGAATGTGTGGATTGTACTTATTGAATTCACACTCCTACTGCACTAAAGCCATAAATATTCAAAGAATGTGTGGATTGTACTTATTGAATTCACACTCCTACTGCACTAAAGCCATAAATATTCTAAGAATGTGTGGATTGTACTTAATGAATTCACACTCCTACTGCACTAAAGCCATAAATATTCTAAGAATGTGTGGATTGTACTTAATGAATTCACACTCCTACTGCACTAAAGCCATAAATATTCTAAGAATGTGTGGATTGTACTTAATGAATTCACACTCCTACTGCACTAAAGCCATACATATTCAAAGAATGTGTGGATTGTACTTAATGAATTCACACTCCTACTGCACTAAAGTCATAAATATTCAAAGAATGTGTGGATTGTACTTAATGAATTCACACTCCTACTGCACTAAAGCCATAAATATTCAAAGAATGTGTGGATTGTACTTAATGAATTCACACTCCTACTGCACTAAAGCCATAAATATTCAAAGAATGTGTGGATTGTACTTAATGAATTCACACTCCTACTGCACTAAAGCCATAAATATTCTAAGAATGTGTGGATTGTACTTAATGAATTCACACTCCTACTGCACTAAAGCCATAAATATTCTAAGAATGTGTGGATTGTACTTAATGAATTCACACTCCTACTGCACTAAAGCCATAAATATTCTAAGAATGTGTGGATTGTACTTAATGAATTCACACTCCTACTGCACTAAAGCCATAAATATTCTAAGAATGTGTGGATTGTACTTAATGAATTCACACTCCTACTGCACTAAAGCCATAAATATTCTAAGAATGTGTGGATTGTACTTAATGAATTCACACTCCTACTGCACTAAAGCCATACATATTCAAAGAATGTGTGGATTGTACTTAATGAATTCACACTCCTACTGCACTAAAGCCATAAATATTCTAAGAATGTGTGGATTGTACTTAATGAATTCACACTCCTACTGCACTAAAGCCATAAATATTCTAAGAATGTGTGGATTGTACTTAATGAATTCACACTCCTACTGCACTAAAGCCATACATATTCAAAGAATGTGTGGATTGTACTTAATGAATTCACACTCCTGCTGCACTAAAGCCATAAATATTCAAAGAATGTGTGGATTGTACTTAATGAATTCACACTCCTACTGCACTAAAGCCATAAATATTCTAAGAATTTGTGGCTTGTACTTATTGAATTCACACTCCTACTGCACTAAAGCCATACATATTCAAAGAATGTGTGGATTGTACTTAATGAATTCACACTCCTACTGCACTAAAGCCATAAATATTCAAAGAATGTGTGGATTGTACTTAATGAATTCACACTCCTACTGCACTAAAGCCATAAATATTCAAAGAATGTGTGGATTGTACTTAATGAATTCACACTCCTACTGCACTAAAGCCATAAATATTCTAAGAATGTGTGGATTGTACTTAATGAATTCACACTCCTACTGCACTAAAGCCATAAATATTCTAAGAATGTGTGGATTGTACTTAATGAATTCACACTCCTACTGCACTAAAGCCATAAATATTCTAAGAATGTGTGGATTGTACTTATTGAATTCACACTCCTACTGCACTAAAGCCATACATATTCAAAGAATGTGTGGATTGTACTTAATGAATTCACACTCCTACTGCACTAAAGCCATAAATATTCTAAGAATGTGTGGATTGTACTTAATGAATTCACACTCCTACTGCACTAAAGCCATAAATATTCAAAGAATGTGTGGATTGTACTTAATGAATTCACACTCCTACTGCACTAAAGCCATAAATATTCTAAGAATGTGTGGATTGTACTTAATGAATTCACACTCCTACTGCACTAAAGCCATAAATATTCTAAGAATGTGTGGATTGTACTTAATGAATTCACACTCCTACTGCACTAAAGTCATAAATATTCTAAGAATGTGTGGATTGTACTTATTGAATTCACACTCCTACTGCACTAAAGCCATACATATTCAAAGAATGTGTGGATTGTACTTAATGAATTCACACTCCTACTGCACTAAAGCCATAAATATTCAAAGAATGTGTGGATTGTACTTAATGAATTCACACTCCTACTGCACTAAAGCCATAAATATTCTAAGAATGTGTGGATTGTACTTAATGAATTCACACTCCTACTGCACTAAAGCCATAAATATTCTAAGAATGTGTGGATTGTACTTAATGAATTCACACTCCTACTGCACTAAAGCCATACATATTCAATGAATGTGTGGATTGTACTTAATGAATTCACACTCCTACTGCACTAAAGCCATAAATATTCTAAGAATGTGTGGATTGTACTTAATGAATTCACACTCCTACTGCACTAAAGCCATACATATTCAAAGAATGTGTGGATTGTACTTAATGAATTCACACTCCTACTGCACTAAAGCCATAAATATTCAAAGAATGTGTGGATTGTACTTAATGAATTCACACTCCTACTGCACTAAAGCCATAAATATTCTAAGAATTTGTGGCTTGTACTTATTGAATTCACACTCCTACTGCACTAAAGCCATACATATTCAAAGAATGTGTGGATTGTACTTAATGAATTCACACTCCTACTGCACTAAAGCCATAAATATTCGAAGAATGTGTGGATTGTACTTAATGAATTCACACTCCTACTGCACTAAAGCCATAAATATTCAAAGAATGTGTGGATTGTACTTAATGAATTCACACTCCTACTGCACTAAAGCCATAAATATTCTAAGAATGTGTGGATTGTACTTAATGAATTCACACTCCTACTGCACTAAAGCCATAAATATTCTAAGAATGTGTGGATTGTACTTAATGAATTCACACTCCTACTGCACTAAAGCCATAAATATTCTAAGAATGTGTGGATTGTACTTATTGAATTCACACTCCTACTGCACTAAAGCCATACATATTCAAAGAATGTGTGGATTGTACTTAATGAATTCACACTCCTACTGCACTAAAGCCATAAATATTCTAAGAATGTGTGGATTGTACTTAATGAATTCACACTCCTACTGCACTAAAGCCATAAATATTCAAAGAATGTGTGGATTGTACTTAATGAATTCACACTCCTACTGCACTAAAGCCATAAATATTCTAAGAATGTGTGGATTGTACTTAATGAATTCACACTCCTACTGCACTAAAGCCATAAATATTCTAAGAATGTGTGGATTGTACTTAATGAATTCACACTCCTACTGCACTAAAGTCATAAATATTCTAAGAATGTGTGGATTGTACTTATTGAATTCACACTCCTACTGCACTAAAGCCATACATATTCAAAGAATGTGTGGATTGTACTTAATGAATTCACACTCCTACTGCACTAAAGCCATAAATATTCAAAGAATGTGTGGATTGTACTTAATGAATTCACACTCCTACTGCACTAAAGCCATAAATATTCTAAGAATGTGTGGATTGTACTTAATGAATTCACACTCCTACTGCACTAAAGCCATAAATATTCTAAGAATGTGTGGATTGTACTTAATGAATTCACACTCCTACTGCACTAAAGCCATAAATATTCTAAGAATGTGTGGAATGTGCTTATTGAATTCACACTCCTACTGCACTAAAGCCATACATATTCAAAGAATGTGTGGATTGTACTTAATGAATTCACACTCCTACTGCACTAAAGCCATAAATAATAAAAGAATGTGTGGATTGTACTTATTGAATTCACACTCCTACTGCACTAAAGCCATAAATATTCAAAGACTGTGTGGATTGTACTCATTGAATTCACACTCCTACTGCACTGAAGCCATAAATATTCAAAGAAGACAGGACTCTAACATCTTCTTGATTACTCGATTATAATTGATGTCTTTACAATCTTGCTTCACGAGTGGGAATGGAAGATCATCTGACCAATAGCGAAACAGCATAAAAACTGACGTCACCATTTATTCGACGTATCGCCGGCGACCATGACGGTACGTTTGAAATGAGCGCTGAAATTCAAAGTGGGTCAGTGAGTCACTCCGTATACACGTCTGGCAAGAGAACCAGTTTGATCTCGTGAATAAATGAGCTTTGGCATTAGCTGTGTAGTTGTTAATTTATATCAGTGGAGTGTCCGTACTTTATATACACGTCTGGCAAAAGAATTCTCATGTGGAAACCATCTATTGAGTTCCACGTGTATCTGAATGAGGGGAAAGCAGAGCAACACTGCCAAACCTTGCCTTCCACCTACGTATCGCGTTTGCTTAGTCGCACAAATAGGTATAATGGCATCGTCGCTTACGTTTCTTTCCCTTTATCATGAACCTTTTTATGTTTATTCAATCAATATATGATTCTCCTATGAGAAGATGTCTGTTGCCAGACGAGTATAAAAACTTCTCGAAACGAAAGTGTCAAATACATCAAGTGGAAATGACTGAGCTCTTCTCACTTTCAGCTCAGGATTATCAGATTTAAATTGACCGAATACATGAAATCCTTCAAAACTAGCTGAAATTTGGTATACTGACGATGTATTTGATAATTAACAATTAGTCAAAACTCCCCAAGCTTCCGCCACTTGCGTCATAATACATACAGGGTGTTAAAAAAATAATTCGTACATATTTTTTTTTACAATAGAGTATCTTCCTAAAGGAACAAATATTAAAAAAAAGTACAAAATAGATCTGAAAATATTTATCAGACAGGAAAAAATACAATTCTTTGATCAGTGAAATTGAATCCATATCATCAGCATGTAATTTTCACAAGATTATGGCAAACAGAATGGCGACACATTGCCGAACACATCAAACCTGATGCTTTTCTACCCTCGCACCAATGTTCACATCCACTTTTACAACCACAGCTGATGAGATTCAGTAAATTATCAGGCGCATTCGAGTTTTGATGACTATTACAATTCTTCAACGAATTTTTATTTCTTTTTGACAAATTCTTTTAGTGCTGTTTGAAAATTTTCAAAATTAGATAATTCTTTCAATACCTCAGGTAATTCATTGTATTCGTGCAACTTCGAAAAAATTATCAGTTCATGGTACTTCTGTAAGCCGTTCTGTTTATATGATTGTATATTGTTTGAATTTCTAGTGTTGTACGTATGAATGTCATTATTCAGGTTGATAAACTGATTGAAGTATTCAGGTTGTTACGTTTCGAATAAGGTGTGGTTTTTAGATTTAAAATTTGGCCGGTTCAAGACTTGTCAAAAAAGGTCGAATAGAGATGGACTCACCTGAAATCTTCCCTGATCCGATCTTCCTCGGGGTTGCAACCACCTTATCCGCTGATCAAAAAGTTTGTGGACTGTATAAAGGGCTGGCTGTGTTGCACACTAGATTTGCTTTGCATTTGTTCGAAAAAGAGACACTTATACACAGTGAATGGAATGGATACAGAGAGAGTACGCGTCTTTCACTGAATATATCAATATCAATGCGACTATATGACCGTTCGCGGCATGTCCGTCTCAAAGCTTTGACAGTCACAAGAAATATGAGACAAAAACTCCTTCAAATTAGAAGAAGGAAAATATAGAAATCACTATACAGAGTGATGGTGAATATTTAATTTCATGGCAAAATTAATCCCTAATAATAATATGAGGAAAATTATGAAGAACTAATTTAGGAGGAAAAAAAATAGGCATATTAAAATATTTATGCTGCTAACTTAACCTACAGTTAACGTGGGGTGTTGACACAGGTGCTATATCATTTACAATTATGAATACTAGAATCATTGTGAAATAATAGAGTCTACCTTCAACTGACTATCAATTCCAACATGAATGTGATGGGGTTAGAACGTCCATATGTGTCCAGTGTGTAAAAAACGTTCATTACCCTTTTCAAATGAAATTCGCAAGATTTCACCCCTGCTTCTCATAACAACCGAAATTTGGTGAATTTGCAATTCCAAATTCCAATGACTCACTTTTTTTCCGAAAATTTGACTAATGTGTCTAACTCTTTCGTCCCAATGAATGTTGATCCATTATCTGAATGAATGATGTTGGGTTTACCCCTGCGAGATACAAATCTCCTCGAGGTTCCAAGAAACGCCTTAGTTGACAAACTTGTTACCAATTTCAAGTGTATTGCTTCGGTGGAGAAACATACAAACAGACACAGATAACATCTTTGAACCCCGACCAATGGGTCAGATGGGAAAATAGCGTGCATAGATACATATTCGCGATAGAAAATAGCACGTGGCCCCATCTGACGGCAGCAACTTGAACACTTCTGAGCGGTTTGTTTTGATGATATGACTAATAAGCACAAACGAAAAACAAATGTGAACCAATTAAAACGAAATAAACATGTCGCTTTGACAGCTTTCATGTACTTCGATAGGTGCCGTATGCTTATTTTCTATCGCGAATAGTGGTCTTGGTGGGAATGGTATGGTACCAAACATTGTTTTATCAGGCATACTGAGTTCCGCTTTTCTAGAGAAAATACAGGCTTGAATTTTGGTGGCGCTGAATTCAACTAGGTTAATGGTTCCCTAGGCTGCAATTTCCGCAAGAACTTTATTGACAGCGTTAGCCTTCGTCGTAAGTTTTTAGTTTACTGAGAAGAAATGGGTATTCTAGAAGATAACGCAGAATGGAGAGTACTATTGTAGCAGGCGTTGTTTACTCGATTCCCGAAGCGTGGGCGGACGGGAGAGGGACGGCGGTGTATTCTGGAACGCAAGCGGCAGAGGGGTGGGGAGTTTCAGGACATTCATTTTCTGAGTATTATGAGTACCTATGCAGTTATAAAAGATTTTATATTTAAAACCTAATAGTCCTGAGCTATTCGTTGTCATTCTTGTGTTTGTTTGCAGTGGGTTCCCCGTACGGCATGGGCAGCATGGCCGCAATGGCGAGCATGCTCAGCAGCCTGGGGGGGCCCATGAACTCGATGTTCTCGGCGGCGCCGCAGTCGGCAGCTGGGGCTGCGGCCGGTTTTAACGCCGCGCAGTTTCTGCAGCAGAGTAAGTCACATCTCGAGCCCGGATCCGATGATATGTATCTCTGCTAGATGGCGCCTAGAGAGGAGGAGATTGAAACGAACATGATCTGCGACGATATACAAAAGTGTCCTTGAAAGCAACGATATTAATAATTGAATACATTGGTTGTGTTAGCGGGAATTCGGTCGAAATGTTGAAGAATACCATCTTTTTCGTGCCAAGCTATTCGACAAAATCAAAAAGAAACAGAGGCATTATGGAATATTCATTACAATGTATCGCGCAGGATATAGGAAAATAGACACAGGTACTCGTTGTCTAAATACAGATAGAAACATCTTGTTAGGCCCAAATTTCGATCTATACCCTCCATTCCATTTGCCTTCATTTCGATTCACCCATACCTTGAAAAATATATTTCTTCTAAGAAGAAGGTTCATTTAAGCCGAGTTAGGTTAGATTGTTTAGAAAAAGTGGTGTCCTTTTTTTATGCAGGAAGGATAGTTTCCTTCCTCCCTGAAAAAAGTACCAACTGTCTCCTTAGGAAGGAGGTGCATTTAGGTCTAGTAAGGTTAGATGGTTCAAAAAAAGTAGTGTATGCAGGAGGGATATTTTCCTTCCTCCCAAAAAGTACTGTAGAGGCATTTACTATTGAGTAAAGTTTTGACGACATTACTTTGGAGAGTAAAAGGTGTTGTTTTAAAGAATGGTGATTTTAGGTCAGATTAGGTCAAGTTAGCAAAATTAAATTACCCATGGATATCAACTACTTAATAAGAAATATGTATTGGGACACAAAATACTCACTTGGATTCATTCTGAGGAGACAAGTTGCTATTATCAATCCATGTACCTTTCACCACTGAAATATCTTGTCTACATTTTCAAGATTTAGGACAATGGTATATCTCCAGATCGGTTTCTCTAAAATAATAATGGGAAGATGGCTCAACCGGATTCTTATGTTCCTTGAATTTGACAACGGTCACCATAGCAACAAATTCTCCATAACTGATTTCAGCTAAACGAAACTTGAACCATTGTTTTCAGCGGATTGTGTATATTTTTAACAATATCTGCTGTGTTCAGTCTTCCTTTGTTGTAGATAATTTCCTGTTTGTCCTATATACACATTTTGGACAGTCATCCTCGAGATTTTCTTAAGGCTGATTTTATGTACAGACCTGAACGAGGTCTCCAAGTGTTTTCCATTTTGTGTATATCATTGAAATTTATTTCTAATGCTCACACCTTCCTACTTGATTTTCTTTTTCAATAAAAATATTTCGTTTACACTGATCGCTTTTGTCTTGCTGTATTCAAATCAAATTATTGGTTCACTCATTTTCAATGAATTACCTCTACCATGCCACGAAGTTAGCAATATTCTCTTAAGATGATAATTATATCAGTTTTCAGTGTAACTATTATAGATTCACAGAGTCTACATATTGGTGTTTTATTGAGTGAAGTTGAGTGATTGCAGCTATAGGATTCCAAAATTCTTGCCTTAATCAACTGTGAAATGCTGACATGCGCAGTAAATAAAGTTTCTAGTACTCATAAGTCGTTTCATCCTCCACAAACACATCGTGTGATTCTTCTCTCGTTGATCCAACAAAGGGGGTTTGAGTACACTCATCAATTTGTTGATATCATTTTTCATCGACCAACAAAGGAATGAACACAGTCGAATACATAAACCCTTGCATTATATTTCGTTGCCTTACTAGTATCATCGCTCTCGTCATGTATTGCATCTCCAACATGTTCCCGACTTTGAGGCCAATAATTGAACGCGCCTGTATAAAGATAAAAAGATCCAACCAATGAAATTGGAGCCACAATAGACTCATCTGGGGTCGCAGTGGAGGGGAGGTATTCGCCCCACTCACATGGAACCTAACCAATGAAATTACGAACGAGAGATTGGCAATGAGCAAAACTTCACCTGCCGTTGTTAAACAAGCAGCAATTAGACGGTCGTTTCTGTCTTTCATGTTCGTTTCAATGCTCAACAGAGGGTGGTAGGGCAAAGGCACGTCTAGTAGTTGATATATCATTAGATCTCTGATCTCGACCCGTTGTCTCATGGTCGATACACGTTCGGATTGTTCGAGGGAAAACTGGATTGGATGGGAATGAAATTGACCATGAGACAATGGCCTAATGCATTGTGAGTGTTGTAAATAATTCATTTTTTGATGTTTTTTTATTTCTATTATTTTGGATTGAATAGTCAGCTCACTTATTCTAGAAAAAGTGAATACTGTTGTTTATCTTTATGCATGTGGCATGTATACACTCACATAATATCGTTAATATTAATTGATTACATAGACTCACAATTGACTTGATCTTCTGCCCTGCACGTATAACTGCTGTGAAATAACTGCTACTTCTTTATTTGACTACTGAGCTCCATGAACTTTGAAGTTCTCGTAGTTATTGAGTTGATTAGATACGCAAATAATAAATACACCTGCTTTCACCAGCGTACATAGTGAATATAAGATAGACCGAAGTTTGATGATTCTTCGATCTCTGGAAAACCTGGTCAATAACCTCCAATTATACTAATGCTACTTTCACTAGATGCACCCCCCGTTGATTGTGATCCATTGCTTCAATAAAAAAACCTTGCTCCTTCCCAACCCAGATTTTGTCTATTTATGTATGCTGCCTTAACTAGAACACAATGAACCGGGAAAGTTGTGACGTCATATGAAGGTCTCTAACATCATTCTTGTCAAAAAAGGGTTTCAATGAAATGAATATAGTGAACACATTGAGTGAGCTCACTAAAAATTGGAGGGTTTGTTCGGAAACGTTTTGACAAGAATAACATTTTTTTGTAACTGTCATTGACATCAGGCTTTCATGGTCCAGGTATATAACGTATTCAACTGTCAGTACTAAATCTAATGAATTTTCATACTAAAATCAACAAAATGCACAGTGCACAGTGACAAGATCTTGTCTGTCCATTTTGATTATTCTCGGGCAAAATTTTTGTTGAAATTTCTGACCAACAGAAGGTGGTTTGGAGTCAGCAATCTGACAACAATGAGGTTGATAATATATTATTCTTTGTTACTGAATATGACATTATTTTTCTCAACTATCGTTGCTGCTCGATGACGATTTGTTATACCTTTGATATAGACATCATACAGATCGTTTGCCCAATCGTTACATATACAGTGTGGAGACTTCAACTGGGATGAATTGTTAGCGGGGAGGTGAATATTTTTTCAAAAAATTCCCGACATGTCAACGATTTGATGTATTTACCTACCTTTTGCAAGCAATATCGAGAATGTATTCCTCCAGGGGTAGCTGAAGCCACCATCAACATCCAGCGTACTAGTGACGTTTTAGTTCATACGTTTGAAGGTTGCATAAAATTGAAATGTGATTTAAAAATGTTTATTTACAACTATATGATATGTAATGTCATCATTACTGACGTTTAAAAAGTCTGAAACTGACATATTACCTACTTTCACTTCCCACCCTCGAATGGAAAATTTTCCACCCGTGGGTGGGAAATTTTCCACCCGTGAGAGGATTTTTTTCTGTTAATTTTGAGAGAAGATGTCTTTCTTAAGTTTTTTAAATAAAAAGTTCATTTACCTATTTGATTTTATTGAGACTTATAAGCACACTTGACAACATTAGCACTTCTTGAGTTCTTTAGGATCAGTAAACACAAAATTAACAAGAACTGAACTTTTCAAACAAAGGATTAATAATTTCTGTATGTACATATATTTAAAGATTATTGACATTTTTTAAATTGATCGTTATGGTCGAACTATTGTGAGATGCTACAGAAACCATCTACCATTGCGTAATTTCTTTGCTTGAAAAGTTCAGTTTTTGTGGTACAGATGATGAAATCTTCATGGTGACTGATGAAGGATTGGAGGAAGTAGTTTCGCCAGAGAGCAGATTAGCAGTCTTCGTTTGATTGGAGAACAAAGTATCTCTACATTGCCTTCTGCCACGGTACTCGATTTCCATCCTCCCATTCTCTTCAATTGGAGAACAAGACATCTTTCAATTAATCACTGATTGAAATTATCATTTTCTGTGGAATGCAGTGAGATAACTTTCATGAATAACCTGTGAAACCAAGCAATAATGATTCATTATACCCTATTAAGGAATTGAAACTAAAAAAATATCACAATGACCACTAAACTTTCCATAAAATGCATGGAAACTTCTCATTAGTTACTTGAATGAATATCCACAAGTGGGCTTATCGCTTATTTTCAATTGCCTTCTCTCTGCCATCCTTTCTTAATACTCTTATATGTAACGATTCGATAAAAAATCTGTATAGACCCATAATACAAATCTAACCTCTAGATTTTTCTCTAAACATTGATTCACCTATTCACCAGATGAATATAGCATCATCACAGTGAAACCTACTGACAGTCGAATTCGTAATATATCCATCGTCTATCGCCACCTTGCCCCTAAATCCTACCCTCTCCCGCAGTGGAAATGGCCGCGTACAGCCCCTACATGGAGAACTTCAAGAACCAAGTGGCCCTCGCCACCTGGCTGTACGGCTCGCAAGGCCCCATGCCGCAATGGGGCGGACCGCTCAGCAACAAGGCCGTCCAATCGCTGTGGATGAACCAGATGGACAACAAGCAGCTGCAGCACCAAGAAGAGGAGGAGGTCGACGACGAGGAGATGGGCGTGGCCGAAACGTACGCCGACTACATGCCGGCCAAGCTGAAGCTGGGCAAGAAGCATCCCGATCCGGTGGTGGAGACCGCGTCGCTGTCGTCTGTCACTCCTGCGGATGTGTGGTACAAGATGTCGATACCGGAGGAGACGATTAGGGGCGGGCATTTGTCCGCTTTGCAGCTGGAGAGCATCACTTATGCGTCGCAGGCGCACGAGCATATGTTGCCGGACGGATCGAGGGCTGGATTTTTAATAGGTTTGACCATTGACTAAAGCCATATTTGTGCGATCTGGCGCCTTAGCCTAATCTTGAAGCGTCTTTATGTGTGACGTCATCAAATATTTGCCTCGTTAAAACAAGCGCCAGTTAGCGTTACGTCATTGATGTTTTGGTGCTGCCGTTACTGGCAGTTGACATGTTTTGACAATAGTTTTTCTCAGTATATTTGCAAAAGGTAAATTATTTATTGAAAATTTGTTCATAATAGTAATATATATTGGTATAAAATATTTGTTTCTGTGCTGTTCCAGTGTTTGGAAAACGATAATGTAGGAATTGTTCATTTTATGCAAGAAGATTTTTGTGTGTTTGCAATCATGGTTATGTGGCTTAGAAGAAGATGCTTCTCTGCCTTGATTCGCAATTTATTATTGTATAATATGAGATAAGAACATGTTCTTTTCATTTATGAGGATGAGTGGGATCAGAGATACTTTGAATCTAGACTTTTTTCTCTTATTTCCGATGACAAAAGAGAGAAAGAGAGAAATAAAATATGCACATAACCTTACAAGTGTCAAACAATTTGAAAACACAGTCACTTATCCCCACTTCAATCTGCTATTATACCCGGTTCGCGGTCTCTGTACTACGCGCATTCTCACTTAAAGCGGCTTTAAGCGTGACGTCATGACTTATTCGATCAAATGTGGTCACTTACAGCGCCTTAACGCGTCTAACTCGCACAAATATGGCTTAAATTACGATAAACATCGCGATTCATTCATGAATCATTAAAAATTACACACCAAAGACGGATAAATGAATGAAATCGCGAATGGTGGGGATAACTCAGTGGAATCATTGCGAGAGAATTGATGTCTTGTGGTACAAGATGGCGATACCGGAGAAGACGATCAGTGGTGGACACTTGTCCACTTTGCAGCTACAGAGCATCACTTATGCGTCGCAGGCACACGAGCATGTTGCCTGACGGATCGAGGGCTGGATTTTTAATAGGTTTGACCATAGATCAAATTACGATAGATATCGCGATTCATGAAATCATTAAAAATTATACGGCAAAGACGTATAAATGGATGTAATCGCGAATGGTGTTGATAACTCTGTGGAATCATTGTCAGAGAATTGATATTCTTTACGAAAATAAAGGGTGATTCATGAGGAGAACCACGTAGCCAAATGGTGAATAGGGGAAATCAAGACGAGTTGATGTATGTATATAAAACATTTTTTGGCCATCTATAAGGACGATACACAGGCTATTATGTAAAATTGCCATATAACTTAGATGATTCATCGTAATTAGCTGAAATTTGGCAGGGAAGTTCTTCTATTGAAACTTCTCAAGATAGAATATTGAGAAAAAAATAACAGGTCCGGAGAAAAATTCATTTTTTATTATTATGTTCAGAAAGTTCACTTTGTGATCGCTTTTCTCGAAAAATTTCATCAGATCCAGAAAGATCAGACAAAACGCCATAGGAACTACTCTTCAATTTGCACGGCACACTGACCGATTCAATGAAAAAATATGTAAAAAAAAACGTTCCAACGAATTTTCAATTTTGACCTGGCTGATAGCTCTTAACTTTCAACTGGATTATTGTAAATTGATTTATTGGACAACCGTACGGAATGTACCGACTTCCCGGGCGCTTTTTCTTTGAGAAAGTAGCATTTTTACGGACTTGTCCGGGAAGTAAGTACTTCCCGGACAAGTCCGGGACTCTGTAAAGTATGACGCTGAACGCGGTCTGAAAGACATCGCCACTACCCATATCATTTTTTATGGAATGCAAGATACACATCTAATCTCAAGACACACTTTGTGACATGTATTCATGAAAATCGACTTATAAATTTCGACCATACGTTTCCTAGTAATTCACTTTTCTGTCAGGCGATGGCGCTGGAGTCGGCAAAGGTCGTACCATCGCCGGCATAATCTACGAGAACTATCTGAAGGGCAGGAAGCGGGCCATATGGGTGTCGGTGTCCAACGACTTGAAGTACGACGCCGAACGCGATCTGAAAGACATCGGCGCCGGCAAGATCGACGTCCACCCTCTGAACAAGCTGAAGTACGCCAAAATCTCGTCGGCAGTCAACAATAACATCAAGAAGGGTGTGATATTCAGCACGTATTCGGCGCTGATCGGGGAAAGCAATTCGGCAGGAGGCAAATACAAATCTAGGCTGAAGCAGTTGTTGCACTGGTGCGGACCTGACTTTGACGGGCTCATCATTTTCGATGAGTGTCACAGGGCGAAGAATTTGTGTCCTGTTGGTTCGTCGAAACCAACTAAAACCGGTAAGATATTCTATCTACAACTATCGAGTTTATCGTCCATTACTGACTACATTTTCAATAGATAGTGACTGTCATAAAATGCGCGACTTTTCTCTAATTTAACCATCTTCGGATTGTTTATAATAAAAGTGGACTGTATTTTGGAAATTGTCATCAGATAAATTCGTCAAATCACAGAGCGTTCTAACATGGCCACTTACCGATGATGTCTTCTTCACCACGCCGAATGGTCGATATCTTGGAGACGGTACCGTCGTAGACCTCCTCAGGGGTTGGAAAACCACTCGAGTTCGTTCACAGAGGGATTAAAATTCAGAACACATGAACTGATTACCTAATATTGCAATTTTTATAATTTTCAGTTTTGAATTAGTTTTGCGAGAGAGAGATAGATCATTCTCAAGTACTCATGGTACTTCAATGGAGGTGGGGAATATGTCCATGGAACCATCATTAGTGGCTTATTGAAGGACACTCTGTGATTGGAAAACGCGCGTATATTAAAATCAATATAATTAGCAGATATGCCTTTAGACCATTGAATATTGATCAACAAAAAAAGAAAGAAATATAATGAAATGACTGGATAATCTGCCTATCCATTATGGTTTCCGCGATCCCCATGATAGACATCCTCAACTTGGACACAGTGTATATAATCAATACATTCACCGTTCGAATAACCTGATTGCTGGTCGCAGGTTTGACCGTCTTGGAGATACAAAACAAGCTGCCGAAAGCGAGAGTGGTGTACGCGTCTGCGACGGGGGCTTCGGAGCCGCGCAACATGGCGTACATGGTGCGGTTGGGGCTGTGGGGCGAGGGCACGCCCTTCCGGGAGTTCGCCGATTTCATATCGGCCGTGGAGAAGAGGGGCGTGGGCGCGATGGAAATTGTCGCTATGGACATGAAGTTGAGAGGTGAGATTACACTTAGTGCCAATTTCATAATATTGTCAATATCATACTATCATCTGCAATATTTCCTACTAAATGGAAAACTGGGATCGTGACCCCAGTTGTCAAAAGTGGTAATAAATTGAATGTAAAGAATTATAGACCAGTGTCCATAATGTGTGCGCCAGCCAAACTATAGGAACAGATTATTTACTCAGCATTATATAATTACACTGAGAAATATATTGCATCACAACAGCACGGCTTTATATTCAGTAGATCTGTTAATACAAATCTTTTTTCCTCTGCTAACCACATTGTATAAATTGAGTAGATTTGGATTATCTAATACTATTTTGAGATTGATCAGGAGCTATTTAGAAAGCAGATATCTAATTGTTAAACATAATGGTATATTCTTAGATAAAATCGCGGAACTACCTGGGAGTTCCTCAGGGGTCAAACCTGGGGCCTCTTTTCTTCATTATTTTCATTAACGACTTACCAGCTCTATTCAAGTCATCAGAGTGTCTTATGTTTGCTGATGACTTGAAAATATTCAAGCGCATCCAGACGGTTAGAGACTCTGTGAGGTTGATAATAGATATAGATGACCTTAAAGAGTGGTGTAGGATAAACAAGTTGAACTTTAACGTTAAAAAATGCTGCGTTTTGACCAATACTCGTCAAATGGACCCAATTCTCTTCGATTACAGATCAATTGAACCGCGTTCGAGCAAATCAACGTTTTTATCTCTTGGCAAAAAGTTTTGTTTTTCCTGACTCCTATATTCGAAAAGAACTTATACAGAGAGATGTGGTTTCTTACCGAAACAAAAGCAATCGTTACAAATACTAGTTTTCCTCCTAATCTAATTATTTTTTTCAAATATAAATGAAATATCGTAACAATAAATCCATTCGTTTCAAGGAATGTATATAGCGCGGCAGCTCAGCTTCCACGGCGTCGCCTTCAAGATCGAAGAGGTGCCATTGTCGAAGGAGTTCGAAAAGGTGTACGACGCCAGCGTGAAGCTGTGGGTGGAGGCGATGCAAAAGTTCCACGAGGCCGCCGAGCTGGTCGACGCCGAGAACCGCATGCGCAAGACCATGTGGGGCCAGTTCTGGTCGGCGCACCAGCGCTTCTTCAAGTACTTGTGCATAGCGGCGAAGGTAAATATCGTTTTTCTGCAACCGACAGAAAAGTCGTTCATTTACTTTAGTTACTTTAGTTGGTTGGTTATTTGGGTTGGGACGGATACCTGATTTGTTTCCGATTTCGGCAGATTTGGCATTCCATATCCATGCTGGAGATATAAATGCACCTTATAATAGTTGAGTATAGGAATTATAAACATCTCAGTTGAGTATTTTTGTTTTGATCAGGGTCCAGGGAAGCCTTCAAGATTCACATACTTGCTTGATCTGTATTTCATTCGTTATTCTCGGAATGGATAACTTGTGTTTTATTAATCACGGCAAGCAATAGTTTTTTTGTCTCAAACAATGATATTGTTTACTTTCATTTGATTATCAAGTCAAACACATTGAAAATAAATGTCTTGTCAGGCTAGGGGTTAGCACCACCAGAACCGTCCGGCTACTGATATCTTCTAATATTTACCCAAAGTAACATGTATAAAATCCATATTTTATACTTTAACGAAAGTTAAGTTACAATTCATCAAGATTTAAGGGTGTCTGGCAAGGGGTACCCACCATTGTATCGTGTCTGGCGATGGATGATGTAGTTGATGAATATTATCCCGAATAAAATAATATAAAAAAATTACCCTTTATAGTATGACGAAAGCCAGTTGGTATTTTCAACACTTTTGCTCCCTGTAACCTCCCAAAGGCAACATGACCTACTTTTCATATTTGCCCATCGTTTTTACCTGTATTGGGAGCATGCGCTGATATACTTTCAGCTTTTATAAAAAAACGAAGGTCTGGCGTTCATGGAATCTATAAGATGTTTCGACGGCGTTATTGCGCAGTGGTTGTGCGCTCGACTAGCAATCAGAACACCGAAAGGTTACTAGATTTGATCCCGGCAGAACAGAGATTTTTTATTTATAAAACGAGATAAATTCAAATTTCTGTAGCCTCGGCCGGAGATGATTCCGCACGATTCGCTGTTGCATTCCAATTAACAGTGATGCTCTTAAGGTGGCGTATGGCGTTAGTAACAACGCCTACACAGAACACACATGGGCTGAAGAACCTCTCGTAAGGTCGATGGCCAGTTGGTTTGTACATACATTCCAACGAAGTACATATATCACTACTACTAAGATATTCCAACCAAATTATCCTCTTGAATTGTTCATTCGGCAGCGATTCCACAGAGGTCATTGATCCTTTCGACTATCGGTAACAATAAATAGGACACGTCAATGTCACATGTTATAAAAGAACGAACAGTGTAATTAAGGAATTGACAAATAAGACAAAGATAGATAAGATATCATTTCCACAGAGAAAAAAACATACTGAATCTTTGGGGTCAAAACAAACAAGCTCGATTCATTGATTGATTGATTGATTGATTGATTGATTGATTGATTGAAGGTACCGCATGCGGTCGCCGTGGCACACGAGGCTATCAAGATGGGCAAATGCGTGGTGATAGGGCTGCAAAGTACCGGCGAGGCTAGGACATTGGAGCAGCTCGAGAGGGACGATGGCGAATTGACTGATTTCGTTTCGACTGCCAAAGGTTAGTATAAGTCCATTGATCGTGTGAATCGGAGAAGATGAGGCCAAAACCTTGGATAAAGGGTGCTCAGACTTTGAACTACCTCAAAACGTTTAGGTGACAAACGATCGTCATGTACGACTGACTACTGACAATTAAGCCATTTATGAGAATGACTTACAAAGAAAATCATACTTGTTTAAATTTGAATATCTAATGAAATTAGAATGTTATTTGTGATTAATATTTATTTTTTCGCAATCGATTACAAAAGGTCTCGCCATCAACCGGTCTGTAGGTGTTGAGTTAACCTGGCTAAATCGAAATCAATCGGTATTAACATTTGCATTAGTATTCGTTTATACATATTGATGCATAGATTTCGGGAAGATGTAATTCAATGTTCTGCGTGGCATTAGCCAGGAAAGTAGTTGTTTTTCTCCCGTTATCTACCATTGTTAATCATCTTATGAACATTCGTGGAAATGACTGAGCTTTTTCTGTATTCATTTGACACTTCATTCCACTTTGAGCATTTTGGCTATTCGATAACTCTGGGAACTACACAACACTGTTCATCATCTTATTTTTCAGGAGTATTCCAGACTTTGGTGGAGAAACATTTCCCCGCTCCCGACCGAAGTAGAATTCACAGATTGCTGGGTCTGGATCCGCCGTCGAACTCTAAGAAAACCACGAACGGCAATGAAGATGCTAACAGTTCCGGAAAACGAAAGCCAAGTATGGAACTTTTCATTAAATGCTCACTCGATCGTGGCCTTAGTGAATAAATAAGGCGGTCTTTTCCTACTTTTCCTCCAACTAGTGATTTTTTCTACTTAAACGCATCTAAATGAATGGTTCGTGGACGATTTACTTCGTTGAAGTGGTATTCTCATAGACATATATCAATAGGGGAGACATTTCATTCATAAAACACTATTTGTTTACAATCATACATACTCCCAAAGTTTCAAATAAGTTAGAAAGAGGTGGCTTTAAAAATTGCAACGCTGTAAACCGTGCGTCAATGTTCACACTTTTCTTTGCCAGTCGCGTAGGTTAAGCGAGGGCAAGGCAATTTTAATACAATGACAACGCTATTATACCTATTAGAGATTGTTGGGTGTCTAGTCTGAATTTTAATACCAAATATTCGTAGTACCATCCTTTGGTACTTGCCTAATTTTGATCCATCATTCAGTGGAATATGAACAAAATAAACAACGTTTCTTGCAATAATTTAGTTGAATAACCTGCGAGAACTACACCACTGCTCAAGTTGAAAGAAACACAAACTTACTTACCGTCGAAATACCAATTTTGAGTTTGAATGGTGAACTTTTTCACAATCCACGCACTGGCGAACCATAATAGACTATTAATAATTGTCTTCATACTATACAGTGTGTTGCCAAAATTGGGGCGATGAATAAAATACGATAAATCATAAGAAAAAATGGTTTTGTTTTTTTTTTAATGTGCGGTCCCATCATACTACATCTTTCAACTATTATTGAACGCATGGCAACATTGCAGCCTAGAGGCCCGCATCACAAAAACAGCTCAAATGTTTACCGCAATTATTTCAATTTCGAAAGTAACATATGCCTGGCCTAAACGTCATAGTGAATTGAAATAAAACGCAACTAATCATTCTTGAATCTCTCTCTAATTATAAGTATCAGAGCTTTTTTTAACACAACTGTAAATCACAATATTGTTGATGGTTTCTGCAATTTCTCCACTCGGACACCCCCTCAATCGCAACAATTCCACAGATTATATTCTTACTGACAAATCAAGTTTGGAAAAAATTGACATAAACGCCATCAAAGATCTGTTAACAATTTTGGCTATGTTGCTTTCAAATGTTAGATTCCGTTTTGTCATCGTTGCATTCAATATTATTTTAGTGCGTCAAGCTGCCGCTAGGGCGGTGAAGCGAAACAAATGGTCGACCTCCGATACGGACGACTCGATGAAGAGCGACGGCTCGAACTACGAAATGTCCGACAACGAGAGTGTGATATCGGAGGAGCGTTCCGATTCGAACGCCAGCAGCGACTTCAATCCCTTCAATTCGGGCAGCGACTCGGACGATTGCCCTTGGAGCAGAAAGAAGAAGGGCAAGAAGCAGAAGAAGACGCCGAAGAAGAAGGTGTCGACGCAGGACAAGCTGTCGCTGTTGCTCAGTAGGAAAACGAATAGTAAAGGTAGGTGCATTGTCGTTCTAGATGACAACCTAGTTAGTTACAGGTAGGGTCCCTTGATGGAAATCGACGTTAAAGTCATCTTAACAGGGTACGGACAGATCCTCGTCTCCTCTCACTCTAGAGTGCTTGTGAAACAGTTATATAGTTCCATCCTTATTCAATTCTGGGGATAAACACTAGATTTTTGACATTCGTTGTTTTTTAGGTTATATTGAGGTCACTGGCGTATCATACGTAATTTCCATATGGAATTCCTGATTCAACTATACCACGATATAGATGAACAATCCTCTAGTTTTAGAGTTTACTACTCGGGTTGAGAATTTTGTGGAAATCTTATCGTTTGTCATGGATTTTCATCAAGTAACGAGTTAATTCAAAAAATGATAGTTCCACATTAGGGAGGGGGGAAGTAATAATTGTTTTCGTGCATGACATTAACCGGTAAGAGCGAAGAAGTAACTTGGAAGATTTTTTTCAGCCAAAACCAATGGAACTGGTATTAAAGCATCCGCACCCCCGATGGATGCCATCGAACGTGCTTGCAGTATGAAAGAAGAACTTCTTGTAGCAATAGAAAAATTAGGAGATAAATTACCACCGAACACATTGGATCAGTTGATCGATGAACTAGGTGGCCCTGAGAATGTCGCTGAAATGACAGGTGAGAGCAAACTGAAGTTTACAAATACAATCAGCAACGGGCTTTTTTTATGTGAAAAAAGATTTAAATACATCACATTCACATGCAATCAACAAAGTTATAGAATATTATTCCGTTGCTACAGAAAATATTAATATTTACAGAGTGAGAGGTAACAATACAACTTCTCATATATAAAGAATGGATCGTTTCAGATTGAAAGAGATAATTGAGTTCTATGGATCACTCCGATATTATTGAATGTTTGTTCAATCTTCACATAGCTCTGAACCATTCCCATGCTATTTTTCCATGGGATGAAAATGTGCATTTTGCTCAATTGTTGACTGCTGAATATTACTATGGATATGGATAATACTCGTGTATGATAATTTCAAAATAGCTTTACTACAAAAACATTAACAACTTGAAATAGAAAACAAACAACTAAAAATCAATATCGCGTATTGCCACCGTGTTTTCTTAGTACTTCCTCTATGCGACGAGGCATACTCTCAATGCAGTTGTCGATGGCCTCTTGTGGAATATTTTCTCATTCTTCTAGGAAGGCTGTCCGCAAATCCCGTAATGTTTCTGGGTGGCGATTGCAAACACGTCTACCCAGCATGTCCCACACATGCTCAATAGCATTCAGGTCGAGACTACGCGGGGGCCACTCTAATCGCCGAATATTTACCTCGTCCAAGTATTCTGTCACGATTCGCGCAACTTGAGGCCTGGCATTATCTTGCATTAAAATAAAGTTATTCCCAACAAAGCCGGCAAAGGGTACCACATGTTCAGCTAAACATTGTCGGATGTAACGATCAGCAGTTGAAGAACCATTTTCTATGAGCACCAGGTTCGTACGAGAATCTAATGATACTCCTCCCCATACCATGATACTACCGCCTCCAAATGGCGTCCTTGGAGATATGAAACACTGAGCAAATCGTTCACCCGGCCTCCTCCAGACACGTTCACGTCCGTGAATTACACATTCGCCCAGTCTTCGGCTCTCCAGTATGCGCAGGAAGTAACAGAGGACATTCAGCAGGTCTTCTGGACATTAATCCTCTTTCTTTCAATCTACGCTGAATGGTTCGTTCAGAAACTATTATACCTCGTACATCTTTTATTCTATGACTTATAACTGTAGATGGTGTGCCACGATCTCGTAATGCTGTTAGATTGATGAGATGGTCATCACGTTGATTGTAACACGTGGTCTACCTGATCCCCTACGTCGTATGTACTCACCAGTCTGACGAAACCGACTTATCGCATCTTGTACAGTAATTTTTACTGTGCCTAAGTATTCTGCAATATACCGTATACTACGACCATCATCATTCAAGGCAACAGCACGTGCAACATCCTCAGGCCTCTCTTCAACACACAAAAAAAAACAGTTTATTATGGAATAGCAGAATACTGACACTATGTTGATAAAAATTAGAAAATGCCATACTTTCTTGAAACCTTTGTATCTTCTCTTGAAAAGAAGATATTGACGTGAATCAAAGAACAGATGTATTGAGAAGGAATCAAACTTCAATACTAAACCTAATGAAACTGATTTTAATTGCTCACTTTTGCCACAGGGCGTTAAGAAGTTGAGGGTAAAAAAGTTACTTTTGTTTTTCCCTGTATAATGATTGGGACAATAGATGTTTTTCGGAACAAAATATCAGGCTGATTTTGCGAAACATCATACTACGCTTTGGTAGAAATTTCATCGAAATCGGAAGAGGATAACGAAAGTTACAGGGCGAACAATTTTGCTAAAAATTTCACTGTCCGGAATTTATAGTCGGGGAGTGTATATACATTTTTTTTTCTAAACACCAATTTGAAAAAAATTAAAAATATATGTTTAGTGAATTTTCATAAACTACAGAGTAATGCGAATTTGAATGCGGCAAATGTTCTAATCCACTGACCTATCCGATTCCAGGCAGGAAGGGCCGCGTCGTGTCGACCGAAGACGGCGGTATCCAGTACGAGAGTCGCTCCGAGTCGGACGTGCCGCTCGAGACGCTCAACCTGACCGAGAAGCAGCGCTTCATGGACGGCGAGAAGGACGTCGCCATCATCTCGGAGGCGGCGTCGAGCGGTATATCGTTGCAGAGCGACAGAAGGGTGAAGAATCAGAGGAGGCGGGTGCACATCACGCTCGAGCTGCCGTGGTCGGCCGACAGGGCGGTGCAGCAGTTCGGTAGGACGCACAGGAGTAATCAGGTGAGAGGTCGAGATGAGAGTTGCTTAACCCTATCCCTCAGAGTCTATGGTTTTTTTCGATTTTTGTGCTTCGCCGTAAATAGCGAAATTTCCCAATGTTAGGTTAGGTTAGCCCTTACGCGTCGTTCCCTCACCATTGTACGTGACTTATCTAAGTGGTTTATAAGGATCAAAATATCATTTTGCTGGATTGAGAACCAGCCACTATGCTTGTGAGTGTTCTATTCGCACGGAACAAACCGCATTTGCTGCTTATTTCATTTTCAGGCGGCGTAAAGGAAATTAATTATTGTGTGGTGCAATTGGTCTCAACTCATAAATGTTTTCTGAAGGTGAGTGAATCAAAAACATCAACTAAATATGATATTGTGAATGATCTTATGCATTGAATGGCAAATGAAAACTTGATTCAACATGGTGGTTCACAGTGGCTGTTTCCAAAATTTTTTTCGACATCAGATTTCAGGACATTTTTGCGTACTATCACATTTGTGTGCTCCGGAAGCGTACTGCTACGGATCAATGATTGTTATCGATTTTGATCTAAACACTCCAGTGTGTCAAAACTTTCCTCCATTCCAGGCAGCAGGAGATCCCTATCTCCACCCTAAGAGTAAAGAACGCCCAAAATAGGCTGAGATGGAATAGAAGGTTCACCCTCACTATTCCAAGCAGGGAACAATGGGAAGAGAACAGAGAGGAATTCCGCCCGGGGAGTCTAGTATGTTATACGGACGGATCGCGACAAACAGGACTCAGGTGCAGGAATTTACCTAGAAGGAATAGGCATAAGGGAGAGCTACGCTCTTGGAAAGTATACCACAGTTTTCCAGGCTGAGGTCTTTGCCATTCTGGCAGTAGCGGAGAGGCAAGAGGTGAAAGAGTGACCAGAGCAGAAGATTTACATCTGCTCGGATAGTCAGGCGGCTCCCAGGGCTGTCTGCCATCCTAAACCAAGCTCAGCTTTGGTGCTGGAATGTGGCGATGCTCTTGAGAAACTAGCTGAACAGAAGGAAGTCGAACTAGTATGGGTTCCGGGGCACCGTTCTGGGGGCCGGAGCTTGCACTGGGCATAACAAGAAGCCAAACCTCGTCTGCCCTTAACAAATGGGCGGACGAGGCACTAGAAGTATATTGGAGACGTATAGGCGGCTGCAGGCAATCGAGAGACCTGGTGGCCGGTCCAAGCAAGCCAAAGACGGCTTGGTTACTGGGCAGGGATCGCCAAGTCCTGCGCCTTCTTATAGGGATACTGACAGGGCACAACAGGTTACGCAGGCACCTATCACTCATAGGTGTGGAAGATAGTCCCACTTGCCGCGAATGCGGAGAAGATGAGGAGACATCACTTCACTTCCTCGGAGAGTGTGAGGCATATGGAAGGATGAGATTCGAAATCTTTGGAGTAGATAAACTACAACAGGAAGATTTTTTCGAATTAGAGTGGACGGACATCCTGACCTTCATTAGAAGGACGGGACGGTTCGAAAAGGACAACTAAAAGAGGGATGTGTAGATATGTGGAGAGCAGGGGTTGGCATAAAGGGCCCATGGGGGCCTACTTGCCTGGCTACAGCCTCCCCACAGTACTACTACTACTACTTCCTCCATTCCAAGAATTTTGAATTGCATAAATATCAAGAATTTACGATTTGTTGGATCAGATAGGATTAGATCTGGAAATCGATTCCGGTAAAGATGACCAGTGGGAGTTGAATGCACATGAACAGGTAGAAGTGCCGGAGGAATATTTGTTGAGTGGGTGGATGAAAATGCCAATAAACCAATCTTTCTTTTTGCAAATACAGAAGCTTCTATTTCAACAAATGACAAACGATATGATGAAATTGACCACTGGCCTGTCATTGATTCTCCGAAACCACCACGGACTTGCTGACTGGAAAGTTTCGGTAGCCGTTCAAGAACGAGATGTAAAAAATGCAATGTGCCTGTGCTTGAACAATGAAAGTAATTGTTTCGTCAATTTTCATAACAATCCATAAACAATAAATACATATTTCTCCATGATCAGCGTTTTCTCCATTCTGAGTTGAAATTTCATATCACTCCCAAATAACACGATTGTGAGGGTCCTGAAAATAATTTTACATCATCCTGAATGAATTCGAAAAAAATTCAGGAAGTTTCTGAGGTTACTCTAAGCACTGAGTGGAATTCATTATAGTTAACCCTTTATTATTTTTTTATATGTATTTATGTATCCCTATCATAAACAGAAATGTTTCTTGGGGTAATAAAGACAATCAATCAATATTTCTCCCAGTATATCTAATCTCTTGGCAAAATTAAGGAGTACGTTGTGAGAAGACTTTATCAGGTTTTATGGACCTCCTGTTGTATTGCCAAATGTTGAAAATCTGATTCTGGTCGTTGCAGGGCATGTACATGTACAGAATGTGTTTAGCCGTTTCATACTCCTTTGACTGCTAGTCCGATTTTGTGCATGTGGTACCTACTATAACTCTGATATGTACTTCACTGAGTTCTAATAGTTTGTCAGAATCCTGTTTGTTCCTTGTACAAGCAATGAATGCTTTGGAATGGTCTAGGCCCGGTAGATTACGCCAATACTCTTTTACTTTTGTGTCGACGTTTTTTTTATATTTGGAGTACCGTTATGCTGACAAGCACTGACATCAGACTAAATGACAGTAGATAGACACCGCGATCGATTTAAAAATCATGAAAAAGTAGAAGCCAATCCAAACCAACGCTAAACACGGATAAATAAATCTCGAATGGTGGCTATAACTCTACGGTATATCGCTGCAGAGCGACAGAAGGGTGAAGAATCAAGAAGGCGGGTGCACATCACGCTCGAGCTGCCGTGGTCGGCGGTTCAGCAGTTCGGTAGGACGCACAGGAGTAATCAGATGAGCGGTCGAGATGAGAGTTGCTTGTTACGTATTATTTCATATATAAATATATACTTAGCCGAATGCTACCGATGTACATAATAATGATAATAAAAATAACCTTATATTTTGATACGATGACAGGAGGGTTGGTTGTGAGCTCATAGCATAGCTTTTAAGCAGGGAGAGGGGGAGAGTCCAATGTTGAGGTCTTATAATATAATTCTATGAAGGGCGCCAATAGATTCAAAATTCATCCAACAGACCCACCTGATGACATCTACAAAAGATATAATATATATCTAAGAAAATGAACCTATAAAATTTCTCTGCAGTCCTTGGTATATACAAAATTATTATCAAGGCACGGAAGCTCTGAAAAAAATATATTCTCGTGAATTGAATATGATAGAAAATAGCTTTGTTTACAACCAAATACCTATAGTAATATAATACACAACTATGATGAGTATAGGAGATAAAGGGTCGTGCACCTACTCTCGCGAGAGGGAATATAGATAGGATAGATGGTTATTATAATAGTCACCCATTAATACGCCTAAAGGAAGAAATGCCTCGTTGACAAGAAATACGTAACAAAAGTACGGAGAATAACGATCACATGAACTCATAATTGGTACTTTAAAATTCTGATTGTGTGAATAAGTTGTAAAACTCGCCTTCGATTATCAGGACACTAAATAATCCGAAGACGTTTGTTTTTCTCGACAAAAAAACAACTGATACTATAATCCTCGTGAGAGAGATTTGACAGTAATAGCCACCGTCAAAAGAATCGATGAATCAAATCCGCCGGTTGCGAAAGATCTTATTTTAAATAATTCAATACAGTCCACTGTACCATCACGTCTGTTAAAATTCAGAATTGCTAATAGTCAAGTACAGTCGTATTCAATAAAAAAGCGTACAAGTTTTAAAAAGAGAGGCTTTTGTCATTCTTTTTCTGGTTGTGTGAAACTGGCTCAGCCAATGCTTTGTGTTTTCGAGAACCTATGACAACTTTACTGTCAACATTTGGTAAACAATCATTCCCGATAGCCCATTTTACGCAAATAGAATGACGTTAATTTCTCTCTGTAATATACTTGTACGCTTTTTTTCTGAATACGACTGTACATATATCGTTAAACAAAAAAAGACAAAAAAGTCTTTCCATATTCCCTCGCTAGAGGCAGCAGCTCTCGGGCACTGATTTGAGAATTGATCGTTAAATGGATTGCCTATAACAAACATGATCAATAAATGAATAATTTCTCGCGAAATCGTAATATGTTTAGCCCTATCCCTCAGATTCTATGGTTTTTTTCAATTTTTGTACTCCACCGTAAATAACGAAATGTACTTGACACTTTTGTATCGTCGTTTATGTATATTTAGAGTACTCACATCTACAGGGTGAATATTATACACTCCACAAACAAATAAAATGACGAAATCCAGGCCTTGAAATAGAAGAACATTATTTCCATTGAGCTAAAATATTGAGAATGTAAGTCTTACTTTCATTTGTGAAATTTATGCGTTGCAAAGTATTAATTTTCAATTGAATGAATTTGTTGCCAAAATAAATATATCGCTAGTGGTAAAAAAAATATTATACACCTTGGTAGTGCAGAATATTATCACCACAGGACCTTATACCTTTCGGCTGAAGTCTAGGGATATAATCTTGGTCCCTTCCCTAGGTAATAATGATATTCTTTACTACCTTCACGTATTGAATATTGTGAAGTTCCGGAGCGTCGGCTGGAGATAGTCCTGCATGATTCGCTGTTGCGTTCCAATTAATAGTTCTGCTCCCAAAGTGGCGCATAGAGTCAGTAAGAAAGCCTACACAGAACACGCAGAAAGAGATGATGATGTGGTTGTGAGCATCAGAAAAGAAGTAGGACGGTGTATGTAGGTGGGCGTGTAAAACTACCAGCTGAGCGTGAGAGCGGGCCAGCTGCTAAGTGGACCTCGGTCTCTAACGGGGGTTAACGAAATAGCTAGCAGGCCTGCCACTGCAGCATATGGTAGTGAGTACATTACTAGCCTACAAAACACAGCCGAAAAACTCTGAAAGAGAACTGATGGACGGTGCCTGAAAAGGATGTTTGCCTGCTCTCTTGAGCGAACCACATCACTCATTAAAAACACCTTGGGGCTTGCAAAAAGGTCCCATTAGGGACTAGTTGCTGACGTGCAAACGTCCCCCACCAGTACCAGTACTACCTTGCTGTATAAATAACTATTTTCAACTTGTTAATATGACGTTGTGCGTGTTGCAGGTGAACGCGCCCGAGTACATCTTCCTCATCTCGGACCTGGCCGGCGAGCGTCGGTTCGCCTCCATCGTGGCCAAGCGATTGGAAAGCCTGGGCGCGCTGACGCACGGCGACCGACGCGCCACCGAGACCAGGGACCTCAGCCAGTTCAACATCGACAACAAGTATGGCCGGTCGGCGCTGGAGGCCACGATGAAGGCCATCATGGGGTACGAACTCAGACCGATGACCCATTGTCGTTATAAATCGGTGGTTCTCTAACACCGCCCACTTCGAGAAATCAATTTTTTGTAGCGCCTCCAAAAGTCAAAACTAATGAATTATAAGTTGAGTTCTGTATTGACATCAGACTGACCAAGCAAAGCGATTAATCTGAATTTGTGAGGTTAAATGCTGAATTGTTCGAATTTTAAGTGCGTTGTATCATTTTATTATTCACTTTTTGAAAATTTCTTGAGAAAATTAATGTTAAACAACAAATCTAACCACATAAATCCGTTGAGCATTTTCAAATAGAAATATTTCGAAAACGGTACACAGTATCGAGTTTTACCAAGAGCATCATTTTGGTGTAAAATTAAATGGTGTTCAAGTTCACATTGAATTTGGACTGAAAAATCTAACCTCAATAAAGTTATGTTCAGAGGTACCCGGTACGAACCGTGTAACTAGCTCCCTCTATGAGTGTCAGATATAAAAACGAATTCATGCGGTGTGTCAGCTTTCAGAACACATCCATACAAAATTTCATCACAATGTTGCAAGTAGTGTGTAAATAAAATATTTGTTCAACACCTTGTATCTTGAAAACGGATGCCGTTACGACATTTTTTCACTGAGCAAACCCAACTTATTTTGTAATGTTCTACCTACCCTAGCAAGTGGGTTAGGTTTTTCTGAAACACCCTGTATAAAGATATACAGTGTCATTCATAAAGTCGGCATCATATGGGAAAAACTTTTATTAATGACTTATTTTGAAATTCGAGTTGGACGTTAAGTTTTGCTTCAAAAAAGATGAAAAATGGCCTACTCAAACAGGGTCACGTGCCATTCGCTACATGTCAAAAGTGACATTTTTTCAAATTAATCGCTGAAAGTAGGCTTATTTGTTCGAATATCGAAAAAGTTTACTTGAAAAAGTTGTTTCTATTTGAATTTTACATATGTGACTCGGATTTTATCTTTCTATTACATTTTTTAGATTTCGATATTTTTTTCTGTAATAATAAAATTAATATTAAAAAAATTGTTGATTCGATAAAACTACTTCATACTAGTAGTTTCATCATGCTACTAACTTTCAATTACTAATTATCACTAATTATCGACAAAAATATGATTTTCTTCAGAAAATTATAATCTCCGCTTCAAAATTCTGTTATGTTTGATGCAAACATAACATCAAAATTCTGTTATGTTTGAATCGAGCGTTTAGAAACGAAATTCATTTGAATTTATTTTTCCAGTACTGAAAAGATCAGTTTAAATGAATTTTGTTTCTAAATGCTTGACGATATATCAACTTTGCATCAAACATAACAGAATTTGGAAGTGGGTATTATCATTTTCTGAAGAAAATCATATTTCTGTCCATAATCAGTGATAATAAGTAATTGAAAGTAAGTAGCATGAAAAAGCTACTGGTATGAAGTAGTTTCGTGGAATTAACAATTCTCCAAATATTACAGAAATTTCGAAAAATTAAAAAAAAATCAAAATCTAAAAGTTGCAATAGAAAGATCATATTCGAGAAGCATGTGTAAAATTGAAATAGAAACAACTTTTTCAAGTAAACTTTTTCGATATTCGAACAAATAAGCCTACTTTCAGCGGTTAATTTGAAAAAATGTCACTTTTAACATGTAACGAAAGTCACGTGACCCTGATTGAGTAGGCCATTTTTCATCTTTTTTGAAGCAAAACTTAACGTCCAACTCGAATTTCAAAATAAGTCATTAATAAAAGTATTTCCCATATGATGCCGACTTTATGAATGACACTGTATAACTGACAAATACGTCAGTCTGCATCAGGGGACCCTAGTTGTACCTAGAGTCACTGGATAGTATTAGTTTGATAAGAGTTCGGACACAAAAATGACAACGGTTTGGGTTTTAGATTTATAACGTTACACACCATGCATTGTGACAAGAGCACCATAGTCGTCCCGCGCTTTTTCATTCAAAATTTTTTGAATTTGACAATTCTTTTTATAAACGTCAGAATTGAAATAAAATTTCATAATTATTATACTTTCGAGATGAAAGCAGCTATGGAAATCACTTGCTGTATAATAAATTGTGCCAATTTTGAAACAAATGGATATCATTTATTTGATTTTCCAATTCAAATATCAAGCATTCGCTTATGGAAGGAAGATATGAAACGGCCTGGGTGGAAAATCAATTTGAAGACGAGCGAAGTTTGTGAGGTACTCATTGAAATTCACTTCTTATAACAGCATCTGATTAGAATGAATCTATATTTTAGGTCCATTTTCAAACAGAAGATTTCAAAATCTGTTTGTGAGAATCTGCTGTTCCATCAATTTACAAAGCAGGCGATTTCGAGAACAAAATTCCATTATTATCATTACACAAAATACAAAACAAAATGATCATGGAAGAAGGAGAAATGATCGCAAAATTACATTATGAAATTGAAAATTTGAAAACGAAACTAAGAAAAGCAAGTAAACTACAACGTGACATATTATTGAATGGCGTTTTTGGTGCTGACCGCGAATTCAAAATTCAACAGTGAAAAGTGAATAGATATTTTTGTATCAAGGGAATTATTATAAGGGCCTTAATTACGCTGGAGGTTATCGTTTTGGAGATATTATCTATATCGATCCATGTTACTTAGCTCTTAGGGCGGGCGCTAAGTGAAGTTGCTGAGAACTTAACAAAACCAAGTATTTGGTAGGTCTCGTCAAGATAAATTACTTTTTTCCCATGAAATCTTTATCGAAAAATGATTTGTTCTCTGTATTTCAACACCATGTATCTCAGAAATGAAGTATTTCCAGACACAAGCTTATATAGACTTTATTTCTTGAAATTGTCTCAGGAATACTTTACTGGAGTACAGTTTCACATACAATAAGGAATTATAGCTATGAGTTTATCCATATGTATATATTCTCTGATATTAAAATGTTGTTGCATGCATTTTTTTCATTTATATAAATTTTGCTCTGCTAGAAGTGTATCACTATGAATTGAAGTGGGTGTTTGTACCCTATATCCATTGTCCATCTACGGCTATGATTGATTTAACAAAAAATATAACCTCTGAAATCGTATCTGACAATCAGGCGCGTCTAGGGGAATTGAAAAGACAAAGAGCAGAATATATGTCTTATTCTTTTATTCACTTAAACCATTGTAAAACAGAAAATAGAAAAGGACAAAAGTTCAGCTGTGTCCGAACTCTTATCAAACTAATACCATCCAGTGACTCTAGTTGTACCGGGGCAAGTATGGCCGAATTCGTTCCAGACTAGCAAAATGCCCTATTTGAAACACGTCACTTCCCCAGGTACGAGCGGCCGGTGGTGGCGCCGCCCAGCGACTACAAGGGCGACTTTTTCAAGGACGTCGCTGCCGCCCTGGTCGGCGTCGGGCTGATCGTCAACAGCGAGAGCATGCCGGGCGTGCTGTCGCTCGACAAGGACTACAACAACATGTCAAAGTTCCTCAATCGCATACTCGGCATGCCGGTCGAGCTGCAGAACAGGCTGTTCAGGTGGGTTTATTCGGTTCAAAGTTATCTACAGTCTGTTTAATATTTCTATGCGTGTGACAGAAATTAGCATAGACCTACGCGCAACTTGCTATCCTCTTCAGACTTGCATATAGAGCAGCAATGTCTATCATGACGTTTGTTGACATAAGTTACGGATTAAAAGCTTGAATACAGAGAAGTTCGTATGTCGAGACACATATTAGTCGGCTAATTCAGAGGCGCGCAGTAGGTGCTGAAATGCCATCGTTCAGCGTGGCTATTGTCAAATATTCAACATGCCAGGAAGACGTTTGAATTCGCAAGCACGAAGTCTCGTATCGAATTTGTGACAATATATCACAAGAAAGAAAGATAATAATGGTCCTTCAATCCCGTTTACTTCCATACAACAGGTAAATCATAATTCTTCCTGATCAATAATAAACATAGTCAGACCTTACTTCAAGAATATCATCATGATGTACATAATTTTAGCGTGTCGCTGATGCCCTGAATATTAGACTGCGGACAGTTGCGAGTATTAAAGTACGTTCTGAGAGAAACGAAAGTTTGAGTACGCCAGGGAAATCTAGGACTAAAAAAACCCAAGACAGTAGATCTGGATGATGATTTGAAAATGGGAGTACGCAATGTGATCTATACTATGTATGCAGAAAGTAAGTGATTTCATTTGACTACCTTCAACTGACTATTTTACAGAAAAACATCACTTAGAATTTTGAAAGAAGAACTCAGAACTAAACATATCCTTGATACACACAAGTATAGGCACATTGAGCAAACTTCTCACAAAAGTAGGATTCAAACATAAAAAAGAAGACAACAGACGGTTATTGGTTGCATTTGGTTGAGAGGCCGGACATATCCTAAATGAGAGCAGAGATTTTCAGATAGTTTTATGAAAATCGCAATTCTAGTTACCCTAGACAAATCGTCTTCTTAGATGAAACTTGGATATTTGCGAAAGTGAATGAGATGAGATCATGGCAAGATCAAAGTACAAAAAGCGTTCCTAAACCAGTAGGTTATGATGGAAAACGATTTATTGTACTTCATGCTGGCCATAGTGGTGGTTTTGTGGAAAATGCTGCATAGTAATATGCCAAATACCTAAAACGACTCAACAGTGTTCGGCTTTGTCACAATCGCAGACTACCTCATAAAAGCATTGAATAGGTGTGTATCTGGTCATATACCAACCCATACGTATATACATGCCAAAGTTCTGATACATGGTTTTGATTTCAATAATTGACGAATCAAAGATTTGAAACTTGATATATATACCAATCCTATGTTTTATTAAATGTTTCCTAGTCAAAATTACCAGTAGTGAAAAAAAATTTTCTGATTATTATTATTATTTATGTTAACCCAATTTCTGAAACAGCACGGTACTGCTTCACTGGAACATATGACCTTGAATTGATTCGTTTCGTTTTTTGAAGTTGTGACGTAGGCGCAAAGAAATATTATATAGACTGTACGTGAATGTTTCACCGATATTACAATGAACTCAATATAAACACCTGGAAGGGAGACTGCCGTTCTCTCGGATAGCACAACGTGTGTCAGGAGCAGCTGCAACAAAGATAGCTTGTGTTACGGTAACCTGTCTCTTTCACACTCGTGTTGTTTAATGGCGGATTGGTGTATAAATTTTCTTTCATCCAATAATTGGAGTACTTGAGATCTTTATTTTTACCTAAACAGACAAAAATAGTGAAGAAACTTCATTGTTTTTTATTATATGAAATACACGTGAAATATCGCTAAATTTGGTGTGTTTTGTTTCCTCAAAAGGACTGAATTTGTTGTTGTGAATTGATTGTTGTTGAAAAAGTTTGTGATTTCGAATTAATAAACAATGGTTATTTATAATGTGTTGCCATTGGATGCAAAACAAGTAAGACAAACAGAAATTGTCCTTCATGGGTAAGTTGAAAATTGTTCAGATCGATTCTTAGGAAAACTTGAGTTATATATCTTCAGGATGTGTGTGTGGATGTTCATAACTTGAATTCTAAGGACAATGTTTTTCATATGGACATTGAGAAAAGTGGAAACACTGAAACAAAAAGCAAAAAGGAGTGACAATCTTAATGAGGTACTGAAAAACAATTGAAGGTTAAAACTACAAGTTCAAATATTCAAACTCAAGAGCTACATCATATTGTCTCTTCAGGTTTGCCTTTGGAGCTTCTTCTTCTCCAGAAAAAAAAAGTGAAGGTGTTCATTCTGGGCAACACAGATATCCATCTTTATGAAGCAATTCGTTCAAACATTGTTCTTTTATTCATCTTTTGTTCGCATTTTATTCACCTCTCGTTCCCTTTTCAATGGATAAATGTTCATGGAAAAATAGGTATTCTTGAAAATTAGGCTAAAAATAGACCTTAGGTACTCAATACCATTCAAGAACCTCTTTTCAAAGATTTTCTATCGTTTTTCATTATCTTCTGATAGTGCTGAGACATAGAGCTTCGCTCACCCTTCAAAATATATTGTGACCTTCGAAGGAAAATATATAATTTCAATTTTGTACTCATTTGACTTCCTAATCCTGTGAAAATAAAAATGAAAATTCACTTTAGAGTCAATAAAAAAATCAATAATAATTTTTGAATGATAATCGATTGCAACATTAACCTATAAATATTTCAAATAATGCGAGCGCTTCCCATTAGCCAATATAAGATAGAAAGATATAGATATCCGTAACCACTGCGGGTTGCCTGAACCATATTTTTGCCTGACTCGTCGTTCACAGAGGATCCCTTCCAGTTGTTTACATTGAGTTCAATGCAATATTAAAGTTGTTTCCACATATTGTTATAACACAACTTTTACCATGAAAAAAAACTTGATGAAGTCAAGTTATTCATAGCCCGGGAGCCGCTGGAACTTATCACCTGTTCACAGTGGAAACCCGGAAATATGAAATATGGAAATTTTGATGTACTCTGAATTTAAGAGTGAAACAAGTCATACCTACTGTCCTTTGCAATGAATAATATGTAACTCGATATGTACTAAGTACCTGTTCCATGAACTGGTACTGAAATTGCCATCTCGGAATTTTTCTATGGTTTTGCAAAAGGAACCATTTCATAATACTATCGACCTTGGCAGTACTAATATAACACTACTCTATCAGTCAAGAATCAGAATTGCAACTGAAATTGTTCACTTATTGGCATGAAATGCATTGAAATGTTCGAGTTGTAGTGTTGATTTTTGTGCAGAATATTATAACAATGCATAGTGTTATTCTGGTTTTAGCTGCAGCAGTTGAACATATATGTTTTTCAGGTATTTCACAGATACATTAGCAGCAACCATCACGTCAGCTAAAAGGTCGGGAAGATTCGATTTGGGTGAGTTTATTGAAATGATCACTTAATTGATTGGATGATTGGAATACACATTTCAATCATCCCTTTTTTGTCAACGAAACTATTTAGCTTTGCTAGATTCAAAGGATTCACAATTATGGAGGTAATATCAAATTTTCAACAACAGATTCAGGAAAGTCGTTTCACATAATAAAATTGTATCTTTTCACCAAAACTCTTCAATAACCTCAAATTCACTAACGAAGGACTTCAAACGCAAAGCAAAACACTAAAATACAGACAAAAAGACATGGGTACATTCTTACACTGTTGCCAAATGAACTCTTAAGAAATTAGAAGTATGTGCCAAAATGTACCGTTTGTCCATGAGAAGGGTTCAAAGTTCACATAAAAAACACATTCTTGTACGCTGTTAAGAAACAAGTGAAACGAGTTTGTTGAAATTTGGCAATAGTGTATTTCAGAGGATTTCCTTTTGGTAATCGGAGAAATTTAAAAGAGATTTTAGAAGGGTTAAAACCACTCTCACCCCCTGAAAAATTTTTCAGAACTTTTTTAGGGGTTATAATACGGTTCTGAACTTTTTTGAGCTTGAAGACTTTTATTGCTCGTGTAAACATTTCCTATACCGCATGGTTTCAAGAAAAAAAAATGTTCTCCCAAATGATTCTACCAGATATTCCCGGTACAAGTCAAATCAAATTGTGATATAAAACTTAGTTGGCAGTGGAAACGAAGGCAAGTCGTGATTTTGACAGGAAACAAATTTATTGTCATTCAAGTTTGTTGTTGACGTTGTCTGTAAATGTTTCAATAAATTCCTCAGACAACAAGACAATATCTGAACGAACAATTTCCTGATAGATGGATTGGTAGGAGAAGCACCTATTGAATGGCCTCCGCGGACTCCAGATTTGAATCCGTGAGACTTCTTCATTTGGTGAGCGTTAAAAACACAAGTGTATGAAGTTCAAATTGATACTTTCATACAACCGTGGAACAGATTCCAAAATGCCGTTGACACACTACGAGACAACGACGATGTCCTAATAAGGATCGAGGGTGCATTTCTATTTTTTACGTCGAATTGATATTTGTTTTAATGAAGGTGGGCGTAATATTGAACATTTATTATGAAGAAACGTTCTGCTTTTTGTTTCCACTGCCAACTAAGTTTTATGTCAGCATTATTTGAGAGAACATTTTTTTTTCTTCGAAACTATGCGGTATAGAACATTTTTACAAGAGCAATAAAATGAAGGTAATTGATTAGTCTTCAAGCTCAAATTTCAGTACCGTATTATGACCTCTAAAAAGTTCTGAAAAAAATGTCAGGGGGGGAGGGTGGTTTCAACCCTATTACAATTTCTTTCAGGCTTCTTTGATTACCAAAACGAAATTAAACCTCTGAAATACACTATTACTAAATTTCATCAAATTCGTTTCACTTGTTCCTGAACAGCATACAAAAATGTGTTTTTTTATGTGAACTTTAAACCCTTCTCACGGACAAACGGTACATTTTGGCACATGAATAAATTGGGTCCAATCAACTCATTTTGACCTCCTATACACGTGGTAGCTCTGTGTCCCATTAATTTTGGGACACCCTGTATAGCTGACAATGTTGCCGACAATGTGCGCATTCAGTGTGCATGATTACCATTGCCGTAAGCACACTTGTTGAACAAATTATATAAATATGGCATACGAGGAATAGCATTGAATTTAATGAAAAACTATCTATCACTCAGACTAGAAAAGGTGAAAATTGGAGAAAAACTTAGTTCTGGTCAGTATATTACTGTAGGTGTGCCGCAGGGTACAGTATTGGGTCCGATACTGTTTCTTGTGTACATCAACAGCATATCTCGAATAAATGGCTTTGAATGTAAAAAAAACAAAATTTATGACTTTCTCTTCAACTTCTACTGACCAACCTGATACATCAAAGATAAGTATCCACAAACCTAGTTGTAAAAATGAAAAAAACTGTAACTGCTCTAAAATCGAGAAAACTGAATCTATCAAATATCCAGGACTCATTCTGGATCAGTATATGAGGTGGAATGAACATATTTTATATATTACAAAAAAAATGAGGCTACTCATGCATAAGTTCGATGTTCTCAGAGATATTCTTTCTCGAAAAAATCTAATGATTTTATACAATTCATTAGTAGAGTCAATAATAAATTATTGCATAACAGCATGTGGCGGTACTTTCAATAATACGATAAGGATCCTACAATCAGCACAAAACATGATACTTAAAATAATAACGAGAAAATGTAAACTATTTTCAACAGAGATACTGTATAAGGAAACAAATGTGTTTGACATAAGGTTCTTATACACTTATCGGTCCCTAATCTAGATGTACATAAATATTCATAATTTCAGATTGCAAAGTTCTAGGATAACCCGATCCAGTGAAAAATAAAATTATTCAAATTCCTCTATATAAAAAGAGCCATACACAACGTTTTGTTTTCTACTTTGGACCAAAACTGTATAACCTTCTGCCTGTATGTTTAAAAAACACGAATGAAATAAAAAATTTCAGAACTGCTCTCAAACAATTTATGCTTCACAATGCATCTGTATTCAAAATTTCCTGAAAAAAAATGCCATCTCTATCTTTCACTCATCTTCTCCTCTTTCCCTTTCCAATAATCATAAGTATAGAAAAGCACTGTTCTTGTTCATAGAATAAATGAATAAAACATTTGTTATGTATTTTAACATGATAACCCTCCCATGCTTCATGAGGGGGAAATGCAAAACAGGCAGTCTGTTGCCTAGGCGTTTTTCGCTCATGTTCACAGGAGAAAAAAAAATCTACGAAAAAAAAATTGTTATACTGTATCTCCAACTCTTTGAATAAATCTTGAATTAATCTTGAAATCTTGAATATTTCAGCTATCTCTCATACGTACCCTTCTAGGTATTTGAGTTGTGTGATTGTGTACCATACAGTGTGTCCCACTTACCATGCTCACCATGGGTATCTTTTTAACAGTGAGAGATACGAGGTCGGTTAAATGACACCAAATGTGGAGTTTGTCAAGGCCAACTATAATGTGAAAAAATATTTTGATAAAGTCTATTCGTTTTTGTTTTATACGCAAAAAAACAGATTTTGATCATTTTCATGTCTCCTCCGTAACTCAAATAGGAATTTCACATTCTCATGGCATTTTTTCAAAGTGATTTCGAAAAAAATATGAAATTTATACCAACTCTTCTAGAATTTGAGATATCAGCACCAACTTTAGTTTTTCAAATGTAGGTCATAGCTCACTATGACTTAGTTACAAATAACTTTTTTTTCTCTTACAGATGATATGAAGCAGTAAAAGTTTTGTGTTGATAACAACGGAGTTATCGTCATTTATACAAAAACAAAAAATTATTTGGATGCCGCCTTCTTGAATTCATAAATTTTAACAAAAAAATCATAATCTCCGACCTCAAAAACCCCCACTTACCAATTTTGAATGGAATCGGACCAAATCTTGTCCGCCATCTTGGAGCAGCCATTTTTTTAATTTCAACAAAAATTCCATAATATTTTCATAAATACAGAAGTTACGGAGGAGACATGAAAATGATCAAAATCTGTTTTTTGCGTATAAAACAAAAACGAATAGTTGGCCTTGACCATCTCCACATTTGGTGTTATTGTTTATTGTTTATTGATCTCGTATCTCTCACCGTTAAAAAGATACCCATGGTGAGCATGGTGAGTGGGACACACTGTTTTGTCTCCTGCAGGTATTCTCGATCTCGGCGCTGGCGGCGAGGTGGTGAAACGCGTACGCACGGTGACGTTCCTAAGGAAGCACGCGACTGGCACCGCCCCCACCGAGCTGCACACGGTGCACGTCGAACGGGGCATGTCGTGGCCGGAGGCCTTGGAGAAGTTCTCCGATCTGGTGGGCGAGCACGAGGGCTTCTGGCTGTCGCACCAGGTAACGTCTTTCACTTCATCCTTTCGAAGTGCAGGGTGATTCGCCATAAATGCCCCCTCCCTGTAGCTCAGTTATTTTTGCACCGAATGCAAAATATCATCCTAAATGATTTTCGATGATTTTTTTCCGCTACATCAGAAAATTCAAGGTGCTCGGAACAAACGATCTATAATATAATAACAATAATAATAAATCGTCTTTATTTATGTGATTCCATAATACAAAAAAAATATACAAAGATTTGTACAAACATTTGTACAAAGAAGAAAAACATTGTTCACTGTTCACTGTCCAGCAGGAGGCGAGATTTAGCCTAAGGCTACTCTTACATCTAACCTCTCACTGTCCAATTGGGAAGGTGAGTCTACATTACTTAGGGAGAAAAAAAGATGATGTGTACATAATATACATATTGAAGAGCGTAACAATACTCATTGTGAAGAAAGTAGCTCATGTTTAATGAACTTTCGGAAGGAGAATGGACCAAGGCTTTTAATGCGGTCTGGGATTGAATTGAACAATTTAATTGCATTATATGTGAAAATTCTTTGATAAATGGCGGTCGAATGATGAGGCATCGTTAATGCATTCGGATGTCTTATATTAACTGAATGTATGCTGGATCTCGGAATTAACTGGTAGCGACTATCATCTGATTGATTCCTAAGAAGTTTATAGATGAATAAAGCTAAGGTGAAGTCTCCAACGATTTTCCATAGTGAGCCAGTTAAGTTCATTTAGTTTTTGAGATATGTGATCAACCCATATATAAACCGCACACAATAATTCTGTACCTTTTGAATTTTATACCTATAACCATCAAGGCATGGACCATACAAAAAATCACAATAAGCGAATTGGGACAAGACCAAGCAGTTTTTCGCAGTTTTAAATTCAACACGTACCTATTGCTGTATAGAGTTTTTAGGGAAATAAATGTTTTGGTCAGAATGTGCTTAACGTGATTTTTAAATCCGAGGTCATCATCGAATACCAAACCTAAATTTTTCGACGAGTGGACAATACTTAACGGCTTATTATCAATACTTATGTTAAAATTCGAGCAGATCTCATCATAATAATTTTTGGGAGAAAAAACAATTACTTTTGATTTAGAAGAGTTCAATTTCAGATTGTGAGCCCGACTTTTCTCAAATATTATGTTAAGGTCATAATTTAACCAATTTTGGGCCTCCAAAATATTACCTTTAGGAAAGTTTATGAAGATTTGAGTGTCATCGGCATACGCCTGAATTTTACAATGTTGTATAGATTTCAGTATATCCGCCGTATAAATAATGAAGAAAAGGGGACCCAAAATGCTGCCTTGTGGCACTCCTGCTGTCATGTGTACATAATTTCAGTGACTGTCATTCGATAATATTTTTTGTTTTCTCTCTGCAAAGTAAGATTGTATTAATTCCAAAGAGTCAATCGAGAATCCATAGTATTTAAGCTTAGCAATCATGAGTTTATGGTTTATAGTATCGAATGCCTTTGAAAAGTCTAAAAGTGTTAATATGCTAGCACATCTTATGTCCAAATTGAAGAATATATCATCAAGAACTTGCGTTAGTGATGTTGTTGTACTCAGGCGTTTTAGAAATCCAGACTGGCATGTCGGTATTATTTTATTATTTTCAACATGTTCAAGTATTTGTTTGTATAGAACTTTTTCAAAAATTTTCGAGAGGCAAGGTGAGATACTGATAACACGAGGGTCTGATCTACAGGACACTATTTGATTTTTTCAAATGGAACACCCTATTTTTCATTGTATTTTTAGATTCTCCCTGAAGAGCTGATTTTATCAATGCATCACACTTAGGGTCTAGCGAAAATGATTACAGAGATATTGGGTGTTCAAAATCGAGATTTTTCAAATTTAGGATTTTTCTGTGACGAAACTATTCATTATCGGTCAAAAGTGCTTTCATGTCCGTATCTCAACTTTTGATTTACTATCTACTGACATTTAATAATTAGAACAGATACAGGGTGATCAGAATAATTCTGAATCTTGAACCACACTGTATATGTTCCAATTGAATGTCAGTAGATAGTGAATCAAAAGTCAAGATAGGGACATTAGAGCCGTTTTGACCTATAATGAATAGTTTCCACAGAAAAAAATCGTAGAGTTGAAAAATCTCGATTTTGAACACCTAATATTTCTGAAATCATTCCCGCTAGACCCCCCAAGTATGATACAATGATGAAATCAGCCCTTCAGGGAGAATCTGAAAATACAATGAAATGTTTCATTTGAAAAAATCAAGTAGTACTCTGTGAAGATCGTTTGTTCAAATTTTTAAATCGGTTTAAAAATGAGTGAACTATAGGGGGGGGGGGCATTTATGGTGAATCACCCTGTACTGATAAACCAGTGCTGAAGCCTTTGAAAACGGTAAAAAGTGAAAAAACAATTGAAGACTGCAGCAACAAGAAGGTATCTGTCATTTTCTAAATTTTTCAGGAGACGATAAAATATGAATATTTTATCAAATAAAAATGATCAAGTTTTGAACTCTTGTGGGATCATTGTACGAGTGTAAACAATACTTTTCATGTAACTGGGATTGAAAAAAAATCACATTTATACAGGGTGTCCCGAATTTAGCCGGCCAAAAAAGTTCCAATGAACGTGAGTCGAGAAATGTCTCCTGAGGGAGCTACAGTCCCCCGAACAGGGGCTCCTGAAGATGGTATTTCTTGAATATTTCCGAAACGCCAAGTGATAAAATACTGCAATTTGCTACAAAAACTCAACTTTTCATGCCCAATGCGGTGAACATAAAATCATTTCGAAGTTTTATTCAGGAATGTATGATACAGGGTGGGACTACATTAAATATCACCAAAACTTTTTTGTATACATATTTTTCGACAATTCAATCTCTGATTCTGAAAATCCACAACGTTTCACAAAAAAAGGTGCTCTTTAATGACAGATATAACTGATAATGTTGCCGACAATGTGTGCATAATCACCATTGCCGTAAGCACACTGGTTTTATCAGATTTCAGCGATTTCTCATACTTGCCTTAGCCTTCTAGGTCTTTGAGTTCTGCGGGGAAAACATGTATAACTTTCAATCTATGCTCGGAGCTAGGATGTTTTCCAGTAGTTTTAAATGTCATCGCAACGTCATCTAATGACCTTGACGACCGCGAATTGATTAATGTTCAAGTGTTCATATCATAAACGTTGATATTTCTTGTGGAAAACGGCCATCAATCAATCAATCGACTTTCAGGTGAGAAATACCAAACACACGGCTATTCTCGCAATCGCCGTCGATACTGGCGGCGGCGGAGGCGGTGGTGGGGGTGGAGGAACGAAGGGGAAGAAGGAGAGCAAGAAAGATATGATGTTTTCCGTCTACAGGCCGAATACCGGTCTTCAGTTCCGGCAGGAGAGTCTCGCCGAGTTGGAGAAGAAATATAAGAAGGTGAGTCCTTTGACCTTTCTATGTAATCAAATGGCAACACTGTATGCCAGGTTACTGTCAACTATCTTATGTTATTTTTGTCAGTGTTACTTGTCATGTAAATCCTGCCAGGTCTCATTAGTCAGTGTCATGCTACTTCCCGCTGAGTTATCAATTAAATGATGATTATTTATAGTACTAAATGAAATGTAGCTGCAATTCGGGATTAATAAAAGATCGAGCATTGAGCGTGTCATTATAAACAATGAATAAGTAGAATCGTTAGGTTACACCACCGATAAACCCTACAATGATATTTCGTTCTTACTGCAACAACGGTTGATAAACTAAATTTGGTTGCTTTATAAATATTTTATCAGAATCTTCACAACTAATTTCGTATATTTCTGATTTTTCAAGTGTGTCCACCTTATCTTTTGGATTACCTAATAAATTTTGAATTGACTCTCAGTTACTTGATGGTAATTCATGGCGAATGTATAAACATCACAAACGGTAAGATTTTCACGAAATTATCAAACACGACATGTTGCGCTAACACAGTAGCTTCGTCAGATGATATACTGGTACGATGAACTAAACTAACCTTGGCTTGCTTATATATCCTACTTTCCCAACCTGAAGGATTAGTTACCTGTGGGCAGGTTCGATAAACTTTCATTTTCGAAAATTTGGCACAATATCTACATTAAAATACGGTGTACCGGATTAACTTGAATGGGTTGATAGCAAATACTGTATTTGCTCTGTCAATTACCAAAGAAAATAAGTTTTCTTGCAAAATGAAAGTTTATCCGATAAAATAAAAACCTCTTGTGGTATTACCCTCGATAAAATTCTCGATTCATTTTTGTTACTGGAATTCGAGTAGACACTGGAAACTCATCAGTGCTATCATTTTTTAGTCCTGCAAATTGTAGTTAACATTCAATTTTTGCATCGCTTTGAGTTTGAATTGAAGCTACAAAAATTGCTACCTTTCGACATATTATTTCCTCGCAGAAAGATATGATGATGTGTTTGTGAGCATCAGAGAAGAAGTAGGACGGTGTATGTAGGTGGGTGTGGAAAACTACCAGCTGAGCGTGAGAGCGGGCCAGCTGCTTAAGTAGACCTCGGTCTCGGGGGTTAACGAGGATAGTTAGCAGGCCTGCCACTGCGCATATGGTAGTGAGTACATTACTAGCCTACAAAACACAGCTGAAAAACTCTGAAAAGAGAGCTGATGGGCGGTGCCTGAAAAGGATGTTAGCCAGCTCTCTTGAGCGAACCATATCAGTCATTGAAAACACTTGGGGTTTGCAAAAAGGTCCCATTGGGGACTAGTTGCTGACGTGGAAACGTCCCCCACCAGTACCAGTACCAGTAGATAAGAGTTCGGACACAGAAATGGCAACTGTTAGTGTTTTTGAATGTTTAGATTTATTAAGTTATACATCTTGCATTGTGACAACAGTATCATAGTCGTTCCGCGCTTTTTCATTCAAAATTGTTTAAATTTGACAATAAATTTTATGAACGTCAGAATTGATATATAATTTTATTAACTATGGAGAAAAAAGCATGAATGAAAATATCCTGCTGTGTAATGAATTGCGGGAATTCTGAAGGGAATGGCGATTTCATTTCTTCAATTTTCCAAAGAAAAAATTAACCATTCCCTTATAGAAGGCATGTATCAAACGGCCTGAATGTAATGGAAAATTTGTGAGGTAAGTACATACATTAAAATTCAATTCTTTAATAGTTGATTGAAATGAAACTATATTTTAGGACCATTTTCAGACAGAAGATTCATAAGATTCGTTGTTCCATTGATTTACAAAACAGACTATTGAAAAAGTATTCCAATATTATCATGAGACCGAATGCCAAACTACGTAATGAAATTGAAAATTTGAGAAGGAAACTGAGGAAATCAAGTAAATTGTAACGTGATATAATATCATTGAATGCCGTTTTCAATACCGACCAAATTCGAAACTTATCAGTAAAAAGTGAATGCAGCAAAAGGTGGAAAATCAAAACGATCTTCATGTTTATCACTCGGGTACAATTCCACAAACAATAAGGAACTAGCTATACGTAGATCCATATGTGTCTATTTTATCATATTAAAAAGTGTCATAATTCTCTTTATTTTTATTACTATTGTTTTGCGAAAAGAGTATTGCTATATGAATTGATTTGGGAGTATATACCCTATTTCTATCTTCCATCTTTGACAATGATTGATTTGACAGAAAATCTAACCTCTAAAAGCGTATCTGACAATCAGTCACTACTAGGGAAATGGAAAAGACAAAGAGCAGAATATATGTCTCATTCTTTTATTCACTAAAACCATTGAAATATAGAAAATAGAAAAGGACAGAAGTTCAGCTGTGTCCGAACTCTTGTCTAACTAACACCATCCAGTGATTAGTAATCACCAACCAGTAACGAAATTTTGCCGTAGTTCTCGGAATTTGCTTTCATCTAATGAAAATTTTTTAATCTTGCCCTGATGCGACATTCCTTCTTTCCATAAAAAATCTAAAATAAACTTGATACTAGATACCACCACCTACTGAATAGACCAAGGTTGGAGAACTGATTATTATTTTGGAATAAATAGACTTCCTGGCTTCATTGCTCTCATCTTGTCAGTGTAAATAATGAAGGGTTATACTGTGTGTATGACACATGCATATATGTACTATTTCTATATATGGCTCATCGCATATATGATATCTCAACAAAAATGGGACCAAAATGAGAGGTACTTTTTGAATCTATAAGGACGGAAAGTGAAGGATGGAAACAGCCATATTGGTTCGTATAATTTTTCACTACGTCGGCATCAACGCCTATTGGTTGATTTCGTTACCTATAGAGACATAAGTTGGTCCCGCTTTGAGGACACCTATGATTCATATATGAGTAGTAGATATATGGACACATGTAATATCGAAAACTTTTCAAATCTAGATCGAGTCTTCGGAGGCGGAGGACTCGTGGAGCAAGCAATACGACTCGTCGGTGAACACGTGCTCGCACGCCTATTGGCGCGGCAATTGCCGCAACGTGTCGGTGGGGCACGATTGCGAGGTGGGACTGCGCCGGCGCACCTACAACGTCGTCTCCGGCAGCGTTCTGTCGGTGTGGAGTCGCGTAGAGGGCGTGCTGGCTGCCAAAGTGGGGTCGCAGAACAAGATGCAGGTCATCCGGCTGAGGACGAAGGACGATCTGAAGATAGTCGGTGAGTGATGGGGTTTTGTGCTGTGCATTCAACAATGAACTCGGTATAAACACCTGGAAGGGAGACTGCCCTCCTCTCGAATAGCACAAAGTGTGTCATGGGCAGCGGCAACAAAGATAGCTTGTGTTACGGTAACCTGTCTCTTTCACACTCGTTGTTAGGTTTTGGAACATAAAATATTAAAGGTTCATTTTCGAGTGTGGTTTTGCGCGAGAATGGAGGTAGAAACAGTGGAACCAAAGCAGATCGCGAAAAATCTTCTACGACAAATATGTGCCTCGATTCGCCGGCTATTCAGTATTGGTTCGACCGTCGGACTTGCCATTTCCCAATTTGAAAACCGCCGGCATTCCATTTCCGCTATTTCCGCTTATATCGCTAACTCGCCAAAGTGCAACAGTGAGCTCTGCATAAACTATAACATTGCTGCTCTTTTTTCTACGCTTTGAGAACAGGTGCTACACTTTGAAGATCACCGGCATCCAGGGAGGAAGCGACATTTGCAGCTTTTTTGGATTACCCTAGAGAAGATACGGCAGATCGTCTATGGTAAGCTGTTTTGACTCCTCGCTTTTCCATGCCACAAGTCGAAAGTTAATTTGCGCCTTTGGTTAGAAGCAATTATTTGAGCTATTGAATGCCGTTGTGGCGTACACTCGTGTTGTTTAATGGCGGATTGGTGTATACATTTTCATGTATCCAATGATTGGAGTACTAAAGATCTTTTACGTGAATAGGCAAAAAAAGTGAAGATCGAACTTTTTCTTTGTTATGTGGAATACACGTGAAATATCGCTAAATTTGGCGTGTTTTGTTTCTTCAAAAGGACTGAATTTGTTGTTGTGAATTGATTGTTGTTGAAAAGGTTTGTGATTTTGAATAAACAATGGTTATTTATATTGTGTTGCCTTTGGATGCAAAACAAACAAGACAAACATAAATTGTCCTTCATGGGTAAGTTGAAAATTGTTCAGATCGATTCTTAGAAAAACTATAGTAATATATTTTCTGGATGTGTCTGTGGATGTATGTGTGGATGTTCATAACTTGAATTCTAAGGATGATGTTTTTCTTATGGAAATTGATTTGCCTCTACAACTTCCAGCTCCCAAGTTTCAAAGTTTATTGATAATGAAACCCACAAACTGTTCCATTCGAGAAGGGCTATTCTATTGCAAAGAATAGTGAAAACACTGAAACCAAAAGTAAAAAAAGGAACGACAATCTTGTTGAGGTACTAAAAAACATTTTGAAGGTTAAAATTACAAGTTCAAATGTTTAAATTCAAGAGCTACATCATATCCTCTTTTCAGGTTTGCCTTTGGAGCTTCTTCCTCTCCAGAAAGGGCGACACAGATATTCATCTTGATGGAACAATTCCTCCAAAGATTGTTCTTTTATTCACCTTTTATTCAGCTTTCATTCACTTTTCAATGGTAAAATGTTCATGGAAAAATAGGTTCTCTTGGAAACTAGGCATAAAATAGACCTTCAATACCATTCAAGAACGTCTTTTCAATTTGTTTCTATTGTTTTTCTTTATCTTTTGATAGTGATGAGACATAGAGCTTCGCTCACCCTGTACAATATATTGTGACATTTGAATGGAAATATATAATTTCAATTTTGTATTTATTCGACTTCCTATTCCTGTAAGAATAACAATGAAAATTCACTTCTAAGTCAATAAAAAAATCAATCATAATTTTTTAATGATAATAATTGATTACAACATTAACCATTTTCCTACATGAATATTTATATTTAATCACGTATAGTCTTGAATGTAAGCAAAAAACGAGATAATATTTCAATTAATGCGAACTCTTCCCATTAGCCAACATAAGATAGAAAGAGATAGGTATCCGTAACAACTGCGGGTTGCCTGAACAATATTTTTGCTTCACTCGTCGTTCACAGGGGGTCCCTTCCAGGTTTTTATATTGAGTTCATTGGTATTCAATAGTGAATAGAAATGTCGGGTTCGATCCCAGGCGCCTCTGCCGCTCAGAGCAATAAAGAAATGAAGAGATGACTTCTTGAAGCGAACATGACGAGTTTGTTCATGGGTTGCGTGCAAGAACTGTCAGATGACCGACCCTGGAGGTGATACTTTGAACACAACCTCACTTTTCTTCTTAGTTTACAAGTGATTGAAATAGTTTTTCACAATTATTTTGGCATACGAATCGTGTTTTTCGGCTATTCATTAATTCGCGCATGCCATCACATTGTGCTGTTGTACAATGCACAAAAAATAGAGCGGAAAACGAAGGAATTCAGTTGGTACATTATGATTTAAAAGTTGAGTACCTACTATAGTCACATGTAGTTTTCATTCTGAAATTTGGTAATTTCTCTGATTTCTCATCGGAATTCCTTCTGCAATAGGAGCTAATAGAAATACTCGTGAAATTTCTAAAATGATGCAAGAAGATTGGATTCATGCAATCAAACGGGAGGACTGGTCTGACATGCTGACGAAATATGTTCGTGTGTGTTGTAGACATTCTCAATCTTTTAGCAGTATTAGCTTCTATTGCAGAAGTGGCAGTAGGAATTTCAATTAGAAATTACAAAATTTCATAATGAAAACTATGTGAGACTATTTACCTAAAGAAATCATATACATTCGTCTCTCGCTGCATTTTTTGTGCATTGTGCAACAGCACAATGAGAAGGCATGCTTGAATTAATGAATAGGGTAAAAAACACGATTCGTATACCAAAATATTGTGAAAAACAATTTCAATCCTTTGATTCCTCTGTAAACAAATAAAAAAAGTGAGGTTGTGTTTCAATGTTTTACAGAAAAGTGAGGTTGTGTTTCAATATTTTACCTTCAGGGTCCTTCATCGTGCACGCGACCTATTATGAGTTGGGTCCTTGAACCTTGTTTGCTTATACAGTTTCATTCATGAAGTCGTCATCTATGGGAAACATTTTTAATAGTTATTTATTTCGAGATTCGACTCGAGCGTTAAGTTTAGCTTTAAAAAATATGAAAAATAAACTACTCGATCGGGGTCACGTGACTTTCGCTACGAATGGTTCAGAAGTTACAGCTTTAGCCGTTTTTTGTGCACGTCTCTGTATATTAATTTTGTTCCTTATGTTCCTTTGTTATTGAGAATTGATTGATATATTCTAGAATTAATTAAATTAATTTTTCATACTTTCTTGTTGCATTCACGATATTCCTCAAGTTACCTCGTAATGATACATAATCTGAAAGAAATAATATTTTTTTCCAAATTTGGCGCGGATTGTGATGTGAATCAATTTTTGTGAATCGATTTTTGAGAATCGATTTGTATCCAAATCTTTATGGAATCGATTTTATAGGGATCCGATTCGAATAGATTTTTATTTGAAAAATCGGTATCCTATGCTGCATCTAGTGGGTTAGTCGAAAAAATCGCTAATAATATTTCGCAGTTTAAAAAAAAAAAAGAATCCGCTGTAGATTTTTTGAGGGTATTTCAAGCTTGAGTGGGTAGTACTTATGTATGTTACAGTATTTAATATTGAAGTTTTTTCTTGCAGGAACACTCATTCCAAAAAATTGTGTAGAAGATTTAATAGAAGCACTCAAATCAGATGCAGAAAAAACTGAAGAAAAGTTGTTCGACGCTTAGAGAGTGAATGAAGTTTCACTAAGGGAATGTCTCTTGTCATTGGTTGTCTCACACTTATTATGATTATTATTTTTATTATATTTTGTTGAATTTATTTGATGTGTTCAGTCACCAATGACATCAGAATGATATCAAATACAGGGCAAAAATAGTATTCTATGGCACTAAGAAGATTGCAGTTGCGTTCAGTGAAATGTGTGTGAATTGACTTGATTTTCTAAAAACGTGTTTAGAACCCGTAATATTATTCAAGAAAAACTATGTGAAATAGTAATTTTTAGGTATAATCTATTTATATATAACAAGTACGTTTTATTGTATAATTTTTGTTGGTGTAAAAAAATGTAGAGGAGAGACTTCCTCTTTTTTATCATTTTATTTAAAGAGAATCGTGTATATTCAATTGTGTTCACAGTAAAAAAGAAATTTCTTCAAATTATATTTCATTGGTAATATCTTCCCCATTATTATTCAGACCAGAAATGGATGAAAATATCATGTCCTAATAATTACATATTTTTATTATTGAGTGATACTGTGGGAAAGTGAAATTGGATTTTTTTCATTGGAATTCGTAAACACTGTAGGTAAGTAACTCGATTCCTTAGAATAATTGTTATTTCCAACATGAGGCATTTTATTGCCTACATGACCTATTTTTGTTTATTATTGAATCCCTAACATTGATTGAAAAACTTCCCTCACATTCACAAATTATTTATTAAGACGTTATTTACGATTGAAAAAAAAACATTCCTAAGATTCTTTGGTTGATAATTTTGTTTGTTTCGATTCATTGTTCTCCAGTGCTGGTGTGACATTTTTAATCAAGAATTCTATATCCTGTTTGAACTTCTCAGAACATTTGAATTGTTGTGCAATTTCTTGTAAACGTTCCATTCCTTTTTTCATCTTTTGTATCTGCTCTAACAATGCGTTCAACTGATCTCTGTCTGTAAAAGAAATGAGAAAAGAATATATGAGCAGTACCAAAAAATAACACGATATCACTATACAGGGTGTTTCCGAAATTGGGGAGAATAGGAAAAAACGAACGAAATGAAGGAATACATTTTTGTCAAAGAAAAATATTTTGGGAGATATTGAGCTTCAAAGTTTTCCTAAAACTTCTGTAAAACATTGATCAAAGGTTGATAGCCCAACCCAAACGTTTGCTTTCAGCGAGATCACAAGCACCGGAGGTGTCGATGACTTTGACAATGTTCCCGGACGTTCAATAACAGTTCAAAGATGTAGGTAGTATGGTGGGATCGCATTTTTTTTTAACTTTCAAAACATCAATGATTTATCGGAAACACCCTGTATAACTTGTAAACTTCCAAGTGCGTATTTTTACTTTGTTGTTTCTGTTTTCGCTTATTGTCATTATCATGCTAACCCTAACTAATTCACTGTCGCAAACCGTTTTCTCCTCAGAGCTCTGTACATTTTTCAAATAATTATTGAAATTTACAATATTTCGTAACATGAAAAATGCGCTTGTCTGTAAAACAAGTGCAAGAATATTTCGGATTGTCATTTCAATCAAAATATGAAGAAAAAATCGCCTCTTCAGAAAGTGCTCGCTCTAGAATTTGAATTTTCTGGACTGAATACTTACTGCTAATAACACAATAACAGAGAACCCAACACACAACTGAAGAATCAGATAATAAGAGGAATATCTCTGAATACTCGCATCTCGACTAGATGAAACAAGGATTTGAAGATGAAGGTGACGTTAGGAAGTTAGGCTGACAATGTAGTTCGTCTTCTTCTCTTCTCGTATTTCTAGGGACTCTAGGCATTACGCTGTTGCCAGTGCCACAAAATAATTTGAGTTTAATCAAAATCTCAATCATTATTATGAATACTAGGATATTTGCATTGGTACTGAAGCGTCTTGCAAGTATATAATTATTCAATAAGTGATTATTAGGGACCAGGTCGAACTATTTGTCTTCTGTAAATGTGAATACTGTTGTCATTGGTCATATTGAATCTCATCGAAGCTGGCTTTTTCGAGGGTGCCGAATTCCATTATTAAAAAAAAATTATTTGCGATGATTTTTCATAACGAATGATTACATCAAATACTATTTATACAGGGAATGATCAATATGAAATAGGTTTTTGGCGTAAATTCTACTAGTATGCACAACCCCATTAAATAATGAAGTTTGGCGGGAATAATTCCAACAGTTTTGAAACTTGAGTACCTACTTATACAGGGTGAATCACGTAGGCCACACATTAGACGTTTTTCAACTTGCAGTTAGATTATTGACTTGAAATTTGGTATACTACACTTTCAGACCTCCAGCAATACAGGGTGTGCCGAAAGTCGGTACCTACTCTCTTATTTCGGATAGAAACCTATTGTTTTTCACACTGATTGGCCTTCTAATTCAAGATATGTCGATTTTTCTGCAAATAATTATCGCCGTAGAGTAGTTTTCGAAAACATCTGTATCTCGCACACAGTTCAAAATTAGAGCACCAAAGTGTAACAATTTGCTGATGAAAGTCCAGATTAACTCGTGATGTCCATCAATGGTCCAGTTTTGTACCAAATGGATTCGAGCTATTTTCAAATGTTGCATTGAAATATCGCCAAAGCTCAACTTTCTTAAACAGGACGCAGTGTTAAAGAAAATAGTTATTGTTGGTCACCACAGGTGATTCTACTGGAAATTTCATGTTCTCTATGACTGAAGGAAACTGGTTTTTGTAGTTCACTACAGTATTTTCTGAAAATAGTTGGTAAGATGATAGAATTGAAGAAAAATAGTCATAGCACTACAGAAAATTCTGTAAGTAAAAAAACGAATCATCATAGTAAGTCACTATGGTCCATCATATACCTACACGGTATATGTCACGACGAGCTTACACTATATCTATATCGAGAATCAGTCGGCAGAAATCCATGAAAATATGCATGCTTATATTTTAGAATACGCTATCTCTTCATTTTAAATATTTTCAGCAATTCAGTGTTGCCATTTCTATCAAGAAGTAGCAACAACTTTGTTAATTCAAATAAAATTTCCTGTATTTTATTGCATTTTTAGTTTCTCCCTGAAGAGCTGATTTCATCGATACATCACACTTAGGGTCTATCGGAGATAATTACAGAGATATAGGGTGTTCAAAATCGAGATTTTCCAACTTTATGATTTGTTTGTGCAGAAACTATTTATTATCGGCCAAAACAGCTCACATGTCCCTATCTTAACGTTTTTGATTTACTATTTACTGATATTCAATCGGAACAGATACAGGGTGGTTCAATGATCACCCTGTATCTGTTTCGATTAAATGTCAGTAAATAGTGAATCAAAAGTTGTGATTGGGACATGTGAGCCGTTTTGACCGATAATGAATAGTTTCGACACAAAAAACCCTAATGTTGAAAAATCTCGATTTTGAACACCCTATATACAGTGTGACCCATTTAAGATGGAAGCACCCTTATAAAACTTACATTTTTCAACCGATTGGAATGATTTTTTTTTTGTTAGGTAGATATTCAAAAAGTCTATTAGGACACCAAATATCATGAATAAATCTCCATTTCCAGGGCCAACTAATCTGATTTTACAAGGTAAAAAATCTAAAAAAATTACTAGCGATTTTTTTAGAAAAAATCTGACTACACCACTGGATTTGTGACATTTTCAAATGGGTAACATGTAAATTACGTTGAAATGCGTCAATCGATAAAAAAGTTATAAAGGAATGAAATTTGAAAAATATGCCGTTTAATCAACCCATCAATTTTTATTACTGAACAGATTTCGATGAAACTGTGATCAGTAATATTTCAAGACATCCTGAATCCAGTGGAGTATACAGAATTTTCATAAAATTCCTGAACATGAATTGGTGGGTTGATTAAACGGCATATTTTTCAAATTTCATTCCTTTATAACTTTTTTATTGATTGGCGCATTTCAACGTAATTTACATGTTACCCATTTGAAAATGTCACAAATCCAGTGGTGTAGTCAGATTTTTTCTAAAAAAATCGCTAGTAATTTTTTTTGATTTTTGACCTTGAAAAATCAGATTAGTTGGCCCTGGAAATGGAGATTTATTCATCATATTTGGTGTCCTAATAGACTTTTTGAATATCTACCTAACAAAAAAAAAAATCATTCCAATCGGTTGAAAAATGTAAGTTTTATAAGGGTGCTTCCATCTTAAATGGGTCACACTGTATATATATTTCTCTGTAATCTTTTTCGATAGACCCCAAGTGTGATATGTCGAAAAAATCAGCTCTTCAGGGAGAATCTGAAAATGCGATAAAATACAGGGTGTTCCATTTGAAATATCAATCAATCATCAATTATTTTCTAGTAGAAACGGCAACAAAGCATTGTCAAAAATATTTTGAATGAAAAGAGCGTATTCTAAAATATAAACATGCACATTTTCATAGATTTCTCCCTACTGATTCTCGATATAAAGATAGTGTAAGCTCGTCGTGACATACCCTCTGTATAATGATCAATAAAAAAAATTGGCTACAGGAGAGTCAGCGTATTCGAAAGATGGTCAGTGTAATTGAAGAAAAGGAGTTGTAGCACTTGTAGGGTTGTAGTAATAAAGCACTTCAACAAATTCTGAAAGAAAGATCCGTGAAACAGCAGTGGCGGTTTTATAGGGGCGGGGGGCGAAGCCTGTATTGAAATATTTTTTCAAAAGTTATTTCGAATCGCCCCCTCAGAAAAATCCTAGATCCGCCCCTGTGAAACAGACATAATTACTACTGGAAATACCTATATTTGGAGAACTTAACAAATCTGAAAAACTATAGTTGCCAAAGAGAGATAGGATATCCTGAATATTTATCCTTGATGTCGAAGAAAAATGTGGTAGAATATACATTCTCAAGATGACACCATCTCATTTAAGTTTTCTCACCTTTTTCCAAAGTTTTGATTTCTCTTTGAGGTAATTGGGTTAGAAGTTCCTGAACACTCATTCCTGTATCTCCATGCAACTTTTCTAATTTGCAAGACTCATCTTGTCTTTCTTCAACTTTTTCTTCATTTGTGAAAGTAGCTCTCTCAGCAATTCTCGTGACCTGCTCTTTGTATTCTTCTTGAAGTTTCTCTTTATTTGCACTCCTTGGTCGAATGTCCTTATCAGTGGAATGTCTACATGTAACTGTATCACCTTGTTCAGTGGTGATTTTAAAGCTTCCCAAGTCGGTGTTGTCCTTATTTTCAATTGATTTCAGGTTTTCCCTACCTTTTCCATCGATTTCTAGGTCCATATTCATGGAATTATCGGAGTTTGACATCAAATAGATAACGGTATTAGATTTCTTGTTATTGTAATCTTTGTCTGAATCAATTATATTCTGAATTAAACTGAAAATGCTTCGTAACATTTTTTAGTGATGAAGCATGGCCTGAAATTATGTCTCATCAAAGCATCACTCAATTTTCCTAGTAAGAATATACTTGCCTGGAATTTTAGCACATATTTAATTTGTGATGTGATGACAGCTAATTTATTTTTTATAACATGTCAAAAGCAGCAGCCACTGAGTGATATTTCATTACATTTGTTATGAAAATTCAGAAAGTCCATGAATGAAGAAATTAGTATCTGGAAGGCGCGGAAAAAGTTGGGGGGTGATTTTTTGTGGAAAGTAGAGGTTTCTTGAATGATAACATGATTATTCAGCCTTCTCCTGTTAAGATTAGAGATTTCTTATGGGGTGCTGAAAAAGTATAGATACAGGGTGGCTGGAATTCAAGTCTCTTCATTGGGATCTCATAAACCGTAAGATATACAGGGTCGGTTAAAATCATTGCAAAGTTGCGCATTTTTATGGCTAACAAAATGCTGTTTCAAAATTTCAAGAATTCCGAAAACCTATATACTTCCAAAGATTAAAAAAAACGAATATTCACGATCATTCTTTTTGACTATTTAAATAGATTGCACATTCTCATCGCTATATTATACTTTTTCTGTTCAACAAGATAGTGTTACATATAAGAATTTCAATTTCCTAACTACGGCCCTGGATTTTGAGATCTTTCAATCTCCTAAAATCCATGGTTTATCGCACGTATTCGAAAAATTCATATTAATCACATTTTCCATTATAACTCAAGTGTTAGAGAGAGACAGAGAATTGATTTTTAATAGGATTAAAGACAAGCACCTTTGTCTGAATAAGTGCACCGTTGATTCCAAGAGATTGAAAGATCTCAAAATAGGTAATAAAAATTCCAGGGTCGTATTTGAAAGAAAGAAGGTTATTGATGATAGCAGCTCGCAGAAACGAAACGTCGGTTTGAAAATCGTATAACACCATGTAAATTATTTTGTTACATCTATTTAAATAGTCATAAAAAAAATTTAAGTGAAACGCGAATATTCGGATTTTTTTCAAAAATCTTTGGGGAATTTTTTCAAATTTCAAAACGGCATTTTATTAGGCATGAACTAACTAACAGTTCCTGCACATTTACAGCAACTATTAGTGAAGCTTCAATTATTGGAAGATTACAACTAAATTCAAATCCTAAATGAGGGAATACCAAGAAGAATAGCAGCAGTTAATCTTCAGGAGGTAAATAAAAAATTAGTCATACAAATGTTAAAAAATTTACTTAATTATAAATAAGATAATCATCACAAAAGTAGTCAGATCAACTTGGATTCTCTTTTATTTTTTTCTCAGCTTCTTTTGCTCTTTTGATTTGCATATCTCTTTGTTGTTGAAGTACTTTTTTGAAATTTTCAGCTTCTAGTTCATCATCCATAGCTGAAACAAATACAAATATCTAAATGGGAAGCTATAAATTGATATCCTTGAGGAAAATCTGTATGCACCTACCTACTTAAACAATTCAATGTCAGTGAAAATAGGGATTGGATGTATATTCATTGCAAATAATGGTATGGACTTACTTGAAAATGGGGCTTCTTCTCCTTCAGAATCTGAGCTGCTCTCATTAGCAGGGTGTCTCAAGTAAACATCAGACAACTCTCTTCCTGCTGGAACTTCTGTTAAGAGTGAAGATTTTGCATTTGTATCATCTTTCACTTTTTTCTGTTCATTTTTCTTTGCATCTGCTTCAACCCTTATTTTCTCCCATTCAACACGATAATCCCTAAAATTTAGAATTCAAATGATGAACTCCTTCATATTTTCATTATTTTTTATATACTTTTCATATTCTTCTGCAGCTTCTTCTATCAACTTGTATAACTCATCAATTCCTTGCCCAGTTGCAGCACTGACCCCAGCAACCTTTAAATTCTGGTAGAACTCATCCAAAGCCAAAGCCATTGATCTTGTCAAATTACTAATGTAACTTTCATCTGCTTCTAAAGCTTCTTGAAATGTCTCAAAATCTGTAATCCAATCTTTGGCATAGGAATGATCAACAATATCTACCTTATTCATTACAACAATAAATGGTAGTCTAGTTTTATACAAAATTGAACAAGCATAAAGCATATTGGACATAAATGTTACAGGTGCAGTACTTCTCACACAATCTACAACATATAATATCACTGTTGGGAATGATGATGCTAAGGTTTCAGTTATAATGGATCCAGACACTGACCAGGTGAATACTTCAATCTGCCCAGGAGTATCAAGAATGCAAAGATCATTTTTTGAATTTTCAATGAACCCTATCACCTCCGGAAATTTGGTTGAAAACAAGTTCAGAGAGGTAACAATGGCACCATTGGGGCCCAAGTTGTATTGTTTCATTACTTCTTTATAGTTCACAGTATCTCTGATATCTAGAAATATATTATCTTGAGTAGTTACTTGAACGTTCAGGAGAGAATTTAAACAAACCTATATTTGCAAAATATGGTAGATTTATACAAGCTGGGTCCAAATTCACTGCATAGGGTTTGTTCTGGGAGTTGGTGAGCCTTGTGACTAAAGAAGTTTTACCACTGCCAGCCATACCCAAAACTATGAGGCAAACTGGCTTTTTTGCGTCATTATCTTCAGGTAGGACAGCCTCTGCCATAGTTGATTTTGAGCAAAATCTCTTGTTTTTATTTTCGATTTCGAGAATCTAACCTCAACAACATAACCTTAAAGTGGCGTTCTTCTTAGATTTCACAAACTCATGAATGACAGTAGTCCATTACCCATATTCTCATAAGTTCAAATGTTAAATTGTATTCTGAAACTAGCAGTTTTGTGGTCTGTTTTGTGGATCCTGAGCAGAGAACAGACATCACCCTGACAGTTTGAAATTTACATGTCAAATAATGACGTTCTGAAAATGTTTGTTTACACTTTTTTTACATTTCCAAAAACTCCAAAAATAAAATATAATTCGATTCTGTCCAAGTTTTAACTACATCTGCTGCTTGTGATAAATTGAAAATGGCTCTCAATGGATTTCTCGATTTTTTTCAGAAAGGAAAAGTAAGCACTATATTTTCAAGTGTTCATGGTGCACCTTATTCAAAATAATAAATACCTGCTAGAGAATATGCTTATGCCTAATGCCTAGTAATAGTTTTATTCGCAATTTCAGACTTTCAGACCAAAAAAGAAATTTGCCCAGGGCACAATCCGTTACAGTTTATATAAGCAAGCTCAAGCCAGTCTGAATTCTGGTATAAATCTAAGAGCAGCAGTGAAATTACCACAGGGTGAAGACCTCAATGATTGGATAGCTGTTCATGGTTTGTTCATATTTTGATGGCTTCAATCTAATCATTACACAATACATTTCAGTTGTTGATTTCTTCAATAGAATAAATCTCATCTATGGAACAATATCTGAATATTGCACAGAGCAGACATGCCCAACAATGTCTGGAGGGCCACGATTTGAGTATCTCTGGGCAGATGGGGACAAATTCAAGAAACCCACCCCTCTTCCAGCTAGAGAATACATTAGTCATCTCATGGAATGGATTGAAATGCAAATCAATAATCAAGATTTGTTTCCATGTTCAAGTGATAGACCTTTTCCAAGAAATTTCTCTAGCCACTGCAGCAAAATCTTGGCAAGGTTACACAGGGTGTTTGTTCATGTCTATATTCATCACTTCCAGAATGTTGTCACTATAGCTGCTGTAAGTTTCTCACTGAATTACTCTTTTTATTATGGAAATCTCACATTTTTTGTGGAAGGTAAAGTCACAGGTAAAGTCCCACAATTTGATAAATTATGGCACATGAAACTTTGAAATCCAGTGAGTTTTGAACTCTTTGTAAAACAGTAGTGGCATTCTAGTATATAATTATAAGAAAATGTATATAATTTGATTTCAACTTTTACATAAAATCACATCACATTTCAAGGCAAATGCTGGAATATAGGAACTTTCAATTTCTTTTTTTTTTCCTATTCCTATTTTTTTCATGTGAGGGAAATTTGTTGACAGGTTATGAAATGTCACTTTCTCTGGGAGAAAGAACTGCAAGTCCTTCCATCTTCCATTCCACTTTGCCCTTACTCAAATTACTAAACAACCACTAAGTTCCCAATTTTTTAAAATCAAATCACAGAATTAGGCTGATGGATATTTAATTACTTCAAAAGAATGATAAAGATGCCTGTAATGCAGGTGAAATTCCTGTTTAAAACTTCAAATTTCACATTGATAATTTTCTGATTTTAATATTATGTAATATCTACTCAATATTGGTTCATCCTTTTTTCTATACAGGTAAATGATATTTCAATTTTAATTCATGGACAATACAACCTGGAGCTAAAATCTACTACTTTTTCCCTTGTATAATTAATAACTATTTACAGGGGCGTCCGGAGGGGGAGGCAAGGGGGGCGCTCGCCCCCCCCCCCTCCCCCTAGCGCCTGGTCATTACTCATCAGATACTTTCTAAACAAGATACATTTGCATTATTCAATTCCTATTCTGATTAGCGCTTATTATAGTGACTTTCTGAGACTTTGTTCAATTAGTATTCATGGACATCTTAAAGATATTAAAGAGTTAATTTTATCAACATAGTTATTGATAAATTTGCTCTATAAGAATGCCATTTTTGTTTGAACAAGATTATGTGAACAAAATACCTATGTGTTTCATCTATTCTTATTTTTTATTCCATATTGTATGTAGAATAATAGATTATATATCAAGAGAGTAAAGTGCATGATTTTTCTTGAGGTGGTTTTGTAGCCTGAGGGAAGAAAGAACTCACTTTCGAGGTTTATATATCATTTTTACACTGGATGATTTCAATTGAAAGAATCTTATGATAAAATCAATTATTGTCAATATAATAATGAAAATCTGAACACAATAATCACAAAATGAAGTTTGATTATCATGACTACCGATAAAGAAGAGTAGCCATATTGCTTTTTGTGAACATGGAAAAAGTGTGGTAGCATATTCTCTTAATTGCTTTCCAAAGTTTTTTCAATAAATATTGCAGGAATTTGTGGAAAAACTATTGAAGATGCTTCAGCAAACATAGTGGTAGATTTAATGCCAGAAAAATCCGGAACATTTTTTTAGCCTAGAGAGTGCCTACTCTGTATAAGTACCTGTATACCCTGTATTCCCGCTTTTGTCAGTGTGAAATCGCTTATAGGTCATGCAAAAATAGTTTTTTTTATATGTTCTGAATAATGTTCATTATTTATTGTGACCTGCCCCTCCCTGAGATCATTTCTGCGGACGCCCCTGACTATTTATGATGAATCATCCCTGAAAATGTAGCTGACAATAATGACTTTTTTCTTGTACTACTTTTATAATTTCTGCTAAAGATTTTCAGCATTACAGCTGAACAATTATTTTCTGAATATTCACCAATTGGTCATTATGAACCTATAACAGGTCTATATATTATTCCAGGAGGCACATGTGAACACATGTTACAAACATTTCTACTACTTTGTGAAGGAGTTTGACCTAGTCAGCAGAAAGGAACTGGAACCATTAAATGAAATGGCATCAAGAATTTGTAAAGACCCGCCCATTTAAAATTGAGGTAACAAATACTTATGCTCAAAGCTTCAATATACTGTAAGATAAGGATAACTTAGAATTTTATAGAATTTTTTGGCCAGTGACAGGATTTCTGCAGTGTATTTTATATCAATAGTTTTTTGTCTGATTGTTTATTCTAGTTCAATGATTATGAGCTCAAATAACGCCTTCAAATCTCCTTCCAACACTGCATCTGCTAGACATAATTTTAATAGTACAGGGTGGATCAAAAGACTCAAATCCCTCAAAATGATTCAATATTTCAGGAGCTGTTCATCACATTTTTTCCAATCAGGATTGTATAGTTTTTGTTTGAAATAAGTAAGGTGCTGCAACAATGGCAACATTATTTCCAAGTTGAAAATGTTATATAACCACCCTGTTAATCTGTCAAAAAAATCTGATGAATAGTTCTTTAACTTTTGCCCAATCCTGTATATTATGTCAATTAAGCAATGGTGAACAATATATCTAGATGTATCAAAATTAGACCATTCTTATACAGGATGTTTGTAAATGTCATGTACACAACATCAATTAAAGTATGTAATTGATGAATGGAACTTCAGCTCACTAGATTTTTTCTCCATATTTAGCAGACAATGCTTATACCATTCTTCAATTTTGAATATCTTCTTTCCAAAATATATTTTGAGATTACTATACAGGCACAACCAGCATGTTGATAACATGTGCATGCCCCTTATCACAGAATTTACCCACTGAAAATGATTCAAATTATTCTGAATGTTTTATTGTGTTCAATAATGATCCATTTTATGAGTGAAAAACTGGCCCCCCTGTCATACAAACCTAAAATAAGCCAAGAAATTACTTATTGTTTCAATATGTACATTACATTTAGGAACTCCCTGTATAGTAGAGAAGGATAAATATACATGAATAATGAAAAAAAAAAATTTAACTAATCTGTAGAAGCTCAGATACAAGGTCTATCTCAATTTAGTCTTTCTGTTTGTTTTTTTGATCTCTGAGCCCACAAAAAGATTTTATAATCCACCAAACACAATGAAACCTTAGCATATTTAGTAGCACATGAATTGTAACATATAATTATGTTGAACTAGAATTCAGAATACCTGGGGTAATAATAATAATAAACTTGAGTAGTCCACAAAATCCATGGATATATTAGCAACATTTCCAATTCTATTTCATAGACTTTCAGGTTATATGGGTTTGTGGATCATTTTACAGAATTATTCATCTTTGTTGGATACAAATGTCAAATCGATTCCTCTGAATTAGTTCACAAAAATGATGACAAATACAAAGCCATTGTTGTATATCTAGGGATTATATGGTTCAGTATGAGGCCTGTTTGTTTGTGTTGGATTTACCTGCTAAATTTGATTTTTTTCAATGACTTCATCTGTTTATATTATGCCATGAACAAAGACAACCATGGAAACAAAATCAACTTTAGCAAGGAAGATTCCAGAAGCTCCGCCCACTTGTGACATCAGGTAGTCTATTCTTGAACACTTCTGAGCGGTTTGTTTTGATATGACCAATAATCACAAACAAAAAACAAATGTGAACCAATGAAATTAAAGTAAACATGCCGCTTTGACAGCTTTCAAGAACCCCGATAGGTGACGTACACTCATTTTCAACTTTATATTGAACTTGACATCGGGGGGCGATTTTACTAAATATACTGCACGCTAGCACAAACCACGCCCACCATAATACGTCATATCTCCAAACATTACCGATATACTCGGAGTCAGCACATCGCACTAAATATACTGTGCTCTAACGCAAGAATACACTTTTTATGATTTTGACACGAATTCGACTGAAGCTCTCTCGTTGTCAATCTCTTGTACGCAGTAAATTCATACACCCAAAATGGTCTACTGATTAGCGCTGTTGACTTTCAGTCTGAAGGTCCATGGTTCGAATCGCTGTGAACTTGAACTTTTTTTTGCAACTTTTTTTTTTCACCAATGTTTTTTTACTTCATTCTGGTTTTCCTTTTTCATAAAATATTTGAAGTGAAATAGGTTAGTGCGTTTAGGATAAACAGTCTCATTTTATTCAATTTTGTTGAAGCACTCAACTTTTGAAATATATTATTAATCAATGTGTTTCTACACTCCATTAGGTTTTCCTTCCTCAAAAATATTGCAATCAGGGATAGGTTAGTTCGTTGAGGATAAATAGTCTCTGAGTTTTGCCTAAGTAAAGTACTTTGAAGATGAGATATAACGGTGGGCGTGGTATGTGCTAGCTACAGTATATTTAGTAAAATCGCCATCGGGGGAGCCCTATTTTCGAAGTCATACCTACTGTTTTTAAATTCATGGGAAGTATTTTTCCATTCAAAAGTGAACACTCCTGACTTCTGTTTTGACATATTTAACTCTCTCTAGAAGAAACTATTGAATCATTTGATATTACGAATATCTAATAGATGAGCTGATTATTGACCTATTTATTTATACCAAATATAGTGTATGTTATTATGATTAATTTGAACATGGTGTGATGCTGCTGCAGAATACAAGTATAATTGTTTCACCATGAATGTTGATCATTTTCATCATGGAAATAAACAGTGTGTGTAAATAGGAAAAATATTATTTTTTATTGTTTCTGTGATTAATTATATAAGAACCTTATATCAAAATGTATATGTCGGAATATTAAATTTATCCACTAATCAAAATACTTTTTTAAACTATAGGTACCTTCGACACTACGGCTCTAAGCATATTGCAATTCACTAACATCTGGATAATCTCTAGTCAACTTACAATGACATTTGATAGTTGTTAATTTTTTTCCAGAACTCCCCTGTTTCCAGTGTTATCACATTGCCTTAGATGATAAACCCATTCAATGTTTCTAAAAATGTTGCAACGTCTCATCTGGTATGATGGTACAGGGTGATTGTTTATATTGTACAGGGTGATTCACCATAAATGTCCCCCCCTCTAGCTCAGTTATTTTTGAACCGATTTCAAAATTTGAAATATCATCTTGAATGATTTTTGATTGAGTTTTTTTCCGCTACATCAGAAAATACAGGGTGCTCAGAACAAACGATCTACAGGGTACCATTTGATTTTTTTATATGGGACACCCTATTTTTCATTGTATTTTTAGATTCGCCCTGAAAAGCTGATTTGCTCAATGTATCACACTTGGGGTCTATCGGGAATGATTACAGAGATATAGGGTGTTCAAAATCGAGATTTTTCAACTTTAGGATTTTTTTGAGACGAAACTATTAATCATCGGTCAAAACGGCTTTCATGTCCATATCTCAACTTTTGATTTACTATCTACTGACATTTAATAATTGGAACAGATACAGGGTGATCAGAATTCTGAATCTTGAACCACCCTGTAAATGTTCCAATCAAATCTCAATAGACAGTTAATCAAAAATTAAGATGGAAACATAGGAGCCGTTTCGACCAATAATGAATAGTTTCGAGACAAAAAAATCCTAAACTTGAAGAATCTCGATTTTGAACACCCTATATCTCTGTTATCATTCCCGCTAGACCCCAAGTGTGATGCATTGATGAAATCAGCTCTTCAGGAAGAATCTAAAAATACAATAAAATACAGGGTGTTCCATTTGGAAAAATCGAGTAGTACTCTGTAGATCATTTGTTCCGAGCACCCTGTATTTCCTGATGAAACGGGAAAAAAAATTCTGAGAAATCATTTTAGATCATCCTTCAAATTTTTAAATCGGGTCAAAAATAAAGTGAGCTAGAGGGGGGGACAATTATGGTGAATCACCCTGTACTCAATAACTATCTCAGTTAATCTTGGTCTTGCAGAAACGTTCAAATGGGCAAAAATGAAGAATTTTTTATGGGCTTTCAGAATCTAGTAGGTAGTAGAAAATGCAACATGAGTGACACAGGAGACATTTTACAGCCTGTAGTTTTTTTATTTGAGGAGATAAAAATTTGAAATTTACAAGGGTTATATTATCGATGATGGCGCTTTCCTTGAATCTAATGATAATTTTCCAAAACCACCTGTTTGATCGGAAGTAGACCCAACTTTTTGTTTTCAAATGGAATTTTGTATATTTCTGTAGCCTATCTTATTTGCCTTGAAATTCTTTATTCAACCATGTTATATTTGATATTCGTTCATTAATTGGCTGTTGAATTGCATTTTATTGAAATACATGAAGTTGGCTGTGGCCCGAATACAATGACATTTTGATGCTTGATATGCTTAGAAATCCAAAGATCATTACTTAGACGATGTTATCAGAATATTTTCCATACCCTAATCGGTCCCAGAAGATTGCCAATACTTTCATTGAGTTTACAAAAATCATCCGAAAATAACTCACGATATTGAGGAAACTAAGATAGAAACTAAGTTTTTTTCATATGGGCTACTTGTGGAAATCTTATCATTTGTGAAGTTTCTACTTTAGAATAATGCCATTAATAAATAACCGACAGACTCTAGGTACTTCTGTGTACCTATTGCTTTTTTTTTAGTTTCATGAAATGAATAGACCATGTTATACTAAGCAAGATGCCAAGCATGAATAACTGTCAAACTAGACATTTTGTGTAAACCGCCTACTATTATGCAAAATGATACTGAAAATACACTAATGTGGTTCAGATACAATTATCATCAGCATCCATAGTCATCCATCACTGGTCCCCAAACTCTCAAGATATAACCTCAATATCGACCATCGATAATATTTTATTATTCACTCCAATAAACTTACCCATTTCGTATTGTGCTGTAGCTGTGCAAAATGAATGGTGATGTTAGCTACAGAAATATATAATAAGCGAGTGGACTATTTTTTTTTATTTCTCAAATATATTCATCACTCAAATACCTTTAAATAGAATCATCACTCAAATTCCCTTCAATATCTTTTTTTTTTGTTTTTTCGGTCGCCAAATCATCAATAATGCTACGGTAATTTTCAAAATGTTCCCTTATGATTTGACATTTGAATCGGTGAACGTGACAACACGGCGCGCACGACTTTTAGGCGTGGTCTTGCCCCTTCTCAGCATTCAGCACAATGTTGCCAAGTCTCCAACATATACATAATTTTTTTGTTATGGAGTATAAGATATATTTGGACTCGCTGTTGCTCGAAGAAGTTGAGAATAAACTATAATATGATGGGTTCCTCATATTATGTTTCATTCAACGACATGACTCTTACATCTTTTTGATAACTTGATTATAATTGGTGACTTGACAACCTTGCTTCGTGAGTGGGAATGAAAGATTATTTGACCAATAACGAAACAGCATAAAAGCTGAAGTCTCCATTTATACGACGTATCGCCAAATGGTGGCCATGACGGTACGTTTGAAATGCTCCGAAATTCAACAATTTCGAACAACACATACACTCATCATTTACACAAAAAAAATTGAGACAAGTTGCTAAAATTAATTTAGGTCCCAGTGTGAAACGGTCTCGACCTTCCATGACATCTACTTCATTCATAACTGAAATAAATTAAAGCAGCAACCCAAGGAGCATAGGTGACAATAAAAATTGTATCCTTTTTACAAAATATTTTTATTACTTTCGTTTATTTACACTCATATGGATACTTAACCGTAATGAGTACAAGAAAGGAATGTTAGATTTCATCTAAGCTTTAGTATGACTAAAATTTTATATAAAAAAATAAATAGAAAAATACATGATAACATCTAATAAACCCTAAAAAAATCAGACTAATGAGTACAGAAAAACAGTCTTCGTAAATAGCAAATCAAGATACTCCAACTAAAACTGGGATGGAAGCAGATAAAGCTATTCACCTCATCATTTCACAGTGAGATAAAATCACAAAAAATATAGATCATATGACTAGTAGAAAATTTATCAAAAAAAAATACCACCCTTATGTGAATAATAATTTTCATGACCATTTCCATATTGAAAACACTTATTAGTACATGAAATAGTTACATATGGCATTAAATCACAAATGTTGGTTCAATAGATTTGTATGAGAGACTCTGAAGCTCAATAAAACATTCATAAGTAGCAGGAATGACGAAAATAAATAACCTTTAATAAAATGGAACCCAGTAAAACAAAAAAAAAACAATTTTTAAGTACCATTCTTTGGATTGGAACATAGGAGTTCCAACAAGACGTAGCCAATTTGAAATTACTTACTGTGGTAGTCCTGGAAGCCAATATGCTGAGCAGCTACCCATTCATCATTTCCGGATTCTTGCTATTATTGTCACCTGTATCAAATTGAGCTCTTTCCTACCTTGAACGACAAAGAGGAAATATAGAGAGATCCGATAACCCTTTCCTTGTCCAACATCTAGTTTATGCCACTGAAATATTTTTGAACTCAACAGAGTGTCAAATTAACGATATTAACAGAACAGTCAAAATAAGTGACATAATTTGTAATTTCATCCAAAAAATTTAAAGGTAATCAGTAAATGACATTTATAACATAGACGTATCACAACATTATAATCTGAACTAACTGAAATATTTAACTAGAACTGAAACTGAATCAGTTATTATGTGTTCTTTCCAAAGAATTTTATTAGTTAGAATGCATGTTAAGTGATTCAGTTCAGTCCAAGTGAAATATGTCAGTTAAAAAAAAATGGATATCATTATAACAAACTAGAAGTTAGACAAGGATATTTAACGGACCTCTCTTTATTTCAATACGGCCATGTTGGTAGCATTGAAGAGAAAGATGGAAGGTGAGAGAACTTTCCTCTCCTTCAAGGTAGAAAAGAGCTCAATTACATGTAATTTGTCAAACATGTGAAGTAAATTCTGTCAGTGTAGGACTAGATACTACATAGCATACTCAGATATGATATTTCGTCATTGTTACAACCAGTCTGATAAAAAAAAATCTAAAAAGTTCTGAAACCAAATGCATATAGCGTAAAGGCATACCTATCATATTGAGAACCAACGTATTTGCACATTTTATTTCATTGGTTTGTTCACCTAGCTCTTGTTTCTTTATCGTCTTATTTTTTTTTCAATGATAACTGTTGTTTTAATTTTCTTATTCAACACTGAAAATTCGTCATTGTGTATATGATGTATTCCTACATTAAACGGTTACCTCATCTATTTGGTTAACTTCATGAACAATAATTACACAGCTTCAGTCAGAAAAACTAGAATTCGAAAAATGATTACTGGTAAAATTTACGATCTCGAAATTCAGTGAACCACGAACATACCCGAAGAATGCACTGTTACCAAATGTAGGTGTAACACAATGTGTCGAAAATTCCTCTATGGCTCTATGAATTCCAAAGACGTAATGTAAGGACAATTAATCCTTTCTGCATAAGAAAATGGAACTTTTTATAAACAATATAACATAACTCGGCTTGACTGAGCATTCTTCCTAGAAAGTATAATTTTCGGAAGATTACGTATATTGCATAGTATTTGGCACCAGTGCATTCTTCGGGTACGTTTGGAGACTGTGAATTTCGAAATTTGGGAACAACACAATGTGGGTGTTATGAAATGTGGATGCAATATGCTCCCGGATAGACCATTGTCCAGGACTATATCTCGAAATTTTTATAAAATTATAATTTAGTAGGCAAATCCTCATCTTATGATTTTCTCTCGCTCACACTCACATTTCTATAAAAATATACAAAATGCAAATTGAATTGATATTCATCCCACCATCATCTTTCTTTGGTGGAGTGTCATTTGTTCTATTTGGTGTATTCACTTGACAGCAGTCAAAAACTACCGCATGATGAAGTGGCTCTAATTTCAAATCAGCTAACTCTTGTTGGGACACCTTTTGGAATACATGGCATTATTTTGATCAATCTATCAAAACATTTAATAATCAACACAATATCTCCTGATGAGTAGTGCTTGAATTAGTCAATCTTCTAATATATTTTTTGGAACACAAAAATTAAGATACAAAATAATGCTTCTTCCAGAAAATATACGATAAAATACTCATGGTTTTCATTATCATGCAATGCAAATCCTGGGACTACTTTTTAAAACGTGTCAGGCCCCTCAATCAAACCTAAATAATGGCATGGAATCTTTCAAACATTAAAAACACAAACTCTTATAAGACAAACACAGAAATCTAAAGAATACTACCGACAGCCGACTCAATCTCGTTATCGTTAAGACAAGGATTCTGCATATCACAATAATTATCCTCGACATTGAGATCCTCTGGCTCCATACACTCATAGCTGATGGACTGCACGGCCGAGTCCAACTCTTCTGGCTTCCGACAAAAAACGTTGCTGTTCGACAACGAGTCCGCGGTGTTGGAGTTGGACTTGCTCTGAGAGGAAAAAGACCGCTCTTCGTCGGACGAGTGGGTTTTGCTGCTAAAGCTCGAGCTGGAATCGTCGCTAGAAATGGTATACTCCAACGGGTTGGTCAGAGCCGGCTTTTCTTCGATAGCGACCTGCACTTCCGAAATAGCCGACCCATCACTATCCTCCTCTTCAGAGGAAGAATCTGCCTGCCTCGCTTCGCCCTGCGGCATTTCGCGATCGAAATCCTCGTTTTCGGACTGCGAGGAACATTCCACTTGCTCAATCAAGCTGTCATAGTTAATGTCGCCGTGCGGCTCCTCTTTGGCGTCCTTGAATCCATTAGACGTGGGGTTTTCGTCGCTATCCATCCTCGTCGGCTTGTTCGGATCGTCCAATGTTCTCCAATCGAAGTTTTCGTGGATGACCATGTGCAGTCTCAACTTTGAACTCGCGTTATGGTATCTCCCGCAGATCCTGCAAATGAAATTCGATCCGTAACCTTGGCCGTGTAGCAGAGTAGGATGGGTTTCTCGCAGATGCTTCTGTAAGCTCTCGTAGGTGTCGTTGGTTTGGAGACAGATCCCGCAAACTGTAGCCGCCACGGATTTGTGACAGCGAATATAGTGCTGCCACAGGTGTTTCTTCGCAGGCCACGTCTTCAGACAAATTTCACAGTACGACGGGTCGTTGCTATTCACATAAACGGTACGTTTGCTAGAGTTGCTTCGGTCTGGGTCGTCCTCTCTCTTCAATGGTAACTTCTTTCCGACAAGGAGGGGGACTTTCTTATCAGTCGTCTGAAGTTTTTGTGCTTCGTCTTCATTCACTTTCTCTCCCGATATTCGTTTCTCCAGTAGCATCATTTTAGTATCCTGTGGCAAGAACTTCTGTTCGAGATCCTGTTCCATGTCACACTCGCTGTCGGTTTGCTCGTCTTCCTCGCTGTCGCTTTCATCGTTCTTAGCTGCCATATCGCTTGTTGCAGAAGACATTTGTGACGTAATACTGGTTTTACTCGCGTTAGCAGGAGTGGTGACCCCAGGGCCTCCGTGCGAGGTAAGGTCGCAGTGCGCTTGTAGCTGAGCATCCGTTTCAAATACTCCTAGGCAAGTCTTGCACGCTTTGAAAATTCTGCCGTGCGACTTGTTGAGGTGGTCGAAGGTCTTCCACTTCGATCCATAGTTTTTTCCACAGACGGGACAAGAAGTGAGCGGAGCTAACTGATTTTTGTGCACCAATCTAACATGGTCTCTGAGAATGTGCTGGGTTTCAAATAGTTTCAGGCAAATGCCACACGACAAGCTCAACATCTTGCGGTGAAGACTGAGTATGTGCATTTTGAGTTTAATTTTGCTGGGTAGCGGATCGCCACAAAACTGACAGATGTAAGACTCCACGTGGTTGTGCAGATGTTCCTGCATATCAGCCTTGCTTCTCAGGACGTTCCTACATATCTTGCAGAACAAATGGCAACAGGGGTGTCGGAATCTTATGTGAGACACGATCTCACACTTGCTCTGCATTTTTCCATTGCAGATCTCACAAATGTACTCGGAATGATAGTTGACCAAATGTTTGGTGAGACTCTGCCTATCCTTGAATGTTCTGGAGCAAGTCTTGCATCGAGTAAGAAGATCTTTTTGATTCCTGGGTCTGCAATTTTTCTTGTGTTTCTTGAGTAGCAACTTCTTCTGGAAAGCTTTAGAGCACTTCGGACATTTGTAATCACCTTCATTCAGAGGCGGTGTATAGTTTGTGATGATGTTTGTGTAAAGGTTGTGGGACGAATCGATTTCTTTCGGAGCTGAAGCTGGCTCTTCCATCATAACCAGTTCCTCTTCTTCTTGATCCCACTGTTGAAGATCATTTGAATCACCGTCTTGTTCACTCAGTTCATCTTTTCGTTCCTCGGTTTCTATGAGATCTTGTTTCATGAAACTTTGTTTTACAGACTGAAAATCGAAAGCGGAAAACTTCTGTGACATGAAGTCTTCTTTATCACTCCTAGGGCCTTTATTCATGTGGGTTTTATTGAAATGCTGCAAGAGATGATACTTTGAAGCAGAGGTTTTGTAACACAATTGACAAGTAATGCTTGGGTGATTTTTGTGGAGTCTGTTAACGTGTTTCCAAAGGTGCGAGTTGCGACCGTAAAATTTGTTACATAAATCACAGTGGAAAATCGAATGTTGATTCCTCCTATGGGAGCTGAACTCTTTGAATGACTGAAATTCACTCAAACCACACTCGGCGCAATTCAGACCTTTGGTAGCCGGTGTCGAACTTCTGTTTTCTGAATTATCGTTGACTTCAATGTAATCTTCCGGATCGAAAATCTTCAGCTGCTTTCGACAGGTGTCGAACAAGAAATCATGGACCAAAATGTGGTTTTCCAGCCACTTCAAATTGTCGTCGCCGTATTGACAAACCTGACAGATGTATCTGGTTTTGATTTGGTGTTGCTGTGAACAAACCTGGAGATGGCTTGTTAGGTTGATGTATGAAGTGCACTGTTGCAAACAGATGCCACAAAGATAAGCAGCAAGCTCGGGATGTTTTAAACGAAGATGTGTCATCAGATCCTGTTTCCTGGTGAAAATGCCAGGGCAGTTCGGACAGACGAAGCTTGGTTGAAGGGTTGGAGGATCTTCATTCATTCTTTCTAGAGTCTCATCTGAAAAAAAAATTGGATAAACTTCTTCCATGTCACTGACAATATGTTATCATCACATACCATTTGAATCATTTCTCTTCAAATCTGAAATCTTGACGAGGTTTGGAATCTTCTTCTTACTTTTTTCTGGTAAAGAATCACCTGAGCCCAATGAAACTATCTCAGAGACCATATCGATACCATGAGCCTCAAAAACATGTGATGCCACTGCAGCTGGACTAGCGAACTGTGTATCACAAAGCAGACAAGTTTGAGGCAGCATTGAAGCTGGCAATATTTCATGCTGAAAAAACATTTCACTTCAGCTGAGGATGAATCTGCACAATCACAGTTGTTATGCATGATAAGGAAAACAGTAGCGACTGATCGGTATCTACAGTATATTCCAGATAAGAATGGAGTGAATGCTCCGACAAATACAAATATTTGGGAACGATTGCAGTAATTAATAGCGTATTCGACTAGCTGCACTATTGCGCATTCAATTCCAATTTTTGTCGTGCATTTATGTTCGGCTGGTATACACTCAGAAAGTACCAATATTATTTATATTCTGCTCAAAAGGCACTACTCAAGGATGGAGCAAAATTTATGTTCGACTGGTAAAAGCTTTCATTGTTAATTAGAATGTTTTTTAAACGGAACACCCTGTATGTCATCGCATTTCTAGATTTTTCCTGAAGAGCTGACATCAATGTATCACACTTGTCAAGCGGAAATGATGACAAAGATATAGGGAAAAATATTAGATTTTAGGTCACGATTTTTTGTCTCTCTCCGCTACACGTCGGAAGACTATTTATAGATATCCGAACGGTAAGTAACAATTCATTCTTAACTGGAATGTAGTATAGAGCGTTCGATTCCGGGCTCTTAGTCATTTCTGAAAGTGCATAATAAAACCATGTCTCAACCCAGTTGACTGAAACAATTTCCGCTGAACTATCATCATTAACATTACGTTTTCATGTCGATGAATAAGAATTGAAGGTGTCTTATTAATTAGATATTGTGATTGCAGTAGCTTCATGTTTCGTGAATTTTAATAATAATATACCTATGCTGATTTGAAGTGTGAGAATTATACTTTCAATGGCAATATTCAAGAAATGCAAAGTTTTTTTTTATGTTCTGGTTCCCAGGAATAGGGATATCCTGTAATGTTCAGAGAACATCGGGAAAATTCGATGTTATGAAGCATTTTGGTCTTGTCGTGTTTCAAAAATTCTAAAGAAACCCTCAATTCAACATCAACAGACCTTACATTCATTACCTACCTGAAATGGTGTAGCAGTTTGGATTTGGGTATCACAAATTTCATTCCTTTGCAGTATTTCAGCTTCATCTGGTTTTTGGAAACTTACTGTTTCTTCACTAATTTCTTGAGTATCTATTTTCTTTGGTATTTTGTTCTTTCGTTTGTTCGTTATTTCAGGTTTGAAAATTCTCGGCTTATAAACCTCTATAACATCATTTTTCCTTTTCAAATTTCTCCTTTCAGAAATTTCGCTTATCAAATCCTTTTCTAAATCATTGCAACAATGTATTTTTGTTGGCAATAGGTCCTTACTAGTAATAGAATCGACAAATTTCGTAATTTTATTGAAGGATTGTAACTCATTGCTCAATTCAACTTTTCCATTACAGATATTCTCATCCAAACTCGAGTCTGTATCAATGTCATATTCAACTAAAGCTGAATATTTTTTTGGGAATGTGGCTTCGCTGTTCAAAAATGTCAATGTTTGAGGAAAATTTAGGCAAAACTCTTTCAAATCGGTGCTTCTTCCAGACAACACGTCCAAATAATCATCAGTCTGGACACCTTTGTTTGCCTTTCTGTGACTCAAATCGACCATGGAACCCTTGTCTCTCTTCTGTTTAGACTTCAAACATGATTCCTGGATATCATACTGTGCCTCAAGTATGATGATGTTTTGCAAGCAGTTTTTTATGAATGTATAGAAGCTGTCCACAGTTGCAGTGCATTCCCCACAAATAGCATCTGGTAGGAGACAATACGGAGATACCTACAAAAAAATATTTGAAGTTCAATCAACTAACGAACAAGGTTGAGTGTTATTATTATTGTGAAAAAGGATATGAGAAATGAAATTAGCTTTGTTTCATGGAGCCACATTGTTTTAATTACACGAATACAGGGACAGAAAGCAGACCAAGAAACAATAAAATAGCACGTTTTTCAAATTAGTATAAATAATATATGGAAGTCGATAATTTTGGCATGCCTATGTCTGAGTTTCCATTACTAGTACAATCAAGCTACCTCAGATAAAAGTAATCCAAAATTATTGTTCATACATAGTTAGATGAATATGTTCAGAGGAATAGACATTATTGTTATAGTCTGGCTCGTAAAAGATGACCGGAGGAAAGAATGTGAGCCCAGAGCACAATATAAATGTGATATCATCAACTCACTGTCAATTTAAAAACAGTCGGTCATATAGTGGTCCTGTTAGGGCTACCTCCACTCCACCTGCACTTAGAAAATGAAGCCAGAAGGGCTTCCTACCGACTCAACTGTGGAAAACAGTGGCAGGAGAACAGGCGGCCCACAGGACATTCAATCATTTGGAACGAGGCTATCCAAAGCTGCCTGGTCCTCTCAATAGTCCAAGACAGCATGGTACCCTGTTACAACTTCTCACAGCGCTTCTCCATCCACTTCCCATCCCGGGAAGAATGGGAAGGGGTCGGTCTTGGGAAGCATTCCTCAGTATTCCAAGCGAAAATACAGGCCATCCTGGTCTGCGTACAAGAAATTCAGAGAAGGCCTTGCACCAACAAGCTCATCTCGATTTGTTCGGACAGCCAAGCGGCCCTGAAAGCCATGCGATCTCCGAGACTAATCTCAAGATTAACATTCGAATGCAAGTTGGCCCTCAATTCAATATCTAGCAACAACAAAGTACACGTACGAACAAGTACTCTGGTTACCGGGACACAAGAGCATCGAGGGAAATGAAAGCACCGATGCCCTAGCAAGACAAGGTGCCTCAGAGCACCCCTTCGGGCACGAACCCATAGTAGAAATCCCCCGATTCGTCGGCCTAAAGGCTCTGGATGACCTGCTATGGCAACAAGTCCAGAGGTCTTTGGAAGATACAGGGGTAATGAGGCAGGCACGACTCCATATCGCGGGGCCATGCAAACGCCAATCAGACAACCTCCTACAACTAAACAGGAAGGAATGCTTCATGCTGGTAGGAGTTTCAACAGGCCATTGTAGACTCAGGAGACACATGACCTTTATCGGTGTGGCTGACGACCCAATGTGTCGACTATACTAGGAGGACGAAGAGACCTCATCACACATCCTCTGCGAAAGTCCCGCAGTGGCTCGCGAGTGAAGGTTATGCCTAGGCTTTGCATACTTGGAGCCTGAGCAGCTGAGAAACATTCCTCTGAACAGAATACTGACCTTCTGCGAAGGAAAAGAGGTGTTCAGGGAATGACCATGGACACATGAATTGATGCTCATCCCCACCCCATCCTTTGGCTTGGACCAGAAGGCTAGGAGGGCCCTAGCTGGGGAGAAGCGGGCTCTGGAGCCGGTCTAGTAAGAGCTCTAGCGTTGGGACGAATGGGGGCTCTGAAACGGACTCTGGGCTCGGTCGACGGGCCCGTGCAGGCTTAGGCACTGAGGCAGCATGGGCAAGATCGCTGGACCTGAGGGCACCGAAAAAAGGCTCACATGGAGAGCCATACGCGGAACTGACTGCGGCCTGGCACCGGGAAAGCAAGCAACCTGGGTCCTCTAGAGTTCTGGAATGACCCGGGAGAGGGAACACAGGGGTACCTCATGAATGGAAGGAAATTGCCGCCCCCCTACAGACAAGTTGTCAGAGGTGTGGGACGAAACAGCAGGGGTAACACAATAGATCCAGTCGAGCGGTCTAAGTGAACTGAGGGCTCCAAAATCCATCCAAAAAATCCGGTCATATCATACACTAGTATTCAGTGAACATGTCGCGGTTGGACGGTATGAGCGCTCCTACTGCAGCGGTGACACCGTCCATGTGCGACATGTTCTCTGAAGACGACTGTACGTGACTTGATGAATGCGACGTAATCTGCAAAACCCAATTGTTTAGATATTCTAAGCTCAGCGTACTGAACGTCTTCATCCTCTTCCTTTCATCCCCGGTCATCTTTGGCGAGTGGAACTATATTTACCCTAGAAGATATCCTTTAGACCAAGCAAAGCTAAGATGCAGTATTACCCAATTATAAGAATCAAACAGAGACAACATGAAATGAGGTTTTTAGGAAGTGAAGCAGAATCTTGGTTTAGTAATTCATATTATCGAGGTGATGATTTATTGCTATCAGCTTCCCAGACACGTTAGTTTTTCAAATCAAAATTTACATAGTGACCCCAAAAACACCAATGCTGAATATAATTTTCGATTCTTTATTATAAATAAATAGTTTTTGGCTTATTTTCCCAAAACAGTTCAGGGGAAGGTCTGTCAATGCCGAAACGCATTAAAAAGCACAAAAATTAAAAAATTACATAAAAAGGCTCAAAAATTAAAAAATAACGTAGTCAAAGGGTGTATCTTTGTCTATATCTTCATAGTAATCATCAGGAAGATGAGGAATTTCATATCAATAGGAACGACTTTACATTACAGAAGTGGCACCAAGCTGCCATTTGAATTTGTTTATGGTGGTATTCTTCATGAATATTTTGTGATAGAATTACGATTGAGACTTCAGAAATATTAGTTATTCAAACATTCATAAATTCTAAATTATGCATTGGTGATAATTCCTATTTGGTACTACAAAATCAATTGTCTCAAAATGTTCCCTTATGATTTGTGGCTTATCGCTTATAATACATTTGTGATAATAGTAATCGTATTAATAATTCACACTAGAGGACATTTGAAGCGGTCAACGTGACAACACGGCGCGCACGATTTGTGGGCGTGGTCTTGTTCCTTCTCAGCGTTCAGCACAATTTTGCCTTGTCTCCAACATTTACATGATATCTTGTTATCTTCCTCCTATTATGTTTTATTCAACGACATGACTCTTACATCTTTTTGATAACTTGATTATAATTGGTGACTTGACAACCTTGCTTCGTGAGTGGGAATGGAAGATTATATGACCAATAATGAAACAGCATAAAAGCTGACGTCACCTTTATTCGACGTATCGCCAAATGGTGGTCGAGACGGTACGTTTGAAATGAGCTCCGAAATTCAACAATTTCGAAGAACACATACACTCATTATTTACATAAAAAAGCTTGGGAAGTGCTGCAAAAATCAATTTAGGTCCCTAACGACACAGTGTAGTAACTGAATGTCAATAATTCTTTATGAGTCCACTCGCCCATCATTGTATTTTGATAAAAGAGACATTAACAAAAAAGTTTGAGACTTGATTCTGATTATTACGTTTGTGCACTAAAGCCGTTGCCACTTCGTTATATAAGGGGAAGGGGGTACTTTATGGACACAGTATACAGTGTTTATTGCACGAAACTTCGAGGTAATAGTTTTTGGGGCGGAATAAGGAAAAAAAATCATATAAACACATGACTGAAAACAATTCGTTTCCGAGATAAAGGTTTCAAAGTTTCTTAAGAAAATCTATTTTTCATTAATTTCAACAAACGTTTTTTCAGCAAATTACTGTACTTTGGTTCAAGCCAAATATATATATATTTTTTCAATTTACATTAAGATTTTCCCATATGGTATGAACTTTTTGGTGGTCACTAGGTATTTTCTTCTCTAAATATTACGAGGATGCGGTCAATTTTTGTATCTGAATAATGATTGAAATGTCAGGGTAGCTGGAAAAATTATGATAAAGAAAAATTAATATTCTCCTGATAAAAATTATCGATGAAATACCTATTTTTATCCAAGTAAACCAAATCACAATAGGTAATATCTGAACGGATATATCATATTTTAATAGTGGTGTTGTTGATGTAAAATAATTTTGTGAATAAATGATCTCTGAATTTTGTAGCATACTGTGATCTAAAAATGTCTAAACATTTATGTAATGAAGAATATTGAGTTTCCTTCAATCTGAAGTATGTATAGGTACTTATATACAACAGACAGTTAGCCAAACATTAATAAATCTTGCACAAAATATGACAATATGGTTTTTAAATGATTATCATTCATAAACCTCCCATGAGTAAAATAACTGCAATGAGATTTTTTCAATTCATTTTGAAGAGTTGAAGAAATTTACGAGAAGCACATAATGCACAGAGGATCCAGAATTTCATTGGGTTAGCTCAGCAACTGTTCTTCATTAAGATAAGGTAGGCATATTAGATGAGCATACAGTGAGTAAAAAAAAATGATACTCCATTATTATTTTACCACAAGTTGCAGGATCAAATTAGATTTATTTTTGAAAAATGAAATACAGGGTGTTTTTAAGTATCTGGCCAAACTAAAAGAGATGATTTCTCAGGCAATTCTGTGTTCAAGTTACACAATGCCAAAGTTTCTCCAAAAAGATTTTTGTAAATCTGAATATGACCAAACCTGCCCCTTACTCCTACAAATAACACTGCCAAATTTCAACAGAATTGGTTGAATGATTCCCACAATATTCACGAATGAATGTTTTTTTTAACATTGAATCTTGTAACCTATGCATTTCCGGAGCTATGTTCATATGAACTTTTCATCTTATCATTTGAAAAATCACCCCTTGAAGTTTAGCCACATACTTAAATAACACCCTGTATATGTATGTATATATTAAAACATATAAGTTAACCAATTGTCACATTTCTATGCAATAGTGATATTTCCAGAGTGCACCAATGTACTTTGGTAATTTGATGACTAAAGAAAATAATATTGACTATCAATTAGCACAATTGCCGTTCTGAATGGCTTTGGTTCACTCTGTATGAGTTATTTACAAATTGAGATAAGATAAATGTTTGTTCACTATGAACTCACCTTCACATACAGGGTTCCCACCAAATTTCCATTATTCCATGCTGATTGATATATTTGCTTCCACGTCAGTAGAAAGGTGAAATATATTTAAAACCAAATGTGATTGGATACAATAAATAAACATTTGAGCTCCAGATACCATGACAACAATTCAATAAGAAATGTAATCTACATAACAATTATATCCCAAGTACTGAGCAAAAGACATTTTCATTTCCCACATGGCATATTCACTAAGGTGTTAGGAATAGTTTTAAACATGAGCAACTATTGATGGGAACCCTGACAATAAATTAATTTTGGTAGTGAGATACCAAAATCAATTATGCAATTTCTTATGAATTCACATAGCTAACAATAACAATTTTTGTAGATAGTAAGTTCTACAATTTAGGCTACTCAATAACATAATATAGTTCTACAATATAACAAAAAATCACTAATCACTGCTTAATAACACCTCTGTTCTTTCTTTTGAAGAAGCAACAACATTTTGTTTCATCAAAAATCTCAATTTCCTGTGGTTGAGCAATTGGTGCACTACTATGTGCAGTATTACCATCTGCATTAAGTTCATTATTTGTGGAACTGAGTACTTGAACAGAGTCATGACGTTCAGCAGGAGTGAGGTTGCCTAAAGTGTGCTTGATCTCATGCCCAGTACTAGTTCTATTAGTTTTAGCTAAATTTCTTTTGGGTGAAGTAACTTTTTCATGTGTTGTAGTGGTTAAAGACCCAACAGAAGTATTCATTGTCTTTCCTGCCCAATCAAATTCCCCATCATCAATATATCCCTTTTTGGCAAAAAGTGTAGTGAACAATTTCCTCAGATATTCATAGTCTGGGGTTTCAAAAAAATCCAGTCTTCTGACATATTTCATGTAAATGGCCATTTCTTCAGGATGGCCTTCACATAGCACATCAATTGTGGTAGCTCTTTTGGTATCACCAATCTTTTGGTAACGCTCCTTCAATGTATCAGCTTTAAGGCCTTGCCACGGTAATGAACCACGTAGGAAGTACATGAACATGTGGCCTAGAGCCTCAAGATCATCTCTGCGTGACTGTTCTTTGCCTAAATGAGTATTGATGGACATATACCTTGCTGTGCCTGTGAGGGACTTATGTTCTCTATATGGAATATGCTTATTTGTTTCAAGCTCAATATATTCTTTAGCTAAACCAAAATCAATGATATGAATGTTTTTCTCCTTCTTTGTGCTAGCTCTTCCAATCAAAAAGTTTTCTGGTTTTACATCTCTATAGATCAAATGCCTTGAATGAACAAACTCAACACGATGCAGTAGCTGAATAGCAATCATGAGCACTGTTTTTAGGGAAAATTTACGCTCACATGTATCAAAGAGATCCTCAAGGCTAGGACCCAGCAACTCCATGACTAAGGCATTGTATTTACTACATGGTCCAAAATAATAAACATTTGGTATGCCCTCATGAGATCCAAGTAATTTGTAAAATCTATATTCTAAATGAAGTTGTGGAGCTTTAGACTTCATTGGTTCCATTTTAATGGCAACATGTTCATTATTATAAAGATTTTTCCCTAGGCGAAGTTCACCAAAATTACCACAGCCAATTTTCTTCCCCACTCGAAAATTGGGGCCCACCATAAGAACTCCAGAACTAGTATTTGTGATATGGCGGATATGTGGCTCTTCTACTCCAGATCTTTTTGTATTCTTCTGTTTCTGGTCCATCATATCTGAGTTGCTATTCATGCATGTTCACTAGAAATAATTGGTAATCATACTAGTACAATGCAGAGTACGGCAATACTTGATGTTTCAATGCATTGAACCAGACTGAAAACAACATAATACTCACAATTATTGGCAAACATGTCTCAATCTTGCTCCGGAGTCCTTCTGTTTTAAAAATATGAACAAAGTTTTGACCTAACTTTCCACAAATTCTACACAACTTTGTTTCCATTTTCGTTCGTTCACTACATTTTATTACAAAATATCCTTCCAAATATAAATTAAATAGATGTATATTTTATGACGATAATACGCTAATAGTACGATTTTCAGAGAATGAAGAGTATCATTGCATTAACAATATTGATTTAACGTATTTTTCAGTCACATAATGTTATGAAATAAGAGTTTATTTTATCTTTTAGCATTGTATTCGAGAAATTACACTCAACAAACACAAAGCCGCCATTTTCAATTTCGCACTTCTCAAGTTTTGTTCGCAAAATCGCAGCTGCAGTGTTGCTGTTGCTAGTGTTGCGCAGTTGTTACAATTTGCGATTGCGCAAATGCGAATTTGTAATTCTGTGACTCATATGTCACATATGACACTCTACACCAATCAGAATACGAAACGTAAAAAGCAAAACGTAAAAAGCAAAACGTAAAAAGTTTGATTGTGAACCCCGCTTTATACTGAACTTGTTAAAGTTGATGTTTTTCCCATAGTTATCTCTGTTCATGGCATGATGTAAACAGAGAAAGCCATTTGAAAAATCAAGTTCAGCTGGGTTTACTGTACGATATGGAATAGAATCAAATAATTGAATTTCTCGCGAAGATAATTTGAAATAACGGTGCGACAAAAGTTCGGCGTATCTAAAAATTTTACATAGAAGAGGTGACGCTCATTGCCACGCGGATTGCCAGTCCAGTGCAGTTGTGTGGTAAGTGGAAAGGCCTAACCTTTTTTAACACATTGTGGATCGTGATCAGAGTTTACAAGATGATAGCAGTAGCCGTGAGGTTATTCGTATCGTTAACCCAATCGGCGTTGGAGTAGGAATAGAAGGGTAGTTGGCTTCATTTTGACTAGTTATGCATGTAGTAGTTGGTTTGGTAGTAGTTTTATTTCTCGTTTTGAAGCTTGAGTCTCAATGAAAATATGATAGAAATAATGGATCATTATCGGTCACATTCAACAATCATACCACAGATTCTATCATATCCTTCCTCATTTCGCCATTGATGAAATAAACCTTAATTTATCCAGAACAGACAGAAGCCGACATCCATGGCTTCTTCCTGGTCTGAGACGCTCGTTTGACCTACGTTTGACATCTCACGTTCACAGAACACCAATAATGTCAAATACAAATAACATATGTTCGATGTCAAAAGTTCCAAGATGGCGAAAGCCAACTTGACGTCGTAGGGGTCAAAATTTTTTTATTTTTAATTTAATTTCTTTATTCTAGTATTTCTAGTTATTTTAGTTTGTGATGACAACTTCCACGACAAATAAGCTATATTGAAAACATCGAAGAAAAAAAAATCTATTATATTCTATTAAATATTTCCTGAACTTCCAACACATTTGAATATCTCATTACAAGTGCTCAAAGTGATCTGATCGGAAATATAATACATATTTATTGGTATTCTTTCGAATCAATGATTTGAAATCGTTTTGAACTCATTATGATATCTCTCATTCAATAATTCGAGGTCTTATTGAATTTCTTGAACTTGAAGACAACCATAATGGAATCCATGCAATATGAAATGGCTCGTAATATGACCCTTTTGTTTTTCTTCGAACGGCTATTGGACAAAGGAGAACCAAGAACCTTACACGATTTGAGTTGCCAATTTGGATCAAAAGGATTCACCAAAGAAATGAGACAAATAGCAGGGGGAAGTCAAAGTGGTCTCAAGAAATTTTTGGCCCAGTACCCATCCTTGTTTGCAATGGAAGGCGATTATGTTACAATAAACACTTTTCAGAGTAACAATACTCAGGACAGCTCTGGTAAGAATATTATTGTTTACTTTAGTGCTGGGTTCAGTACTCTGTTCAGTTTCATCTGATGAGCACAATTTTTCAAGTCCATTCAAGTTGCTAGGTGAGCCCCCTTTATTGATCAAATTTGATGTAGGTTTTTAAAATCAATTCAACTATACAGGATTGATTTAGATCAAACTGAGAATCTGGCACTTGTGAAGGCTATTATGTTACAATAAACACTTTTCAGAGTAACAATACTCAGGGCAGCTCTGGTAAGAATTTTATTGTTTCCCTTTAGTACTGGGTTCAGTGTCATCTGATGAGCACAATTTTCAAGTCTATTCAAGTTGCTAGGTGAGCCTCCTTTATTGATCAAGAGCTGATAAACTGAGAATCTGGCACTGTGAAGGTGATGAGCTTTCCAGAGTTTATTATTAAGTAATTTTTTAGTTGGATTACATCATCCAGCATGCACATACAGATGTTCATTCATCTAGGTGCAAATTCTGCCATATGATTCTTTTTTTAGGATTTTTCACTCATAATTACATGAGAGCTTTTTTTTGTCAAAGTATACTTGACATTTTATTGAGAATTTTTTTGCCTGGAAATACAAAAAAATAGCATTTGAAAAAATTCCAATTAAAAATTTCAAGTTTTTGAGTGGCAAACAACTCTTCAAATATGGTTTACAACCTGAGTTTTTAGGTACTTGATTACTTTTGTAAATCATTTCATTATTTTAATTATTTTTAAATTACCATTTCAGTATCTTCAGTATCTCTGATTAATTATTAAATATTTCATTACCTTTTCAGTATTCTAATTACTTTTGAAATATTTTGAATACCTTCTAAGTATACTTCAAGAACTTTTCAAATATTTTAGTTACTTTCAGAATAATTTAATTACTTTTTCAGTACAGTAATTCAATTTTTCATTTCTTCAAATACTTTTGAAGTCTCCTGACATCATTTTCAAGTTCCTATTAGAGGAGTCAGGAGACCCAGGGTCGTTCACATTTCTTGTCTGCCTAAGTTCTCGTTAGTAACTGGAGTAATAACTGAGTGAATCCCAGAATCCCGATGAGCACTAGAAAATTCGGAACGGTGTTTTTGAGTTTTTATGTAGATGGGAGGTTGACTCTCTGACCTGGCTTACCGATTACTAGTCTCTATTACAGTAGTGGTTTGCAGTGGCACAATAAATTTCAGGGCCCTTTCTTCCATAAACTATACTACTACACCTAATTATGACAAAACACTTCGACCAAATTTTTTTAAATCTTTGTGTTTTCGCCAGTGCAAAAAATAGTATATACACCACAAGACAGAATGCTCCCCTCGGGGCTTTGTATCTCTCGGGCTTCGCCCTCGAGCTACCACCTTGGAAAAAATCTTGCATTTCTATCCCTTGATGTATAATGTACTATAGGTCCCTAACGACACAGTGGAGAAATGGAATTCCAATAATTCAAGTCCACTCGCCCATTCTGGTTGTCATGGTTTCAGATGTTAGGTTCCGTTTCATCGCTGTCATAATCCCATAATCACAGCTGCTCATGGGGTTTTTTATACACATATTAAATTGTCATCAGAAAATTTTGAGGAGCATGATTATCATCAGCATTCTTATCAGTCAGAAAATTGACTAGCTCACTATTTTGTACCCTGTTCAAGTCATTATTGAAAATATATATCCGTATATATCATAATCTCAAAGGAATATTTATAGGAATGTCATGGTTTACCGATCACATGAAACCATTTCCTTGATATATTGAAATGTATTCATAATTCCCAAGTTATTGCCCTTTTCAAAGGAAATGACCAAGCAGCCAAATCTATGAAATTATCAACAGTAATTATGATGTTCTGAATAGATATTCGAGATAATTCTGTTGCTTTGTCGTTCACGAAATGGGAAAGTGTTTTCTTTACCTACTATTGAGATTTTTATTTCTCCGTGAAGTTCATGAAAACTTGTTATATACGTATTTTTTATTTTCTCAATAAGCTGACAATTACACTCAGAAGAAAAGTTCAAAAAATAATTTCAGCGTCTTCACCATTATGTTGACGTCATTGTTAAACTGCCATGTTCACACAGAACTAATACTCGTCTTTGCTAGCACGACTGCGACGCTGCCGTTTCCATTTATATGTTTGGTTATAAAGAAATTCTGTATAATATATTGACTGCATTGAGACTTTATTTCAATATTAGCTACTTTATATCGAATGATATTTGTAATTCGATTTTCTGATTAGCCGAAAAGTATATACCAAGTTATTTATGGATGCCTGATGTAATGACTAATCAAGACGTTATATATTGTCACAACAAATGGGTGGAGACGATAGGTAATGCTTGGCTTAATATTCTGCGAGAGGTAATATTCAAATAGGCACTAATAGTTTAAGGGTAACTGAAAGTACGAGACTACATTCAAACATAACAATATTTATAATAGCATGAAACATTATGGGTAGCAATGAAAAATATGAATAAACAACAATGAATATAAAGACCGAATAACAACTTACATTATAATGACCATTACGACGAGCTCTTGTCAAGTCAAGAGTAGCCCCAGACCAGACTAACTTCGGAACCCTCACATTCAATATTTATATACATCATTTTATTAGATTTGCACGTTTCTCATGAGAGTTCCTTGGTCAGTTTTCATAGTTCAATGTCAATAGATGATTTGATTAATTTTATGTTTATAAAACCCTCATGGTTCGAAATTACTGATATACCGTATGTTCTACTCGTGACAATATATTCCAATAATATCTAGAATACATTCATTACTCAAAGTTGGATCTTGAAAATAATAGAATTGAAATGAAATTCTAACTTGAAGTTATCCTGATATCCCATTGTTTCGAAGAAATTAGTAAATTATACCTGGCAACCGCACCTAAAACCATTTTTACATCAAACCATGCTGATTGCTGCGAATCCTGCGAATTTATTGAGATGAGTCCATTGTTTACGATTTTTTTATATTCTTAATTCACGGTCTAGTATTATACATGCACTGTTTTCGTTGTATTCGCACTTGTAGATCGGGATCTAGTTACTGTGGTTCAAGTTGAATTTCATCTTCATAGACTAATTAGTTGTCTAGGATATGTTGAAAACCCATAAATATCAAGAATTGACATATGCATACATTGAGAAAACGTTGCACAGAATATCTCATTAACGGCCAGTCTCAGGAAAAATTAAAGGTGTTCTGCTAAAATAGTTATTTGTTCTTTCCAAGTTCAGTGATGAAAATTATTCATTATTTTTGCCAATTAATTTGGCGCGACTACATCACTGAATTCATCAGACCATATGAAAAAAAAATTGAGTGGCATTCTAGAGACACCTGGTAGGTTTTGAGAAATCCCAACACCTCAATCATAATAGAGTGAGATCCCACGAATGCCAGACCTTCGATATTTTATAATAGCATGCCCCCAACACAGGTAAGAACC